TGTGCTCGCTCTTGAAAGCTCCTGCACGTGCCATAAGAGAGGCCAATCAGCCGTCGTATGGATGGCGCAGCCCTGGCTTCAGCATCCACACTGTCCACGGCAGGGCTGCAGAAGCCAGAGCTCAAATCTGGCCCAGTTGGGGCACTAGTCTGGCCCTCCAGGGTTCCTCAGATGACCATGCCCAGCACCGTGGCCTCGCTACCTTTCTCCAGCCACCAGTCATTTGGCAGTTTCCCAGCCTTTCTGCATTGTTTTCTCCATTTGAAAAGGTTGGAATGCCTCATCTAAGGCTGAGTTGTTGGCAGGAAGAGCTTTAAGCTAAAATATCTTGGTATTGTTGGCCCCACCTGTTTTGCCTTCATCTCACCCACACCTAACTTATGGCATCACCATCGTGCTTCATCCCAAGAGGGAGAATGAAGACTCTGGGCAGGCAGCACCCCCTGGCCCTGCTTCCTCATCTGCCCCCAGTTCGGCCTGATTTGACCATACCCTCCTGGAGTTCCCCAGGAGCATTGAAGTCCACACAACCTAGATGACGAAGCAAGATGCCATCTCCAGCAGGGCACAGTTGGTCAGCAGAGCAGCACAGAAGCATAAGAAGCTCACTCGATATGATGATTGAGCAAATGTAGTCAGGTTCCACTCTGGTGAGTGCAACTGATTTCACAGATTCAAAGCTACAGGGTGTTGTCCACATGGTTCAGCAGTAAAGAATGTACTTTGCATATAGGTGGTCTGAGGTTCAAGCCTTGGCATCTCCAGTTCTCCTCTCCTTGCTGGCTGCCTCTGGGCCCACATGCTGCTCTTCATTTCCATCAGAAGGACCCTGCTGGCTACTATGGCCACACACAATGGCTCCTCATCCACCTCAATAAGAGGGAGACTGTGTCCACTTCCAGCTGGAGGTCTCCTCCACCCATAACCAAAAATCGTTATACAGCCATCCTGATGTTTCCTCCACAACACTTTTCCAGTAAGAAAACAAGATGGAAGAAGCTGGAGGAAATCATGGGAGGGATCCAGCTGGATGACGGCATCCAGGACCTCTGTAAAATTCCAAGCAGGGAATTGCATAATAAAAGCATCACCTTGGGAGCACTGTGACATCATGCTGACAGTACCAGACGGATGAGGAGCAACCAGACCTCACTCTGCTGGTACTTGGCTGGAGGAGAGAGACAGATTCGTGTGAGCTCAGGGTGATTCTGCACGTAAAATGACATTTTAACTGTTCGTACTGATGGTACCAACCCAATGGAGAGACAACATGAGAGAGCACCTTGTATCAGGTTGGAATACTTGTTCTTCTAGTCTGGTAATGTTTCCTATATTCATTGTTCTCAGAAAAGCCACAAGGAAGCACATGCCCACACAATGTGTACTTAAGAACTGATTTGTCATCCGATGATTACTAGTTTCCTATTATTTCCTATTCTCTTGTGAAATGTAGGACCAATTCAGAGGCTACTACCATATTTCCCCGAAAATAAGATTGGGCCTTATATTAATTTTACTCCAAGAGATGCATTAGGGCTTATTTTCAGCTGATGTCTTATTTTTCATGTACAACAATCTACATTTATTCATGTACAAAAATCTACATGTATTCAAATACAGTCATGTCTTCTTCTGAAACATCATAACTCTCCAGACGCCAAATTGCGTTGCAATGGACATACTAAATGTGTTGTCTGACTGATGATTATTACTGGGACTTATTTTTGGGATAGGGCTTATATTACGAGCATCCTGAAAAATCATGCTAGGGCTTATTTTCTGGTTAGGTCTTATTTTGGGGGAAACAGGGCAATGATATTTTAATTATTATTTTGATAAATATATACCTCCTCCAGGTTCCTCCAGGGTGCCTTTGAATAGCAGTGGCTGCAGAATGACAGGGAAGGATGGTTATTGTGACCTCCCCAAACAGCTTCTGGTTGGAGAAGGGGATTCTGGAGTAAGCAGCTCATTATTTTAGTGGGGCTCATCTTTTGCTCTGGGGTGTATTCAAGAAGGTTTGACAAATGCATGGATTATGAGTCCATCAGCAGCTACTAGATAAGTATAATTGTCACATGCAGAGATAGGCAGTATGCCACTGAATATTAGCTTTGGAGGCAAACAGAGGACTGTTGGACTAGGTGGCTCTCTAGTCTGCTTGCAGAAAGGCTCTTCTTAGACCTTAAGACCACACAATGAACTGAACAATGCACTGGTCCCACCGGAAGAGCACAGCTTAGACCGTTGGTTCTGGGATGTCTACAGCAGGCGTCCTCAGCTAGGGCACTGGGACCAGGGATAAGGAGGTAGATGGAGAACTTGCCCAGACATAGCAGGGCCAGAGGCAAGGACAGAGTCAAGAACTAGCAAGGATCAGATACTGGCCCAGTGTGACAGGGCCAGAGGTGAAGACAAAGTCAGAAACTGGTAGGAGTCCAGACATAGTGAAGCTACTGGCAGCAAAAGCCAGATCAAGACCACAGCCCAGCCACTGCAAAGACTCATGGTGTTATGGGAAAGCTGGAGAGCACTGTGCAGCCTTTTATAGAGCCTCCCATGGCTCCCAGCTGGTTTGCATGATTGCATTGGCCCTAATCTTGCAAGTACCTACAGATCTGTTAGCAATCCTGCAAGAACTTGCCATGTGGACCAGGCTGCCATCTTTCTGAAGGCACCAGGGGGAGCTACATCTCTTTGCAAATCTGACACTAGGTCCTAACGCACCAAGAGCAGAAGCAGCATGATGTTGTTCTTCAAGCTGGAACTTTAGTCTCTGAAAGAAACTTTAGGCAGTGGAGACTTTCACTTATTTAATACTATTTATTTTACTTACTGAATACTTTATTTAGTCATTCTATTTCTATCCCACCTTTTCTCCTTTCCAGAAACTCAGGGCTGCTTACACAATTCTCTTCCTCTCAATTTTATCCTCACAACAACAACCCTGTGAAGTAGGCTAGGCTGAGAGTCTGTGACTGGCCCAAAGTCAACCCATATGCTCCATGGCCGAGCAGGGACTAGAACCTGGAGTTCCCAGATTCCCAGCCCAGTACTCTAACCACTATAGGTCTCTGTTGGGGTGCAAAGCAGGAGACAAATGAGGGAACCCCCTGAACATCAGTGGGTGTTAGGGTGCCTGAGAGATTCAGTGTGTGAGAGATCTTGTAAGCAACGATACCAAACCAGCAGGTGGCAGTTTTACTTCGGAACTAGCAATACTATTGCAACACAGGAATGGGAGCACTTCCTCTGCAGCAGGAACTGTCTCCAAATACAGTCTAAGCTAAAAGACTTGCGCCTACTGACAGTCCCCTGATCTCTGAATGAAATGGTATCTTATTCAAAGTAGCCTTACATTGTCTTTATCCTAGTGGGATATGCCTGGAATCCGGCTTTCTGATGGAGAAGTTGGCAGACTTCTCTTCCAAAGGCAGAACTACTGTCCATCAGTCTCTCATAGGTCGACCTATTCAGACCACAGAATGCCACAAGCAGAGGAAACCTGGCAGAGCAAATCACTCCAGCCATTCATTTAGGACACACACCCTGGGAGGACCCTCCTGCCCCACCCCACCGCAAGCGACAAGCGTGCCAGGACCGCCCTGGTCATCTTGCACAAGAACTAGACGGCCTCCAGCATGGGGAGTCTGCTGCCCGCATGACAGGTAGCTGTTGACAGTCTTCTCCTGCAAAGCCCTCTAAAGGAACCAGGTTAGGGGCCACTTCCAAACTTCTTGCCCCCAGTTATGTCTCAAACACTAGAGAAAATAGTGAAGGGAGAATTGAACATGGTGCTTGCTTTCAAGGTTTTGTTTTTTACATATGCACCTTTTCCTCTAATGCATCAGGCCATTGAATAGACATCTTAATCCTTCATAAATAGATCCAACTTTTATACTGAACACAGTCAGATTCTTCATCTGTACTGCTCTAGAGCTGCTGCACAATTACAAGGAGAGAACATTTTTTCCTAATATCTAACTGAATGATGTGGTCAGGCCGGAATTAAAATGCTTTGACTGACCCTCTTGCAATGGCTGCTTTGCCAAAGTTGTAAAGTGACCTCAGGGAAGGGGTTTAGTGGGTATTCTGGGGGTGGGGAGGGGAGGAGATCAGCTCTGTCAAAATGCCAAGCTTCCTGGTAGCATCTTAGCCTTTCCCCCACACCCCCAAAGTGCCACCTTTAGGCAGCTGAAATTGGCCAGCTCACTTGGCTGCAGGGCGGGAGGAGCGTGAAGGCAACTTTTCCCTGCAATCCTCCAATTCTGAAGTGTTACAGATATTCCCACAGGGTTGCACGCTGAAACATTCACAGAATTGCACATTTTCAATCTACTTATTGTTTGCTGCTGGTTGAAAGGATGAAAGAAATGAGCAGATATAGCCAATCTAGGAAAGATCATCATGGCAGAAAGAAAAAGAACTTACAAATACAGTTTATTTGACAAATATCAAGGCACAGCATTTTTGTCACTGAGTCTGATTGATCCAGGAAAATGGACAAGAGGCATGATTACAATACTTAGAGAGCTATCCTATCATCCTTGAAGCAGATGCATGCAAGCCTCTGAACTTGGAGGCTCATGTGCATCTTATGCCAGTTTCAATTGCACCTTGCATGGGGTATTTGTTCGAGAAACCATTTAGGTTTAGGGCAAAGGAATGGGAGGGAAGGGAGCTGGGCTGCCAATTGAAATGGATGTAAGTCTGTGGCCATGGACTCTTCTCCTCTGCCCGGCACACCCATTTTTCCTCATCCAAGAGTCACAGCTTGGAAGCTGTAGGGCCTCCCAGCAAGGGCTCCAAAGAATTCTATGGCCTCCCAGATGATGCTTGGAACCCACAGGATTGAGCTGTGGCTCACTTTGAAATAAAACTCTGAACATCACACAGAGTAAGAAAAAATGCATTTGCTGTGAAGCGTTTTTAGATCACACATTGAAGCAAATCTAGGAAACAAAAATAAGACATTTCACCACTTCTTTTGGTTTGTGGTGCTATTTTGCACATATGGTGTCCACACAGCCACACTCATCTACATGAAGATACGTGTACTTGATCCGTTTTCTTCTACTGCAAATCAGATCCACCCTCACTTCATGGTATTTTGTAGCACGGCAACATGTGCATCCATGCTCCATTTTGTGAGTGACAAAGGAATACCTGAGTGGGAGGGAAAACAGGGTCAACTTTTTTATCGATGTTCTACATTGTACTCAAAGTACCAAGAGAAGTCTGTCATGAAGGTGATATTTCTTCCACATAACTTAAATAAAATGCTGGATTAGACGGAAGGTCCATCTAGTCTAGCTGGTTGTTTAGGGAACAAACAACCAGCCAGTTGCCTCTTGAGAAGCCCAAAATACGACAAGTGCAACTGCCTTGCTTATGTTCTCCCATTCTGCACAACCATGATTAACCAAAGGTCGTCCATTTCTTTCAGTTAGCCCAAGTAGTACAGTAAACCTCCTCCTTCCCCCATGAATTTTCCATTCTAAAATATAATGAAAAAACAAAACAAAAAAGGCCTGAGGCAAATTTTAAATCTCTGAAAAACCCTTTCCTTCTACCTTCACGTCTGTTGTCCACAGAGACCTATATCTCTACAATAAGTGACTCATTCAATTTGTAAATAAACACTGCTGCTGTTAGAAGAACATGTAAGGACAAAGTTCTCTGATAAGTACACGATCCAGTTTCTGATAGAGTGGTGAATGTTTCTGCCTCCTTTGCTGCCGCACAGTCCTGTCAAGGCAACGGGAACAAAACAAGGAAGGCCGGAGTCCCATGGAGCACTTGAGAGCTTTGCAACCTGGTCTCTCAGGTGGCACTTTATATGTACTGGATATGTAAATACATTTCTCCAGATACTGAAAAATGAAAGAACACTGGTCTTGGAAATACCCACTTGGATCACCAGGCCAAAAGCTTCTGTGCAGTGCGACATTTTGAGATGCTGATCATTACAAGCTCTGGTTACATTCCATATCTGCTTGTTTCCGAAATCTCAGTTTGGTGGCTGTCCGTCCTTAGACATCACCTGCAGCTTGACAATTCCAATAGTGGGCATGAGATGAACAGCCTTTCAGTGAGGAACTTGATTTCCTCACCTCTTCTCCATCTCTTCCTTGAGCAGGTGTGTCAAACTCTTTTTCTTCTCCAGGTGCTTTAATAGGGGATCTCCTTAGTTCCAGTTTCTGACCTATCATTCCCTTTCCTGCACTTTTGCTTAATATTGACATGTCAGTTCTAACTATAATTGGGTGGTGTGGAGATCACCATGTAAATGGCATCTAGACTACCGATCTATCATAGAACCCTCTGGACTTCTTCTTCTGTGACATTTCTGATTTTATTTCACTAGGAAGTGACCAGTGTGATGTCATTACTGTCCACCAGGAAAGCACATTCTGAACTAATTCATCAGAGCTCTCAATCACTGCACATCCACAGGCTTCATACCCCATCTTCCCATGTGTTCTTCATTGCTGGGAGAATTCACTGTGTGACAACTGAGACTGGATAGAACAGTTACCCTCACAATAAAATACTCTGTGGAACAAAAATCACAGGATGCAAATCCTGCACTAATTTGGTTCACTCTCATACAACTATCAATATGCTTAGGCTCAACAATTATAACATGAAAATCAAGATGGTCTATTGTTTATGAGATGTATTCAGGATCTGTGATCAGTGAATGGAAAGGGCCTCACTCATGGAGGGGGCCTCTACCAGATTTGGGGGATTTCTGCACATTACAACTCACCCCAGTTCAGCAGAATATCTGAACCCTCTGAGCAATTTCTTACAGGGGACTGGTAGGACTGCAAGGCCAAGGGGGCCGAGAGTCCATTTTTACCAATCCAGTTGTGCCCAACTAAACCTGGGTCTGAATCCAATGCTCCCCCCCCCACACACACACACACTCAGAAAGAGAGAGAGAGAGAGAGAGAGAGAGAGAGAGAGAGAAGCACCACAAAACTATCTTTCCTAAATGTGGGTACATGCTGAAGATCAAGTCTCTGCATGAACAGTCATTTAAAAATTTCATTTGAAAACTTCAAAGTCTTGCACACAACATTGCCAGACATCTTGCCTCATTTCTCCTAACTCCAGGGTCATGTATACCAGCCACATTTTCCCATAATCAGAAATGTTCTTTCTCACTGACTCAAGTGTTTTGTGTTTTGTTTTGTTTTGTTTGGGGGGGGGGGGGGGCAAATGTATTTCTTTTCCAGATAAAAAAGAGTAATTGTTTAGCTGTCTCCAACAATGAAAAATAGTGGGCTGTTTAGCTGTGGGAGACAGAGGCAGATTGACCGGTGTCTTACTTACACAGAGTAGGTGTTACAGGATCCTTTGCAGGATGGGACCATGATAGGAAAGGCTGATTTGCATGAATTATAAATAATGTGTTGGTTCTTCAACTTAATTCCACAGTCATGAGACAAGAGGGCACCTGAAAATGTAAAAAAATAAAAACTCTCAGCCTTATTTAATGTGAACTAAAACCATACAAGCTTTGAATAGAACATATTTTATCTTGCTTGAAACATTTCAAATGTAATTATCTAAAGCCCACTTCTGACACTATACTGTAATTCATGAGACATCCCAGAGAACCCTGAACAGAGGGATGGTGTAAATAGGGGGAAGGTGTAAATTAGTGTCCTGCAACAGCAGGGGGTTGGATCTGATGGCCTTCTTGGTCCCTTCCAACTCTACTCTTCTGTGATTCTATGATTCTGTGAAATACACGTGTTACAGTGTGCATGGGTTCCTGAAGGCCTAAGACCCAGAAGAAAATGAAGAATGAAAAAAACATGATGGGACTGACCAGAATGAGCAAAGTGAGTGGCCTGGAGTGGTTGGAGAATGGAACATAACAGATAAGATAAGCCCACCCTGTACCACCCAGAGAGAGAATGGAATGTGACAAGAGTGGGTGTGTTCAAGATAAAGACCAGCACATTCTGTGTCAGCTCTGCTCAGAGGAATTCATTGTTTGATCCAGTTGGACTAAGCTGATAGAGTCGACTTTAAGGTATAAAATGATTGGGCTTTCCAGCTCCCGTGTGTGCAAGAAGAGCGCTGCAACTGGTCCCCCACAGTCCCGATGGATCACCGAGAGGGTCTATTGGCTGTGAGTATGAGTGTTGCATGAATGCGGGTGTGAATGAGGTCTCTTGATATTGTTGCTGATAACTGCTGAACTTGTATTCTTATACTTCTGTATTCTTTACATCATAGAATAAAAGTTACATGCATAGTACTTAAAACCAGATCTGGCGTTCAGTCTCTCTTTGAGAAGGGCTTTCCTTGGAAACCTGATAGTTTCCTCTTTACTGAATCAAGGACCACTTTATTATGGTTGCACACAGATACTTGTGAGTCCAGAGTTCACATTTCCTGGGAGATAGGAAATTTTATAAATTTTACAATCTGCAATACCCGTGTTTCAGAGTGCATCTTAATACTTAAATCTCTCAGAATTCATGTTCAGGCCATAGTAGGAGGTGCTCATGGATGGCAGGAATGATTTAAGTAAGCAAAAAGTGTCATATCAGAATGAGACCAGAGAGGAGATTTAGCAGATTAACCATTTTCATCCAGCTCTCCTTCCTGCTATAATGGCATCACTTCATTACTGGAGTGGCACTATAGAACCAGGTGAGGAAAGACGCTTTTTCTGAATACCATTTTAGGAACTGAAAATAAAGCTAGCGGTACCAATATCATTGTGCCCTCATACAGATCAATGATGCAATCAGACACAGAATACTGTGTACAATACTGGTCATCACATCTAAAAAAGAGATACTACAGAGTTGGGAAAAGGGCAGAAAAGGGCAAGAGGTGGAGCCTCTGTGGGGAAAGGTAAGGACAGCTGAGAATTGTTAAGAGAGAATATGAATAAGGGAGACATGATAGGGATGCGCGAAACTAAGCATGGTGTGGAGAAGCGGAGAGGGAGGCATTTTTGTCCCTCTTGATATGGTCAGCTCATGAAGCTGACGGGTGGGAGATTTAGGACAGATAATGAGAGTAGCACATTGTTAAACTATGGAATTCACTTCTATGAGATGTTGTGATGGCCATCAATTTGGATGGCTTTAGAAGAGGATTGGACATATTTGTGGAGGATGCTATGCACGGCCACAATCCTGATGGCTCTTCACCGCTCCCAGGATCAAGGGCAGTGTGTGTATATATACCAGTCGTCGCCTTGTGCATAAGGGTGCTTCTGCACCCATGTCCTGCTTGTGGGATCCTGTAGGAAACAGCTTGGCCACTGTATAAACAGATTGCTGGACCAAACAGACCCTTGCTCTGATATGGCACAGCTCTTCTTATGTTCTCACAAACAAGCATTTAAAGAAAACTGTATTCATTTCCTTCAATCTAGTTAAATCACTTTCCCATCAGAAAACTGGATTCTACTCTAGTGTCTTGGGGGATATTCTTAGGAATTAAGAGTTTTGGTTCTGATGCAAAAGCAAAGTTACTGCCCTTGTGTTGCTACCAGGATTAAACTCTAGCACCACACAGATCCTGCTGTCATGTAACATCTCAGCATACAAATCTGATGACTTGGATAATGTAGGAATACATGAATTTGCCCAGTTCAGTTTCTCCTGATTGCTCATCTTCTTTAATTATAAATTTGGTTCATCCTGAAGTTTTGAATATTTTGCAAAAAGAAAATTCATGAATATTAACATATTTCTCCTAATACATTGCCTAATATACCATTTTTTGCGATCATTCTCCTAATATAATGAACATTATCATTATTTTCCTAATTATAAGAAGAGGCCTGGTATGCTGTAGTAGTTAACAGTGTGGGACTGAAGCTCATGCGACCTGGGTTCTAGTTCCTGTTCAACCATGAAGCCAACTGGGTAACTTTAGGTCAGTCACAGACTCTTAGTCCATTCTGCCTCTCAGGGTTGTTGTTGTGGGGATAAGATTGAGAGCAGCAGGTAAAGAACGATGTAAGTTGCTTTGAGTTCATTGTAAAAAAGGTGGAATGTAAATCTAATACATAAATAATGCTTTTTGTGCATATTTTCTTGGTATTTGTATATATTGGGGAATTCTCCTGCAAAATTTGGAAAAGTGTGAATCTTGAAGCATAACTGTTTGGATTAAGTAACATTAGATAAAGTGACATTCAAATGGGCAAAGGTAGGACAAAGTTAGAGGAATTTGACTGAAAGCATGGTGGACCTAGCATCCATACCATATGCTGTGTGCCCTCTTTGATTTGTCTCAGAGGAGTTTGAACAGAAAAACTTACTTCTGTGAACACCCTTTCAAATGTTTGTGACACCCATCCAGAGTAAATAAAAAGATAAAAAAGAAGTTAAATTTAAGGGAGAGAACCCCCCCCCCCCAAATAAAACAAAATAAAACAAAACTACAACATTCTATGAGAGATGGATCTATAGGAGTTGGAATTTCAGCTACCTGGTTTGGCTGGACCTAACCTAACATATAAATATAGATGCAGAATTTTCTCGTTAAATTCCAGAGCCTCATCAAAGGAAAACCAGGAACAAATGACTTTTCCCCTAAAGCCTGTTGTCTCCAAGAAAAAGCAAGATCATCTTGGCTAATTTGTAAGTTGAGAGTCATAATGAAATTGCAAGTCCCTTTGTTTGCGTTCCTAAGATATTGCTCTGAGCATACTCACAGGTCTCACAGCATCCATCTGGAGTAGTTCGAATGGTTCCCTGTTTTGACAAGAAACGTGTCAGATCACAGAGTATAATATGACTGTTTCACATGTTCTTCCTTAAAAATCAGGCCAGACCACTTTCTTCCTCCACCACTTAAAGGGGACACATATTTATTTAATATTAACTTTTGTACTGCACTGGTTAAAAAACTACCAAGGCTTTTAAAATTTGAAATGATACATTTTATAAACCGCATATAGAATCTAATCCAGCCTTCCCAAACCTTGTGCTTTCCAGACACATTTGGACTGCAACACCCGGAATTCCTGGTCAATGGCCCTGCTGGATGGGAATTCTGGGAGCTGGTGTCCAAATGCCTCTGAAGGGCACCAGGCTGGGGAAGGCTGATCTAACCTATCCATTTGGTTCACTGTCACAACACTGTTGCTGTGATGTAGCAAGAGAGCATCCCTCTCCCAGGGGATGTGGCAGTAGCAGCAGAAAACAGAAATACTACATGACTTCCAGCACACTTCCTCTCAGTTCTAACTGCCCAACGCTTCTCCCACTGGGTTCACCCCTGGAAAATCCCTTCCATCAACCAGGATAACATGCAAACATCTTCAAAAAATCTCTAAATCTCTGATGCAGAAATGGGATTGTCCTTGTGGCTTCTTTATAAGATTTCCAGAAATATGTTGGAGGACACTGTTTTGTGGGATTGCCAATTGCGCAGGCAAAGCCTCTGCAGGCCCAGTTTGTCCATACAATCTACTGAATGTGGATAGTACCCCACAAATACCGAAACGACTTTGTTTTTTCTTTACCAATTCATCCCCTTCTTAGTTTTCCTCCCATTTCACTCCCACCAAAACTCTTTACATGCCCAGATCCTCCTTAAAACATTTCTTGCAAATATCACTTCCCTCCAGATCTCCCAACAGGATCCTGGAAATCAAGCGGGATTTTCACACAGGCTGATGTTTAAGAATGTGCTGTGTAGCAAAACTCACTGGGACACAGTTTGATGGATCAAATGCCTGACACGGAATTACTGCATGACTCAGAACAAACTGATCTGATGACCTGGTGCATCGATACTGCGTACAGTTATCCTTTGGATCTTTGTAGGTCTCCCCAACCTGAACAGTAAAAAAAAAAAAAGGCAAAAGCAAAAACATTTGGAAATAGATTACTTATTTTCATGTAAATGTTTCATGCAGAACAGCATATTTTTCACTGCTACTACAGGGAGTGGAATTTCTTTAAAAAGTGCTTAGAGGAGCAAGTCTCCCAAGTTCCCCAGTGCTTATTGCAAGCTCATCTGAAAATGGCAGAGAGCTTGGTTTACATTCCAAAATTCCAGAGAATAGCACATATGAAAGTATCCAGTGGCCTAGATGAACCCCAGGGCTTTTGATTGTTTTTGCAACCAGCATGATCAAAGGTAGCCTTCCTCAGCGTCATGTCCTCCAGATAAATGGACTACAGCTCCCATCATCTCTAGAGCACTTCAGACCCATTTTTAATATTCTGATTTGTTATGAAACCTTTATCATTGCTTCTCGAATTGGATTAAACAGGAAACTATCACTAATGGAAGACTTTTTGCTTGGAGCTGCGTAGATCACCATGAGCCTGCAGAGGCCCATTTGTCAGGCACTTATTAATTAATTAATTAATTAAATTTGTGCAAGAGCCATCCACTGGCACTTGTGAAAGGGCTTTCCTCTTGCTCACTCCCATATTGTAAAGTGTACTCCTTCAAGGACTATGATGGGCCTCCACACTTCCGACTCGTACAGACACATCTTTTTAACCTAACCTTTATAATGATTATATTTTGCTTTACTGTGTGTAATGTTCCCATTTTTATTGGGTTAAGCTTTGGGGTTTTTGTTCACTGTCATGATGGCTTCTAGCAAATAAGGTGGGATATAACTGCTAATCACTCATGAATTAATAAATAGAAGGGCCAATTGCCTTTGCTCAATTAAACTAGGATATGACCACCCAAACTCTCCCAGTGGGACTAAATTCTCAACAACATTACGCTGCCCATCTGCATGCCCTCTTCTACTGCGTCTTGCAAGCAGCAGCCCTCTCTTCCACGGCTGACATCAAGGGTGGGCAGGCTTGGATGCCCCACCAGGGGCCCACTGATAAGAGACCTCCGGAATGGCTCTTCCTCTCCAGTTCTGCAGCCTGCATGCAATCCTGCCTCTTGCTCAAGCCCAGGCAGCAGCACTTGCCATGAAGAATAGCACAGAGGCCGCTGCCAAATTGCTCCCTGGCTTTCTGCCTGACAAGTGAGCAAGTGGCTGCAATCATATGAAAGCAGTTGAAGGCAGTTTTCCCTTTTCCTTTGGCCAAGAGCTGAGATGGGAGTTTGCCCTGATTTGTGTGGCAGGACAGGCTACCATAAATAACCCACTGTCTCATCATGACATCCAAACCTGCCATGCTTGCTTCAGGGCAGCCTGTTTTCCATGAGCCTCCTTGAGTATGCATGACTTTTCTTAGGGTTGTTCGTGCCCATGATGCCCCATTGGGACATCTGAACACACAGAGCAATTTTTTCCTGGGTTGTCTGTCATGGCTACAAGCTGCTCGGCAAACACAGCAAAATCCCTTGCCAATGGCTCTCGTGGTCCCTCCAGTGCCTGCCCTTTCACTGAGGCCAAAATGACACTTTGGAAGGCCTATCATGCATCCCTCAGTTTTTCTGTTTTATATTTTGGCATCATATTTTTTCCAACCACGGCAATTGTTGGAAAGGTGGACTGTACTGGGGAATGGCAGCTGAAAGCAGAAAAAAAAATGAGAGGCTCACAAGAGGGAGCTATTGTCCCGTGCCCCTTTTTGGTGCGCATTCTGTTAATGCTTCCCTCCATTTCTAGCAAAGTTTTTCAGTTGACAGATAGGCACTAGTCCCGTGGAAACACCGTGCAAATTACCCTATGTGGAGTCTCACTCTGTCTCCATTTTGAAAGCTGAAACTGACAAGGAAAATGAGCAGCTGAGACTCTACAGACCGGATTACACTCGTGCACCTGAAGCATGCTCTCTCTTACACAAAAGCACAATTTTCAGGGGCCTGAGAAATAAAACGCTCTATCCCAACTGCAGTTTTCTGAGGCTCTGTAAAAGAAACCATGGTGATGAACAAAAATGGGTAGTGATCAGGGCAGGAAAGGAGGAGGCAGCTGGGCCCTTGTCTGCAGAGGATGCTAAGATACATGCCAGAGCCAGCTAGAGGACTGAGCAGGAGGGAGGCAGAGAATGACTCATGATCAGCCTGATCTTCAGTGAACAACCAACCGACTGTGGCTTATTTGCAAATTGGCTTCTCATAACATGCGAACCCAGCCAGCGCATGACTGCTGCAACATTGCTTTAATCTCAACATACATTGGCAGTTTTGCTCCTGGCCTGAAGCCTGGGGTGGGGGGTTTGTCAGTTCAAATTCCTTCCATCCCCACAGCCTTGCAGGCTCCATCTCTGTTGTTCACAGAGTTTTTTGCAACACCTTCTGATCTGAAGTAAGCAGTAGTTTTCTTCCAATACATGCTTTTGGAATGCAGATGAGTCTTGACAATTGCCTTTTACCAAATATCCTATTCAGTGCAGGACTTTACCTTCCATTGTTGCAGAAGAGAACATAGCACCCTCAGTTTTCAGAAAGATTCAAATGGTGTTTCTGAAGTAACTTAGCCATGTGGTCCAAGGCCACAGTGCAATGGATTGTAATGTAGGCGAACAGGTACCTCAATTGCCACTGTTCCAGAAGAAAGCTTTGCCACGCATGCCACCTGCACACATGCGCCACAGCACTTCCCTTCTTCTTGGATGTAGCGGAAACCCTGAGTGCAAGAAGATGATGGCTGTTCGTCACAACGCACATTCACGCCAAATCAGTTACGCTGAGGTATACATGGGGCCTTGGGGCTCCTGTGCTTGCATGCTGCCCTTGGAATTAAAGGGGGCCTCAGTCAGCGCATGCAGAGGAATGGAGGGAAGCCCTGACTAATGGATGGCTCCGCGCGCACACCAACATGTCTGCGTCCGGAGCAATCACTTGACACAATCGGCTACAGCAAGTTGTGCATCTTCAGCCTTCATTGACATCAGCGCTCAGTACCTGAAATCCCAAATATGTGCCTTTTTATGGCATCTGCAGTCATGAAAATTCCCTGAAGGCCAGAAGAGTTACTATACTGACGGTGTCTTGTGCAGGCACCACTCTTCCCCAGCCCTGCTAAGCTGGCAAGTTCCACTGAGGAACTGCAACATTTAACAGGCCTTGTTAAAAATCCTGGCAGGAATCACCGTGGAAGATCTCATGGAAAGATACTGGGCGGCCCCAGGAGACATTGCCCAGGTAGGATACCTGGACAGCACATAAGGTGCTTTGCCGTTTTGTATGTCAGATTCACATTTTCCTCCCTTAGAAGCACGATAAGCATACACAAAGGGTGTGCGGATGTGAGAATATCAGAACAAGCCTCACTGTTTTCTGTGATTGAAAAACCCTTTTTAGACTTTTCAGTGCTCCTTTCCTGCATCTATGTTTATTCCTAATCCCAGAGCAATAGCACGTACTGGGCGTAAGTCTTGCCGAGACCCAAGTGGAGAAGGTGGCAGCCAGCTCACCTGCTGGCACTGAGCAGAACACTTCACTGGTGTGCATGTAATTTGGTTGACGTCGGTGGCAGGATCCTGCGTGTCAGTACAGAGGCATTCCTCGCAAGAATTGGAAGGCACCAATGAGCCAGGCTTAAATGGAAAATGGGAAGGGGATGGGGGAGGACTGAGTAAGTAAACGTAGCCTGTGAACACAGAAATGCTGCCGAGTAAAATAGAATCTGCAAAAGACTGTTTTTAATAGCTAATGTAAATGATGCTGGATGTGGTTGCAGGGCCAAATTCAAATGCATGATTGTATTTGTCCATCTTTAATCAAAAATACAAGAAGCAACAGTCTGGACTTATCTAGGCATGGGGGCTCAACAGTTTCCCTGCACATGTACACACACCGCTAAAAAAATAGGCCTGGTGAGAAGACAAGCACCCAAGTTCTTTTAGCGAGTGACCTGTGATTTCTTGGAATGCGATAAGTCCAGGACAAGCGGGTCAAATACCTGGGAGGTGGGGGGGGGGGCGGAGGAACTTTTTTACTGAACTTTGGTAGCTTCTCCCCTGCAGATGCCAGAGCCTCCTTGCCAGAGAGATGAAGGAACCGGCTGCAAACTCTCTAGTCTGCAGCTCCAAGAAACCAAACTGCTCTATTGACTGGGTTGTGAGGGTCCCTTGGAGTACAGCAAGATCAGCACCGGAGTAGCAAGGGGAATTGGAGAAGTTATTTCTGTTTATTGCCAATTTTGATCTCAGTTTTGTTGGATTGCTTCACTATAATAGCCAAGTTGACCTGCTGATTTGTCCCTGTTTGAATGTGTTTGCCAATGTAATTATTCCAACAGAATTTGAATTTGATGGCTGAAAATGTTAACTGTGACTTATCTTGAAGCTCTTCTCATCTCTGCTGTGACATATTAAGAGGTATCACTTCAGAATTCTTAGAACGGAATTTTATGCTCACCACATGCATGTTCTGTTAGGCATAGTCTCCCGGGGATTAAAGAGCATTAGCAAAATTTAGAGCATCTGTTTTTCCTTTATCGCTAATGCATACTTAGTCGACTATTCCCCCTTGTTCCATGGCCCAAAGAAGACAAAAGGGGGCCAAGACCAATCAGCCTCCCTAAAGTGAGGAGGAGAGCCCTGCAAACTGCCTTGAGTTCCTTGCAAGAGGAAGAAGGCGGGATGTAAATACATCCTCATCCTCTGCGTCTTTCCCAGGGACATCCTGGCTAGATATTTAAAGGAAACTTTAGCCACACATTATCTTGCATTTTAATGTATTGTCCTTCATATGGGAGTGAGAGGGAGAGCTTTGCATGCTCATTTGCCAGTGGCTGCAACAAAGTCACAGATGATGAAAGGTTCTCAATTAGTAACAGCAGACAAGTAAATTAGAACAAAATAAAATCTGCCAACACTGAAGGATGGATCATAGCAGAAATGTTTGAATACGATGTACTTAAGAGATCTTTTATACTTGTATAAGATTCTAGTTATACATAAGATAAGGTTTTTTCTTTTCTTTTTTCGTTTTGCTTGTTTTTCAACTATTACAGGTTAAAAGCTCAAACATACTCTAGCAGTGCAGTAAAAGCCAGCTCAGCCCCTACCTGGTACTCAGTCCCTTGAGATACACAGACATGTTTGGGTCCTGTAAGTAAAAGAAATTCATAAATGTTGGAAAAGTTCATATCCACTCAGAAATAAATCCTACAAAGTTCAGTGGGACTTTCTCCCGGGTAACTGGGATCGTAACCTTATTCTGCTTCCATGCTCAAAGAGCACCGTGAATTTGGAACTTACTACAGGAATAAACAGGGCAGCACTCTCCTTCAGAAGTGTCGGTTACCATCTGGAAGCCTGGGCTGCATGTCCTTGTGGTCAGACGGCAAGACCTTGCATCGCATTCTGTGCAGGAAAAAGCAGAGAGAATGAGAAGGAATTACTTTTGGGGTCTTTCATCAAGATGACATAGACAGAGAGGATGGCTAGTAGCAGCCTTTTAAAATAAGAAATGGCGTTAATGATAAAGTTCTGGATCATCCATACAGAACTTGTGTAGGCAAGAGGGGGCAGCGTCTGATGCGCATCTGTTAGTCCGGGAAACCCAGGGGGTCTTTGTTCTGCCATGGTTGCTTACCGCACGCTACTTCTGTACAGCAAGGATCTTCTGACTGGGTCCGCACTACTGGGGCAAATCCTTCCTTCGTGCAAGTGATTGGTTGAGACTTGGCACAAATGTGGGGTGAACAATAAATTTCCAGCATCTCTGTGCTGCAAGTGCAGACCTGACAATCTTTTTCCCAGGTCTCTCCTGGCTGCATGATAAATGAAAGAAATGTTGACCGGATCATTTCATAATTCTGGGCATAAGATTATGCGTGGAGAAGGGCCTTCGGTCAGTTGTAGAGCGTACCTTGCACACAAAAGGGCTCAGATAATTCTCTAAAAAGTCCAGCTGGGACTGCGAAAGATTTATACAGAGCCACTGCCACTCGATGCAGAGTCTACCCCAACCTTCCTCAATCCAGCGCCCTCCAGATGTGTTGGATTACAACTCCCCTGATAGTACTGGGAATGATGAGAGGGGTAATCCAACCGACCACTGATCACCAGGTCAGGCAAGGCGATAATGCTAACACAGATGCAATGGAAGTCGATTCTTAAAAGCAGGATTGCCATGCCCACAATCTCACACGCTGTAGGACAATTCAGGACAGTTTCCACAGCACCCCTGTCACTGCAGAGCGCTTCACAACCCTCGAACGGCACCCAGGGATTGCCAAGGCAGACGGCAGCTTTTCTTCTTGTCCTCCCCCTCTGCACCCCTAAGAGGCTTCCCCAGAGGATGAGCAAGGTGCTCATGAACAGTGTGGGCTGGATCACACACCTAAAATTGGGCAGAGGAACCTGGTGCCAGCAGAATCCTGCCCTGCAGTTGTCCTCTGCCTGACTGCCTGTGACTGATCTCCCCACCGTGAGCCTGTTTCAGAGGGGCAGCTCAGGGGAGCACAGAGGGGAAAGACGAGGAGAGAAAATCAATTGCACATGATGCCCTGCACTCATGCTTCCATTAGAGGCACCCCAGGTCCTTTTCATGCCCAGAGCTGTTCCTATTCCTGCTGTGGAGAAAAGGAAAAGAAGTTGAGAGAGAGAGACTTATTCAAAGCCACACACTTTATTATGTGAAGCGAGACAGCACTTGAGTCGAATTATACTCTCATCTCTCCACTTCACACTTTCTCTTTAACAGGGCTACAATGGTTCTGGAAGGGCAACTTGATGCATCATTTTCTCACCTATGAGAAAGACTCAGAAATTGTCAAGAGGTTTGCAGATAAATGTGCGCACACACATGCAGTAGGATATTTGTGTCCCCTGGTTCAACAAGGATCTTGACAGCTCTCATCAAGACACCTCCTTTGTGACATTGCAAGAGCTTTGAAACAGAATACGAGGAAACATAGAAACTGCTCTGAGAGGCAATGAAATATATGGGGATTTGCAGCAATGGAATCATTCATTCCCCAGAGAGTTGATTAGCTCCCATGGGGAAAAGCTTCTCTTGTAGGGCTGCTCTGAACCAGCTTTTAGTATGTCAGACTGTATATTTTTCTTCCTTAAAAAAATCCTGTGTTGGCAGTGTTAACTCTTTTCTTTCCTCTTCCTTGAGCATGTGTAAGTCGATGCTCTGGGTATCCATGGGCATGATGAAATGACAGCACTCCATGGCAACACTCTGCCATTAATGCTGCTACTACAGAAGTATGATATATTTATTTCAGTTCATTCTTGATCAGGATTTTTCACAGTTTGGACCTTCCAGACCAATCATAGACTTGGATGCAATCTGTCAGTTAAATTCATATATTTACAAGCTTGCAAGGTGGTTCACAGGCCAAAACAAAACATGTACTTAACTGATCTGGGAAATATGCATGGGAATATGTATGGATTTTCAAGAAGATCGAAGCGTGAGAGTTGATCCAGACCTGAGTCAGAATGACTTTAAAATGGAATTCAGAGAACTTTGCTGAGTGTGAGCTTTGCTGGTTCTCACATCCCTGGCAGCCATAATCAATGGTTACAGACTGACATGGTTGCTATTATCACACTGTTATTGCACAGTGTTTGCTGCATGCAGGTGATCAGTTATTTCAACATATCTCAGCGTGTGACTACAGCTTAAAATTGAGTGCATTTCAGAACAGAATTCAGAGGTTAGCTCCTGCTTACCTGCCTCAGTGCTCCATCTGGTCCTCTGCAGCCTACAAAGTAAGACAATCAGAAGATAAGGAAGATGACTGAGGAAAGAAAGGTTCAAAATTGCAGACCCATGAATCAGGATGCCAAAAGAGCGCATCTGGGGGAACATGAGAGCACCATGGCTAAAAGCATCTAGTTCCCACTCATAAATCTTAATGTTTTTCTGCTTATACCACCGTCCCACACAGATTATTCAAAGGGTGTTTATCCAAACAAATCTGGCCAGTTTCTTGGCCCAGTTTTCCTTTGCACTGTGTCAGTCTCATTGCTTCCATGGGTTCCACTAACCAGGCCTTAATTCAGAATGTAGCATACATCCTACAAAGGTAGTGATATTGGGAAGCTTGGACTGATGGTACTCTTCCCCACACTCTCCATTTCCTTACCACAGACAGGAACACAAATGCTATCATAATGATTCAACTGGATCATCCCATCAGGGCAGAAGCATCCTTCCAAAAGTACTTCTGGAATCATATCCCTTTGTGTTGGTGTGGTGCGGGCATCATTTTTTCTGTAGGGTTATTAAGAGGGCAAAGGAAGGGTCACTAGGTTACTATTGGATGACTCATCTTTTATTTTGTTTCACTGGATTATTAACTCACTCATTTCTCAATGGCTGAAATGGGGAACATTTAGCAATAGTCTGATCAAAGCAGTCCAATAAATATTTAGCCATCATCACCAGAACCAACAAACAAGTAAATGGTGGCTAAAAGGTAGATACGCTGATGAACTCCAGCTGATCTAGACTTCCCCCTAAAACCCAATGGGATGCGTCCCTGAAAACACCTTCTGATACATATTCCAATGTGCCTTCTGGTACAACTGAGGATAGATGAGCATTTCAGAGGGAGGTCAAGGCAGCTTTGTTTGACCTCAGGGATGTCACCAGCTAGGCAAATCAGAATCTTTGCATAGCTCCATGATTGCACGAGGTTCGTTTTGTGATCCCTGATTGGCTGGGATTGTGCAGTGAAGCAAAAAGAAGGCCGGTTTCTGTGTCAGCTACAGAAGCAACAAGCCCATGAAGAGAATATTAGCTATGGACATGCGTGAACCCTGGAGTGGAGGCGGTTAGGGAGGGAGAGGTTTCTTGGAGGGTGTTTCATCACACCATTCAAAAGTACCCTTCTTGCCTTGAATATGTCTGAGAGCAAAAGTCTGGCATAGCTTTCATTATTGTATCCACATTAAAGAAAAACTACAAGTGGAATGCTGAGCAGGTGAGCTCATGGAGATAGCCGTAAACAGCACATTGTTTTCACAGTAGAAGAGGGCCTGAAGCTCATGAAAGATCAGCTGATAAGCTGAACATAAATTACTCACCCGCTAGAGCAAGTCAGCCTTTCCACCGTGGCACAGGGTTTATAGATCTGGTCTGGAGAGCATGCGAATTCTGTGAAAAATTAACAAATTGCAGGTGGAATTCATCTGCGTAGGCCTTCCATTTCCCAAGCACCAAGCAATTCACTCAGGAATAATCGCTAGCCCTACTCCTTAGCAGAGGTTGCTTGGCACCCTTCAGCTGTTTTGGATTATGCTTCCTATCTTCTCTGTCCATTGACTGGGGCATATGGGAGTTGTGGGTTAAAAGAACAGGAGGGTACCATGTTGCCTGCTTATATGCATTTGCTGGTAAACCTCAGGGAAGGGAAACAGGAGGGCACCCCTGCAATGAAGGATGGGGTGCTGCTAAGAAACTCGACTTTGAGGGGGCCCAACCCGCTCTTTAGAGAAGGGGTCCAGGGAAGACCCAAGTTTTGAACCCTCACTGAGAGATTACAGGCCCTGGTGGGTTCAGTGGGTTGTCTAAAGGCCCTGAGAACAGCCTAGGAACACTAGCCTGACACCAGCCCTGCAGGGTTTCACATGCATAAAACGTATTCAGAAGAAAGCTAGACTGGAATCTTCAGTGACAGTGACAGGTTTGCTTCCTGTATTCAGTGAGTTTTCGGTGAGTGTTTCAGGAGCAGGAGCTTGAACTGGGTGACTTTGGGCCAGTCACAGACTCTCGGCCCAACCTACCTCGCAGAGTTGTTCTTGTGGGGATAAGATGGAGGAGGAGAATGATGTAAGCTGCCTTGAGCCCTTTGTAGGAAAAAGGCAGGATATAAATCCAAAAATAAATAAATAAATAAAAATTTATTTATTTATTAAAAGTTTTTATACACTATCCACTACAAGCATCTTGGGACAGCTTACAAGAAACAGAACAAACAAACAAACAAACCAAAATATAAAGCTAAACAAGGCACTGCATCCTACCTCAATAATAAATCCCAGAATAAAGCCAATTAAACATTAAAATGAAGGGAAAATAAAAAGTTCTCTGCCTGAAATAAAGCAGCCTAGGGAAGGCTATTCTGTAGGATATATCTGACTGCAGTCCATTTCTACCTTTGAAGATAATCTGATTCATTTTCTAATCTTGATGGGCTTACTGGAATAGAGGTTGTCTAATGGTCTATATTATGTTCAGGAGACTCTTCATGCACATGAAGTTATGCTCAGCCACAGACCCAAACCTCTTCAGAGGACATATCCATCCTGACTCTGCTTTCACACTCTCTGTCTTCTGATGTAACTTTGCCTGCAGCCAGATTTCTATCAAGGCACTTGTGGCCAGTGCCGAGCGTAGGTTTCATTAGGAGCCACTGCCAAGAACCTCTTGGAATTGCTTCTCCATTTTTAAGTTCCAACCTGCTTCTTCAGCTGCCTCTCAGCTGGCCCAGACAAAAGATCTCTCTGCCCACTGGCTCTCTGGCTCTCTGCCTATCAAGCAAGCAAGGGGTAGTAATGATGAGAAAAGATGAGGAGGAGGAGCAGCCCGTGACAATGCTGGTAAAAATGTAGACTTGATGGTGGCGGAGGGGGAGGCACTGATGGTATCTTGCCCAAGAGCTCTCAAAAGCCAGAAACGGGCACCACATATGCCTACCAGATCAAAATAAAAGCCCACAGCAACCAGGCAACACAACTGGGATAGACCACACAACCAAAAAGAATAAACTCATCCCCAGGTTCCCTGAAGGTTTTTCAGCTCACCGCATTTCTTGCTGGCTTTGCTTCTCCAGTCCACACAGATCCCGTGAAACCCACACAGGGCTGCATAGGCCCAGAGACTCCCACATTCCGTGTGCTGCTCTGGCGAGGAGGCGCATCCATCCGCAACGCAGGCATCATAGTAAGGTTGTGGGGGGACGGCATTGTGACAAGCAGTGAAGTTCCTTGTTGGACAAAGAGCATGGCGTCATTTCTTACAGTGTGATGCAACATCTTCAAAGCAAGGGAAATAGAAACCAATTGGAACCCTTTGTTCATATTCCAACCATTCTACTATAGATGACCTTTAAATTAAACTCCTATTGATTGGATGCTAATACATCTAGCATTACGTAGATTTGTAAGTATAGGTTCGTTTTAATTCACAGTGAATCCTGTATCATTCTTATTCTTGGAGATGGTTGAGTTGGATCCAAAATTATCACTCAGCCTTGAACTTCGAAGAGCTGAATGAAGCATAAATGGACCGTTAAGAGCTCTAAGATTGCATGCCAAGGGAGAGGGGTGTCAATGCTTTTTTACAGGACTAGCTGTATTTGTCTTGGTTATTTTACAAATCCAGTTACAATATTTAGCTGAATTTGATGGTGTTTTGTTATTTATGTTTTATACTGTATTTCAGGAATTGTTGTACACTGCTCAGCAAGCTTCAACTGTTGGATGGTATACACATTAAGTGAACAAATAAAATACTGCAGAGCATTGAGGTATCTAAAGATCTGGACAGGAAATCTGCTGCAACTCCCACCATCTCAGAGTTCCTCTTGTAGAAATTGCAGTCAGAGAACAGTAACTGACAATGTGCTTTACCAGATGAGTTGACATAGCGGAGGAGCCCTGCAGGTGGTTATTTTGGATGGTGGCCGTTCAGCCTGAGTCCGGTGTTGTTCTGAACTGCAGTATCTAGTGAAGAGGTCCATCACTTTCCAGTCCTTTGCCATCTCTGTGAGAGAATTTGCAATTCTGCCGTTCCTTTTCAATGCATCGTCCCCCCTTTCATTGGTGCATGTACCTGTCAGGATAAGAAAAGCACTTGGCCAAAGGTTAAGAAAGCAAAGGCATCCATAAGTGCCTTAATGGAAGGAAAAATGATAAATGCTTGCCCTAAAAACAAGCAGCTGATTCCATTCCTTGTTGTTTTCCCCCTGTTGGCTTTCTTCACTTTCTGTTCCTTCCCTTCCCTGAATTCTCCTCATGCTTTTCTCCAATCCATTTCTCCTTCCCTCTCCCTCCACCACTATTCCTAATTGACCCCCCCCCCATTACAAATAGAATGTACTTTGGCAAATAACAAATGGTAGAGAGTGTGCCCTCCCCCCCTCATTCCCTCTCCCCAAACTTCTCCAGTGCAGATGGACATTTGAAACAGAAGGTAATATGAATCAGAGAGCTTCAGCTATTGGGCTGCACAGAAGTGTAATAATTAAATAAATGAAGCCACCAATAAAAGCACTGTTAACGCAAGCAAAACACAGCCATTGGGCACATCCGCTGTTTCGCGAGTATGCAATACTTACCGCATTGTCCTTCAGTATTGTTATAAAACGTGCTAAAAGGCACATTTAGATAAAAAGCAAGGTGAGTGTATGTGATGTGAAGTCCAGTTTCAGGTATTTTAACCATCACAAATGGGCCCGAAGCGGTGATATCAAAGCCATCCATTGAAAAAGGTGGAATGATTTCTTTATTGTTATACAGAACCTTTGAAAAGGGAATGGAATGGAAAGATGAGAACAAGCCAGGCTTCTTGACATGGCCTGGGGTGGGGGAGGAAGTGCAGTGCCTCCCACAGGGACTCGCCCTCCCACAGCCTTGTGCAGTTCGCCACCCTCCCTTTTAAAGGGGGAGATTTTTCTGCTCCGACTCTGGCAAGCGACAGCCCTTGGCCCTTGCAGGCCTTTCAAATGAGGCTTCATAAAATGGAGTTGGTTGCCGGGAGGGACGACTGCAGATTGGCTGGTATTTGTCCTATTTATTTGTAGTTTAAGTGTTCCATGTGTGTTCCCTTGATGGCAAAACTAAAGCAAGGGAGCACTCAACTGCTAAGGGGGTGGGGGGGGGGAGTAGAAAGCACCCACAGGGCAAACCCATGCATGGAAAAGGCCATGGCGGCTTGCTAACCACTCTGCACTCCCCCCCCTCCCAAAAAAAAGAAAGAAAGAAAAAGAAAATCAGTTTCAATCACTGTGACTTCGGAGAAAAACGTCCTTGATCAGGAAGAGAAAATACCCATTCATGCATCTCATTGGATGACCTTGAGCAATTTGATGCTTTCCTTTAGTGGTCCTCTCTCCTCAGTGGAATTTTGTAAGAAAAAAGCTTAGTGCTTCATAGGACAAAATGTGGGATAGAAATGTTTATTTCGTGTTTAACTCAGTGATCATTTATGGATCACTGCCTGATCCTTTATAAATGTATTGATCATTTTTTGATCTTCTATTGCTTATTTGATTAAACATCAATCAATATATGAGAAAAACACAGCAGAACATTTTTCAAACTTTCTCCATTTTACCTCCAATTTTTTCCTTATGTTCCTTTGAAGATTTGATTTTGGTCATATAAAGCTTACTAATGTTCTGTAAAATATTCACAAGGAATTTAATACATGTCTTACCAGGTTGCCTTCTTTTCCATTTTCAGCTCCTTGTGTCAAAATGACTATGGAGTGATTGTAAAATATGAAAAGGGCCATAGAGCAAATAGCTCTATATGATGGAGCACAATAATGATTGTCCATGTAAATCCAGAAGTTCCAAGCATCAGGTCTGATTGGTTTCATCAGGAGATAGGTACAATTCCCACGGAAATTATAATACGACCCATCAAAAGTTATATAATGTTGATTTCCCCATCCATTGCAGGCACCTAGAAAGCATGAGCAAACTTACTAAATTTAGAATAAGAGAGCCACAGGGAAGGACCAAAATGCCCCCAAGGATCCTCCATCCATCCATTAGTTTACCACGTGCAGATTAAAAAATTAGCGCTCAAGATGACAATATGCCACAAATGGAGGAAAAGAGCATCAAAATGTACTGAAGGTGCCTGCAGTACGCACTGGTCCAGACAAATCGAGGAAATGTGACCGTTGAGCCTATTGGAGATGTCCTGAATATAAAACTAGGCTCTTGGTTTTCATTGTCCCATCCTGCTGCAGCTTTGTAAAGAAATCCATAAAAATTACTAGTCCATGAGCATTCTTACTCCCCTGCTGTTCACAAGAAACTAAGCTCATTACTTGTGGCACATAAACAACTTGAACCAAAAAAATCAACCCATCCCAATCCAGACACAAATGCAAACACAAATCACCCCCTCCCACCAACCCTTTCCCAGTTTACAGACATTTGTGTGCCTCGAATCATATGGAACATCCATGTACAACAAAACCAATAATTTACTGGCATTAATCCTTTGCATTTCAATTGTTTATAATGTTTTGCTCCAATTTGTATGAGTACAATTCCCATCATCCCATACACTATTACAGTAAAAGTATATGGAACTGGTTGCACTGGCAAAGCAGGGACAGAATGTTCCATTTTGCTGGCTCACCTGGTTGTGTATCTGTGTCTGTCTGTCTGCCTGCAGTGTAGCTAAAACTGGACCTTTGGTAGGTGGGCAAGCAGAAGACACACCAGAACCTGTCAGCTGAAGGCAGAAAGTGCAAGCTACATTTGGTTTCTGGAATCATGATGCTGGCATGATTTGGGTGAGTTTAAAATGCAAGACTGCACATGCTCCAAGTAGTTGAGATGGGCGTTGCATGCACAGCAGCAGCAGGAGGGGAAACATTAGTTGTTGCTTCACAACTGAAGTGATATAGAAGAACTCTATAAGACCATTATGTTCAAAGTCTAAAATAACCTAGCTACACAATTTGTGGTGTTTGGGAATGTGTGTCTGTGACAGAACCTCTCTCATTCTCTTTCTTTCCCTCTCTATCTCTCACACACATGGGGGGAAGGAGGGAGGAAGGGAAGGGAGGCAAGTACAGGGTCAGAAGAAACTGTCAAAGCTCCACCCATTTTGAGTCTCGGTCCTGTTCGCTGTATGCATTCCCTACACATTTTCCCAAGGCAATGCAGCCCTTGCACCAGAAAGCTTCCTCATTCCTGTTTTAAATTTGCAAATTACTTCACCTGTTATTTTAGCTTTAGCAATATGGAACCTAGGACCTTCTTCCAGCAGCACTTACACTGACACTCCAAAGCTTCACAGCATCCAGGTGCGTCCTGCCTTTTTACAGGTGGCAATCCATTAACACAGGATTGAATCTTTGGAGGAGGGCAGCGCACATCAGATACATGGATGTGTTTTCCACCTAAGCAAGTAGCCATTTGGCAGCTCCCAAATTTCCATAATTCTTGAGCCTGTTGATTCATGAGAAAACACATGCACAATAAGTACAGTATGCCCTGCCTTGGTAGCAGTCAATTCAACTTAATAAATTCAGCAGAGTGCATTGAAATGTGCTGGGCTGCAACACTTCACATCGACAGTTCACAGTGCTCTTCCATCAAGCAGATCTGGCCTTAGAGATGATGCTCTTCACTCCTTTCTCACTGTTCATACTATACACAGCTATATGTCAGCAAGGAAAGGCATTTGTTTGTTGACTTCCAGACCTAAACAAAGCCTCTGGTATCCCTGCCAGAGAGAAGTGGGCATTCTCTTTTGAGCTTGTTAAAGTTCTCTGCATTGATACTTCCCTGAAGTTTCAAGTTCCTTATGAACCTCTCATCATGGTGGCTTGACAGGTTAAGCCCAAGCACATCCTGGCCTCATTTCTACTCAACCTTAATGAATGAGACAGTGCTGGAGCACAGTCATGATGAGTTTACCATCCCAATTTTCAGGCAAAAGGAAATTGTGCACGTGTGTGTGTGTGTGTGTGTTCTTTTATGCTGACAACATGGTCCTTGTTTGTCTCACACGGCCTGGCGAAGGCACACTCTCCAAAAGTTTGAATGTTAGAAACACAATAGAAATTATGACAGAACTACTGGTATGCATTTGTGTGGTATACAACTAGTTTTGTATGCTTGGCATTTCAGTTAAAAAGTTAACATTGGAAAGGGTTAACATTTATGTGATTATATTTCCCAAGACTTGGGGATTCTGTAGCCTGAGTAATCAGTGCTAATGGTGCACTAATGTTCTGAAGGTTATTAAAAGCTAATCAGGAGTCTATCATTTCAAAAATTCTTCATTTTAAAAATTCTGTGCTCCCAGATTCCCTCTTGTGCCAAAATATGCAGGTTCTCTGGGGGATCCAATTCCAAGCCCATCCAGAATAAAATTCTTAGAGTCATATTGAGTACCTCCATCAGTGCAACCAGTATTTTTGAGAGCTGAAACCATATGTTTCTGCATGCAATTGTTTAATTATTAGTGTAAGTAGATTTCTATGCCTGATTTTCATGATTTCAAAAAGTCTGCTTTAAAAAGCAACATCTTCCATCTGACAGCCATTTTTTCTAAGTGGTCCTGTACATTAGTATTATTAATGCAATCCTAACAATTTTTCAAGCACATTTTTGTTGGAGCCAGATTGCCAATTGCAATATTGGCATTCAAAACTAGATTTCAGGATATATTACTCAATGCAATCAACCTGCCTTCCTGGCAAATTACCCTCACAGTATATGAATTTCAAAGACAAGCGTGGATTTGAAGATTATCTAGTAGATCTAGTGCAGTTTTCCTTTAAGAAATGTACTATTGCTCTTGTAACCTATGTTCTATGTTTCTGGGCAGAAGATACAGTACTGCCCCCTGCCTTCTTTTTATATGTGAGGAAAAAGTGGAACTGAGGATGTCCCACTTCACCTGTTATTTGTTGCAGAACTGTCTGCATGCAGGATACATGCACACTGGAAAACCATAACCACGGGTCTAACCTATAAATGACAGATTTCGTACATTTTCAGAAGCTCATGAATAAACTTGCAACCTTTGCTTTGCTAAAATGAAAGCCAACATACTGACCTTTGTGTGTGTGAATGCTATTTGAATCATAGAATAGTAGAGTTGGAAGGGGCCATGAAGACCATTGGGCCCAACCCCCTGCTGTTGCAGGACACCAAGTCACACCATCCCACTCAGATGGCTGTTCAGTTTCTTTCTGAATGTCTCCAGTGTGGGAGAGCCCACCACCTCTCTAGGCAGCTGGTTCTGCTGTCGCATTGTTCAGACAGTGAGGAAGCTTTTCCTGATGTCCAGCCTGAATCTGGGTTGTTGCAACTTGAATTGATTATTCCATGTCCCACACTCTGGCATCAGCAAGATGAGATCTTGACCTCTTTGTGACAGCCTTTGGAGTACTTATAGAGGGATATCATGTCCCCCTTCAGTCTTCTCTTCTCAAGGCTGAACATGCCCAGTTCTCTCAGTTTCTCCTCACAGGGCAATGTTTCCAAACCCTGGATCATTTGTGTTGCCCTCCATTGGACTTCAGTGCAATTTTATCTAACAGTCCTTACACAAAACTCCTGTTGTTTATGTGTTACATATCTGTATGAGCATGGCAGGAATCTAAAACATAATACAGATTGTTCTGCAAATCATACTCTCTTGAGAACACAACAAACAGCACTCACTGTTCTGTCTGAGCTTGCTTACCTTTCTAGGTGGGATGAGATCTGTGCAATCTCCCCCAGGAGCAAGTGCCGGAAGAACATTAACTCCAGAATAGGGAGGGGGCTTCTTCTCACAGTCCTGAACATTCACCTTGCAAGGTCTGCTGGAGGCCACCACAATTTTGCTTGGGGTAGTATCCGTCGAGAATGAGAGACATTCTCCATAGCTGAATTCAGTCTGGCATGATGCATTACAAAGGGCATAAATACACCAACCTGGAGCCTCCTTTGTGATATATTGGCTGTTGCCTGAAAATCCAGAGGAATAGTTAACAAATAGGAGATAAATGTCTGTTTGTTGCACAGGATCTATCCATTAGGATCTGTTGTGTGAGAGTCTCTGTGGTTTAAGGGCATCCTATGCACAGCAGCAAAAGTGGCCAAGCCTATCCCTTCCCCGCCCCCATCTTCCTGATTTGCATGCTTGCTGGACTGGCTTTCCCCCCCATCTAGCGGTAGCATCTTGGAGTGGGAGGGACGGAGGCTGGAGTGGCTTCAGGATGCCTCACATCCTGACCTCCCAGACCCCTCCCCAGGAAACATCTGGGCAAGGCTGCTTGCCTTGGAGAGCTGCTGATCCAGTTCTGCCTGCGGGAGCTGCAAAGCAGCAAGGGAAAGGGACAGTGGAGAGTGCTGTCTCTCCCAGCCTTGGGTACGGAAAAATGTTAAGGTGTCAGTGGACTCAAGAACCCATGAACTAAGCATGTGTTTTCACGGGTGGGGTTTGTAATGGTGCATCTGAATATTTTTCATACTGAACTCAAGCATGCTTTCCACTCCAGACTTCCGACGGCAAAAGTAAAGAGCAGGGGCATTGCTGGAGGGGGTCGTAAGCCCATTGGAAGATATAAATAATTAAAGTGTGATTCTTACTTTTAAAAAAGAAAGAAGCATTATGCATGTGTTGCTGCAGGGACAGGAATCATTCTTTTTGGAATAAACAGTAGGAATAACTTCACAGAAATGTTTGCAAATGAAGAAATTCTTACCCCGACTTAGCAGCTGCCCACTGATATTGCAGAAGCACAGGCTCATGAGGGGAGCCATGTCTGGCCTTGCAGGCGAGGGGACGGGTGTCCTTGTCCATTTACCTAAACCAAGCAGAAGCAAGGAACATCTCGATTCTTGCTGTAAGCTGGAAAACTCCCCAACACAGAGGAGGAGCGGGAGCCTACGTACTCTCATGAATCAACGGACTTCTGCTCTGCAGGCACATAGTGTGTGCAAGCACTGGAATCCTGCCCAACTTAGCCGAACACGCCACTGTTCCTCTCTCTGCCTTCCACATGCAGATAAGAATAAATCTCACATAGATGCCTACGTCTATCAAATTTTATTTTTGTAACTCCTGTACCACTCACTCAATAGTTGAAGCTCTCTGGGTGGTTTATAATTCCTAACAGGAGCCTGATATATTTTTTAAAAAGCATATTTTCCCATAATGCTAAATTGGGAAGCAGATTTTAAACTACTGAGACCAATAACAGCTAAAGCAGCATTTAGTACAGAGCAGACTGGTTAACACCAGCAGATCCACATCAGGCCATCATTAGGTCAATCCAGGCATCCCTAGGTTGGTCGGCACAGAGGGCTGCCTTAACTGGCTCCAGAAGGGTGGTGGGGGTGGCAGCATGCAGGCCCCAGTAGGGAGTCCATTGCACAGCTGGAGGCCTTCCCCTTGTGGCCATCTCCAGAGCCCTCCTGGGACTTTGCATTCAGAGGAAGGTCTCAAGCGTTTCCCTGAAGTGGAAGAAGACGTCACTTTACCGAGAGACATTTTGCAGCTGACGTGCTCATAGCTGCAAAAGGAGAGCATGGCTATTCCATCACATGTGACGGACACCACGGAGAAGCTGCATGCAGCCTGGGCCAACGAGAGTCCTTGGCTTGCGATTATGAGCACAAGCAGGTGCTTGGCTCGGGCCGGTGCACTCTCTCATCCACCACTTCCTTTCAGAGTGCCTGAGGGGAGAAGCTTGGAAGCATCTAATCCATTTTCACTCTCTGCACATATGGCAGCAAAACCGGGAGAGGGACATGTTGACTCAGTGCCGGAAAGACAGACATAGTATTCCTGTGCCTGCCACCATTTTGTTTCTCTCCTAGCCCTTCCCTTAAAGACTATCCCTGATGAGCCACACCACTGCCTGCTGGCACAACCACAACCCTGCGAGATAGTTTGGGTGGAGAGTCTGCGACTGGCCCAGGTTCACCCGGGGAGCTGCACAACTGAGTGGGGCTAGAACCCAGGTCACCTGAGTCCCAATTCCATGCTCTTAACCACTACCCCACACTGGCAGCTACTGCTACCTTGTAAGCTTTTATGAGGAAGGATATTTTTTAATGGAAACTGAGGCAAAAAATCTAACTTCCCTGGCAAAGTTCCCAGAAAAAGGCAGGGAGAAGGACAGGAGTTGTGGTTGCCCAAACTGCTAGCATCTTAAGCCAAGTGAGCCCCTGGGCCATTCATCTTCTCGGTTTGGTACCAAGCAGCAGTCCTTTCTCAGCATACGGTCTGGCATTCTGGCTGCCTTTGCAGTATGTGAGTGGGATGTTGGTTTGTGAAAATACTTTGTAAGTATACAGAAGGTTGTTTGAAATCCCTTTTCCTATTTCTAATCAAGTTACACTTGAAGGAGCCCCTTTCCCAATATGGAGCATCTTGGGATTTAAGACTGGCTGGACAGCATTAGCATGTGTTGCCCTTGAGGAACGTGGCTGATGGGACACGCACATGGCATTTCAGCTACAGAACACTCTTTTGGCAACGATTTGGCTACTCCCCACACTGTTGTCCTTTAGGCACTGGGAATATATAGTATTTGTGCAGGCATTTGCATTGTGGGCCGGCTTTCATCTGAATACTTGCACTGATTACATTGTTTGTTACATTGTTTGATATAGCTGCGATTTTAGAGTCATGATTTTAATGTATGTTTGCTGTTCTGTGTTTCATTTAGGTGGCTCACTGCCGTGGGCTCTTTGTGAGGAAAGGCAGGGTATAAATCCAATAAACATTAACGTGCTCATTTCTGCTTTGATATTCATGATGCAGAGATCAGCAGTTTATCTCGCTCCATGGCAAAGCCCCTGAACTACTCTGGCCAGCCCATCATATCGCTACCTCCTCAGCTGCCAGCATGGAAATGCCAACATCACCACTGGAATAATAATAGCCATCCTTTCTCACTAATGCTTACTGCTTCATGTATAAACATTGCTTTCACTTCTCTACCAAAAGGCACCCCTGCTTCATAAACTCCGTCCTTCTGGACCTTTCAGAAGCAGCACGTCCTTACCTGCTCTCGGAACTGGAGGTGGATCAGCAGCTTCTTCTTGGGGTGCAACTTCCAAGGCATCCTCTGTTGATTTAAATATATTATTCACATTAATGCTTCATGGTGATCCATGCCATACTTTCCGGTCCCATAGTATGCGTGGACAAACGTCCTGCTTATTTGAGGCTGGTAATGGAGTTGGGACCCATGAAACTAATGAAGCATGGATGAACCCAGTTGATATGCTTTTCACTCTGCATCCAATCTCAGATGAATGTCAGGCTTATAGGGTGAAACTCTATTGCCTGCATCTGGCCAAAGGTTATGAGAGAGGAGTCAAAATAAATGTCTGGTTGAGTCTCTTTGGCCTTAAAGCTGTAAAGCAATAGGAAGATGAAAACACAGGATACATCACCCTAAAGTGCAATAAATAACTAGTGATCATGCATCCCATTGATAATGTATGCCTGCGCATGTGCACACAAGCATCTTCATTGATTGTTTAATGCGGGTGCCAACTGACCGTCCCTTTGAGATTGGCTAGTTACTGATAGGCTCTGGTTTCATTTTATACGCATCACTGCAGTGCAGTTCCATTTGTGGACAAACCTAATGCTTTATCTATTTATTCAGCTTATATTCTGCTATACTAGTCCGAAGACTCTCCAAGCAGATTACAATATTAAACATTCTAATGAAATGTTCCACATTTTGAATCTGTCTGTTTGCCCCTTTTTAATGCAGTGGATGTACTATTGCTGGTGATCCCCCTCGTAGCTGTTGATTTCTTACCTTGAGGTCAATAGAACATTTCCAAATTCTGGTCATCCTGTTTTTCTTTAGTAATCTAATTCTGACATACCTTCTGTTTAGGTGAAAGTCCTTATATCCTGTATTATTACATTCCTACTTGTATAATGAATGCTTTTCTAATGGCCTTACATATTTGCAGATGAAAGTTTTAATGCTTAGAAAATGGATAAAACTGACTTTGCACTCTCTGCACATGTCTAAGTATTTGTCTGGATTTTCTGTGGTTTTATGGAGTCCAGTAGCTACACAGGCATCCACTGCCTCTGATACGCAACAGCGTCCCCGTTCTCCCAAATGGCAGGAAATGCCTGCTCTGTCCACTAGCATTTCCTGCACAGACAAAGCACAAGGCTGTGTTTGACCTCAGCTTTGCACCAACCTGCGATGCCACTGACATGGCCATCCTGTCTCAACAGCAGCAGGTACCTTGTTTCCCAGCATGAAGAACATCTTTCAGAGGAGTATCACACAGGGTGAGTATCTGAATGAAGTTCCCACCAGGACCACAAAACAGTACTGTGCACACATCTCCAGCTGTTTGGCTGTATACTATTTCATTTACGGCATATGTCTTCTTATTGTAGCAACAAAGGCATTCTGAGTCAGAGAGGGAGAGAAAGAGAGAGAGAGAATAAATAGGAGGGAAGACAAAGATATATTCCTAAAGATGGCTAAAGATATATTCCTGCAAAAGGGACCAGGGTTGTCACCATTATGTAGCAGTTCATAGACATTTAGACTTGTCTGGAACAAAAAAAAAATAAGTGCAATTTTATAACATGTTTTGGGAACATCACTGGGAATTGTCCATTGTAAAAGATAAGGGCAAAGTAAGATGGGTAATGAAGATAAAGGAAGATTCCTTCCTTCCTTCCTTCCTTCCTTCCTTCCTTCCTTCCTTCCTTCCTTCCTTCCTTCCTTCCTGTCCCCATTATTCCTGGTAAGAGTTGATGCCACAAAATTGCCTGTGAACTTCTTCAACAGCAGTGGGCAACTTTCTGAAGTCAGAAAGTTGGGTGAAAAGTCATAATGTTTTCTATGATTTGGGTTGGTTAAAGTTTCAGTCAGGGATGCTTTAGTTAACTTCAGGAAAGTGACTTTAGGTATTCAGTAAGGGTACATACTTGGTAAAATCCATTCCTTCTGTATTTTGGGGATTTTCAGGCACCTTTCATTTCGTTGTTTGCTTACTAAAGGAATTGGATTTTGTGCAAATTTATTCACATACACTTGCACACATTTAGACTTCCAAAAATTAATCTTTGTAAAAATGTGTAAATCTCCTCAAAATAGGCAAATCCCTCCTCCACGCATATTTTCAGGCTTCAGTTTAAGGAGGCAACTTTCATTTGGGACTAAATTTGCATAAATTATAGAAAGTGAAAAAGATCCATGCTAGTCAAAAAGATCCATGCTAGTCAAAGCAGCTTGCATAAGGTTTTATGTTTCAGAAATGTTATTAATTAAGGTCTGCCATTGGGGCATCTTACCATTTGAGTGGTTCAAGCAGAGTTTTTCTTCTGGATCACTGGGGAAGAATAAAAAAACACATACAATTGATTCTTTATTACTTAAAACACTCAATAAATTCAGTAATCCACACCCCCCTCTCTCCCCGTAAGTTCTCTTTTGGATTACCGCTTTATGCCCGGGGTCTGTGAAAGGGTTGCTCTAACAGACTCATAAGAGGAACCCTGATGACAGAATGAACTAAGCCACTGTAAGTGTCCTACCATGAGGTGCACTCTAGCCCTGAGACGCATTCTCTTTTTTCTTCATCATAATACGGCTTCTCCCCATTGCATTCTGGGTAGCAGCCTAAAAGGGGAGCAACAAGCAAAGAATGATCTTACTTTTCAATATTCATTGACTGGCTGGCTGGTAATATTATGGAACATTACTATAAGTTTAAAAAATACCTAAGTTTTTGAAGTAGAAATAGAGAAAGCAAGCCAAAAAACCGATGCAATGCATGTTCCTTTTGGAGGATTTGCTTTGTCAATCTAGCATTTATCCTCTGCTGAACCCTACCCTTTGCTAAGGAGACCTCATATCGCACCTTTTTGCATTTCAGACATCTCAACAGACCGTTGATATTATCTGATTTCCACTGAGTTGTGGGACGTGAGAAGCAGATTCTGCATTAAAGCTCACCTTCCAGACTGTAGAGCAGCTTATCACATTTTCCTGCAGGGTTCCTGCAAGTCCTGAAGCAAGGTTCTCCACATGGTTTGTAACGCCATACTTGTTTGCCGGCTGCATTGGAATCGTCGCAGGACACAGCTGGGATAGAAGATGCACTGGTCAGAAGTGGCGAGGCCCAAGGTTCAGACAGAGCCCCCTCCTGCGGCCCTACTTTCCGGCTGGCCTCTGGCCACGTCCCTATCATAGCACATCGGCTGCTACTTTCAGGAGGAAACCTGAAAGCCTCGCGAAGGAAGACCAAGGCAGCGGATGATTATAGAGCTAAGCATGCGGGCTATTTCTTCTAAGATGCTCTTTTCCTTGTCAACACGTCTGAAGTTCCTGAAGTGGCTTTAGAAAATAGTTTTGCCTTCCTGTACATTCCTACACCCTACTACACCATCACCACTGGACAAACTCCTTTATGGACAGAGCTGCTGGAACATGGTCAGTCCATCAAGGTTATAAGGAGAAGATAAGCTCAATCTACTCATGAGAATTGGGGGAAATTGAAAATAGAGGAACTAGGAGAGGGGTGGAAGTTTTCCAGGGAAGGCTACACTATACAGATGCAGCTATAGCATTGCCCACAGTAACCTATTACATCACGGAAGCACAAATGCGGATGGTGCATCTTTTGATTTTGAACAGTTATGAACTTGCCCATCTTCTGCCAGCAACACTGCCTACTCTGCAAGATACAATTGTCTTCTGTTACACAGCAGTATTATTCTAGCTTGATATTGACTTGACTTAATACCAAAGATGGTATCAGTCCTAATTCAATGTATTTCTTTGAATTGGTTGCAGAATTGAGGTACCAGAGCTCACTCCGGTTTCTTCTCCTGCTTTTCTACTATATAAACACTAGGTGGCACTGTAGCATAGCAGAACAACACAAACACATGAGTGAAAAATGTGTTTTTCCACAGCTGAAATCCCATTTCCCTGCTCTGAAGCCAGCCAGCCAACCAACCAAAAAACCTTGCTGAAAGTGCTTGTTAGATACAGAATCAAAACAAGAGGGCCACAATATCATCTAAGGAACCTGGAAACAGCCATGAGTAAAGAATAATGAGCTTGCAATAAATGCCTCAGGTAGGAAATCCCTTATCATGACGATAAATCATGCATTTTTAAACGAAAAAGGCAACCTGTCCACTTAATTATCACATCTGGTATTGAATGGTGTATGCCCTCACCTCAAAAAACATACAGTTTGGTGAATATATAATTTATTTTGCATGTACTTACGACAGTTCTTCTGACTTCTCCAGTTAATGCAGATGCCGGCTCTGCTGCAAGTCCATGAATAAGCAGCTACGGCTGTACAAAAGCGCTCACAGTCGCTCACGCTGTCGCAGCCGCAGAAATCGGACACACAGGATTCATAGTATGGGGTTGGATTGATCTAACAGACCCAATTAAAGAGATAATGAATATGTCACTGAATATTTCAGCTATAATAAAATATTTAAAATGCTTAAAACAGCATTTAATCTATTTCTGGAAAAAAAAGAGCCCTGGGAGAGTGCACAGCTTCAACAAAACATCTACATTGCCACCATAATGATTTCACTGTCGAACCCATGTAATTATGCATGCATGTGTTGTAAAATTCATAACCATTTTGAGCATATAACTGGTAAAGGATGATTAAATTTTGCCTTCAAGATTAAGCTAGTACATAAATATGTACTGTTGGGGAAATCACTTGTTTCTCTTCCATTCCTTGGAACTCACTCCTAGCTGGAAAAGCTGAATGAGCAAATGGTTGCAAAAGTAATTATGTAAACAGTATTCTTAGATGTAATCTCCATTTCCTGGAAAGGCCATTTATACCTCATTAGCTAAATGCTGAGTGTTAGTGATGACTTCAGGCACATCTGGAGAGAGGGCTGGGATGAAGTTTGTATACATCTAAATAACCAATTTTATAACCATCCCATCCACAGGGATAATGTCCCAGCACAAAGCTACACACATACCAATCACATCCCAGATCTGGCTCAGAGAAGCAAGGAGGACCCCTTTCTGGGCACTGCATTTATGGCAACCCACCCACTGCAGTGCTGTGAAAATAGTGGAGAAATCCCAGATCTGGAGCAATGAGGCAAGCTTTCCAAGATGGACACCCATGCTGATTCCACTTCTAGCCCCAGCACCTCTGGAGCCCCACCGGCGTTCTGGAGGAGCAGCGGACAGATCCCAGGTGTGGTACAATGGGGCAGGCTTCCCAGTCCTCTGAGGACACCTGTCCCCTCCCATAGCATACATCTGGGAAGCTGAAAACAGGTGCACTCCAGTGCAATTCTCAGCAATGCAGCAATGGAGTCCCTCATGCAGATGGGCCTTCCCACAACTAGCCCTGCCAGACGCTCTCTGTGGGAAAGAGGCTGCAGTGATTTAGGGGAATCGGGGGTGTGGTTCATCTACACCTCTCACCCACACTTTGTCCCTAGCAATGGCACCAGCCTACCCTCCAGATGGGCACACCTGGATACAAATGCCTTCAGCGAGTATAGTTTATTTTCTTCGCTGCACCAGTCTTTTGTTTGATGCAGGCCAGCAAGACCCCCCTCAGCCTAAATGGATGAATCCCATTTCAGAAAAGCTTTGGCTGGGTGCATTCTAGTGGTGCCATGAGCCAAAAACACCAAAACTACCTGCATAATGTTGCTGAAGGCGCTTGCTGCCAAGAGCAAAGCCTTCGGAAAGGAATGTTGACCTTTTAGAATGGGGAAATGCCCACAAATGCTGCTCTGTCATTGGGAGGAAAAGGGTGGAGCCAGGAAAGTGCTTGTGGCTATCTGGAGAGACTCGGGGGGGGGGGGCTTGGCTGTAACCTCTGGAGGCTGAGACTTGGCCCCCCAAGCCTGAGCTGTGGCACCTTCTCCAGTGGTTTCCTTAAAAGTAGCAGGCAGGTAGATGGAATGAGATAGGGAGAAGTGAGGGATGCACAGTGTGCAAGACAGGAAGGCAGCCGAGGAAGAGGGGAAGGCGTGAGCAAACGCTTACCTTACTGTGGCAAGGTGCAAAAACTGTGCTTTTGATAATACTACAGTGCTTTTGGCCCAGTCTGATCTTGAAAGCTTGCTGTGCACACGGATCCCCCTGGTTTCTGTCTGAACAGCCGGGGGTGACTTGCCAGCCACTCCCAAAGGCCTGCGCATGCATCTCCAGAGACTGCCCTCGAGTGGCAAAGTCATTGCCGGCGCGGTTGTCAAAATCTCCACAAAGGCCACAAAGTCTGCCCTAGGAAATGAGCACAAGGTGTTTTTCCCCTCTGCAAAATCTTCTGTCATAGGCAAAGACACGGGAATGGACTAAATTAAAATTGCGTCCATCTGGACTTCTACAATTTATGCTCTATCATATCCTTAACAGGGTTTGTTTGGTATATCATAGCCCCTTGATCTGAAACATTCTTCCCTTCTACCCTATTATAGCTTTTTAAGGGAATTAAAATAGAGGGAAGTTACTCTTAATGTATTTTAAAAGAGAATATCCTGAAAATTAAAGATAGTTCAACCTCTGTCTGGCCCTTATCGGTTATACGGTCCTTCTGTCCTTTTCTGTATTAGTATGTGTGTGCTGCAAAACACCTACATAAAATATATCAATACATACTTCATTAATTGTTTCCAAGCTGTGTGCAATATTTTTAAAATTCACGCATTAGTTTTAATGGACTTCTCACAAAAGACATACTTCAGACTCAAAGGTAGCCAGAGTCTGGATGACCGTAGGAGAAACCAGAGTCCCATCTCGAATCCTGGAAACTTGCACACCATTTTATAACAGTTGACACTTACTTCTGCCTCGGAAACGTACAACTTAGCACCCTTCCTCCGTGCTTGCAGCTGGTGGAGAAAGAGCCATGCCAGTCACAGCTCTGAGGCCTTTCTGGGGACAGCTTTCTGGGGCCATTCCAGGAGGGAGGGTGGGCAGGAGTGAGGCTCTGCCAGTGTGTCCAGTATCCTGCCCATGCCTCAGCCTCCCCTCCACCTGCACCAGGGCACCACTGGCTCTGTAGCCCTTCCACCCTCTCTTGGATGCCCGAAGTCCTCCACCAATACGATTTAAATTCTAGATTTTGATACAATTAAAGTTAAATGGCTTTGTCCTATTTTTGGGTTCATCTATCTATCTATCTATATTATTTTGTTTATTCTGGATGTATTGTATTTTCACAGTTCATTTATGATTTTTTTACCAGACTGAGCTGGGCGGGTTATACAGATGAGCCCCAGACCTGAGCCAAACAGAGCCGTGGATGAGACTATGAGCCAAAGGCGCTTTATTATAGTGTACTATAGAATAAACAGAGACTAGGACATGCAAGCCTAAAGTCTCAAAGGTGGTACAGGAAAGCATACACTATATACCTTATGTCACAGACATGAATTTTAAACATGGGTTTGATACATCAATACAGCATTGATCACCCCCCCCCCCCTTGGTAACTTCCTTCAAGGATCCTTTATTTTCCCAAGGCCTTCCTTCCCCACATACTGCTTGACTATCTTTTGACCATTCACACTTTTTCTTGAGTTGTTATACCTACTGTAGTACAAAATGCATATTGTTAGTTTCTCTGAGATTCAAATCGGTCTCGGGTGCCAGTGAGTCTCTCCTTTAACCCTCCTCTTGGATTGTGCTGACTCGTCACAGGAGCTCATGCAGGGTTCATGGCTCCAAAACTCCCCACTCCCTCCTGGACAGGAAGTGCCATGTGGCTGCCATGCTTGTGCTAATTTTAATTTTGTATTTGTAAATCAATGTATTTTTTGTATTGTTATATTTAATGGTAATTTATTATGTACTATTGTATTTCAATGTATTTTATCATGTTGTAAGCCGCCCCGAGGTTTCGGCAAGGGGCGGCATAGAAAAGTTAATAATAATAATAATAATAATAATAATAATAATAATAATAATAAGTGGTCTTCCTTTGGTTAACTACTTTTGGGTTCCTCCATTCGGTAACAATTTTACTGTTATTGGTCCTTTAGTTGTGTATTGCCATGTTGTCTTTGTATTGTTTTACGGATTTCAGTGGGCTGTAAGCCACCCAGAGAGTCTATGGCTAGTGGGGTGGCATATAAATTGAACCAATAAAATAAATCCTCTGAGTGTGGAGGGTCATGGGTAGCCACACACGAGGTTGCCCTGCTTGAAACATAAATATTATCTAAATATACAAATTTCTAAATATACTTTGTCCTACAATGTGTATTTTGAATGTATGTTGGTACATTTTTGAGCTGTGAAAATCTAGAGAAGAGCAAGATCTGAAGAGCAATGAAGGGCTATTAGTCCAGAAAGTGCAGATCAGGTCAGTTCACAACAGAATCTGCACAAAGAGAAGCATCCCTACAGAGCCGCTACTGTGTGCAAAACGTCTTTTGAGCTCAGCTGTGATAAAGAATGTTATCTACATTTGCAACAAATCACATATCTGCCAGCATTTGTTTGCCTTGTTAGGTTCCTAAGTCTCATTTTTGTGGGGAGATATAAAAATATGCATAATTCCTAAACAGTAAAAAAGACAAGATAAGAAATGCATCCATTTTTGAAAGTGTAATACATTCAAGGACATGATATGCATGCCTTGTATGTGTGTGTATTTTTTCCAGTTGCCAAGCATAACCTGGGAATTGCACAATGAACCGACTTGCAATCTGGAAAAAGGGCCAAATGTTTATGAGCTGGAAACTGTGGCTCATTCCACGCGTGACAGCTCCTTCCCCCAGGATATGACTTCCTTGTATGAACAAAGGGTGTATACTTAATATGCATGTGCTATGCACAATGAGCACACATATGCCTCCTTCATGGGGCAAAGCAGACATGCATGCATCTCCATCTATGACAAGGCATTTTGTTTTTTCTGGATGGAAGGAACAGGCTCATGGGGAATGATCCACGATGAACCAGCACTGACTCCACAATGAGCGGTGTGCGGATCCCTCCCGGGCAGCCGTGGTTGCCTCTACCTGAAAGGAGGGTGCCGCTTGCACAACCACCGTGGTCTTCCCATCCCACAGGAAGGTCACTCCATGGAAGGCTTCAATTGCAATATGCATCCCCACGAGATAAATGTCATAGTTTTTTTCAGTGTCCGGCTTACTGCTTATCTCTTCTATTTTCCCTTCCCGCAGTCTGATTTCACTGTCCTAGAAACAGAGATAAAGAAATGAATGTGAATAAGACTATATAGTTTCTTACTAGATAGGAGAATGGAAGATGAACAGGTTATGGAAACTATGATAATGTGGGCACAAAACTTTGGATATAATATTGAATTAGAAAAATGGCAAAAGCTGTGGGAGAGAAATATAAAGGTAACATTAGCAATTTCATAGAAAGAAAACTTGTATAAAATGTTTTATAGATGGTATTTGTCACCAAATAGACTAGCCAAGATGTTTCCAAATATGTCAAATGGATGTTGGAAATGTAAACATAAACTGGGTACTTTCTATCATATGTGGTGGACTTGTGATAAAGCGAAAAAGTATTGGATTAAAATACATAAATGGCTTGAGGAAATGTTACAAAAGTCCTTAGCTTTTAAACCTGAAGTTTTCTTATTAGGCATTATACCTGATGATATTAGTAAACAAGAAATGTACTTACTGTGGCGAGGATTGCATTTGCCCAACACTGGAAAAGTGAAGAACCACCCACCGATGAACTGATCCTAAAAAAGATCTTGGACTGTGCAGAAATGGACAGATTGACTTTGTCACTGAAGGAGAAAGAAGATACTGACTTCTATCAAACCTGGGACTCTTTTTACTATTGGCTAGAGAAATGGGACTTCACATAGATTTAAATATGTTCATAAATTAACATAAAAAGAAAAAATGTGGGGGCCGACCCAGTAGGTCTGATGTTTCTGATGATTGATGTTGTTTTTAGTTTTTCTTTGTATTAGGCTTATTCCAAAAAAAAAAGAAAAAAGAAAAGAAAAGAATGTGAAGAAATGCAGTTGCTGTTGCAGTGAAAGCTTCATATTCTCGAGCTGGGGTTCCTCTGTCGTGCATTCAAAGCCACAGACCTTTTGCTTGCAAAGTGTTCTTTATTGACCAAAAGCATAGAACACCTGGAATGAATCTCTGCACAGAGCAGTTTGTTGAACCTCTGGGAACGCTCCTTACGAGCATGCTCTCTACTTGGGCCTCCCTCCTCTGCTGATGTCATTCATGGGATCTAGAGCGGGAGCCTCCTTGTCTGTCTCTCAGAAACTCCCCTACGTCTCTCCCTACATCTTGGTTAACCCCAGAGACTGCTGTCCACCTTGCGATGAGTGTCTCTGCTTCTTTCATCTCAGTATCTTGGGATGGCCCTCTCCCTCTTCTCCTCCTGGTTCTTCCGAAGCCCAGCCAGCAGCCTCTGAGAACATGCACCCAAATCTTTCTCACTCCCAACTACTATTATGATACAACTGCAAGCTTTCCTACACAAGAATATGTGTGTCCCCACCACCTCCTAAAAATGTTGCAGAACTGGATTGTGCATCTTCCCCATTTTCCTGTCACCAGGAGAAGCATTTCCTGTCATTGTGATGTCACAGATGCCCAGAAGTCAGAGAAGCAAGTTCCTCCTCCAACTGTTCCGAGAGCAGCAGCTTGGGAATGTTCTAGCTGCTGAAGAAGCAGCTCGAAGTGGATGGTGAGGTGGAGGAGGAAGGATACTAATATTACGGTGGTGGAAAACTCCTAGGCTGAATGTGTGAATGGGGGAACGTGAATAGTGGGGCTGTGAAGGAGCAATGTCAATCCTCTCTATAGTCCTGTATAGGGGATGTGTGAGTGCGTGTATGACAGGGTAGAACAGCTTCCTCGGATCTGCTCAGCCAGGAGACAGGAACTGGAATTGCTTAGCTCAAAGCTGCTAAGCCATGGCAGTGGCTTTTCACCCTTTTAAATTGGGGAAGAGCTACAAAAAAGCCAGGAAACCACCAAGCAGTTGTGGTTGGGGGAAAGGGGGTGAGGCTCGGGAAGGGGCACAGCCTTTTGAGGAACCCCAGAGGGACAGATTGTAAATCTGGGCACGGATCTGGCGACTGGGTCCGAGATTCTGCATGTGTGGTTAGAGATTAGGGTTCCTCAAACCTGGCCAAGAATCTGGTTAATTCTGGATTTCAGTAGCAACTCCACTTACATAGCATTTTTATTTTTATTTTTTTGCTACAGCAGATGAATACAGCCATCCTTCTAAAATCTGAATGAGCTATGAAGTGGATGGGGTGGAAAAGGATGCAGAAAAAACTAATGTGAATATACAACCATGAAACCATAAATCTTTGCGGTTCTCTGTTTGTTGGGCTGATTCTGGACTCTGGTCTTACCTCCAAGATTATTCTGATTTTCAAGGAACAAACTGTCAGGGATTTACTGCATGCGGTATTTTGCATCAGAATTTGGAAGGTACCTGGTTGGAGATTATTGGGGCAGAAGTCCTTAGAAGAGGAAACAAAAAGCATATTGAATGTTTCAGTCTTTGTGTCAGTATTCAACCCACTAGGACAGGCATTCTGCATTGGTGATCACAGTGGAGACATGCCAAAAGCATGCAGCATGGTTTCTGCATCACCTGCTCTTGTCTACACCTCTCAGGATGGCCTACCTATGAACAGGACCCTAGCAAAGCAAATGCTGATTTACACATTGAGCAAAATCACTGGCAGTCCTTCAGAGATGGCGCCACTTGAATGCTCCCCCATATTAACAGAAAGACCAAAAACAAGGAAGCAAGGAAGCAAGCAAGCAAGCTTCTAAGAAGCAAGCTTTTACTCAAATAAAACTATACATCAAAGAGTAAGCTAGTCAAGAGGTTTTCTCCCTACAGTGTACATTTTCTTCATGCAGAGAGTTACTGGCATATTTAGGAAACCCTTTATCCACAGTGGGAAGTGTACAGTCCAGGTTTGGTATAATCTTGCTGAATGTACCATTTGGCTCTCAGGGATACTTGCAAAAGATGAGCCAGCCTCATTTTCATTTGTGGAAGTTGAAGCCTGGAGGTTCAGGCTGCATTGGATGCCAAATCCTGTCACCCTTTCCTCATGGTGGGTCCATGCTTTTTTGAAAATAGCCAAGAATCCTCCATGGTGGAACAAGTGCAGATTCTGCCCCTCAGTCATGGTGAAATCAAACTTATACATGTCATTTCAGAATCAAGTCCTACTGAGTTCAGTAAGACTTGCTCCCTGATAAATCATTATAGGATGGCAGTCATAAATGAAACAGAGCCATCATTTGGTACCATACCAGACAGTGGGTATGAGAGCAATATTCTTTTGCTACCTGGGCTAGGATGTAATCACAGCCTCCTGTGAAGTCAAATTTTACTCCATCAAAGCTGAGGTAGTGTCCATGTCCGTACACGGTGCATGTTCCCGGACAGGCGTTCTCTGTACAGTCCCACTGTCTCTTCTGGCATGTGCTAGGAGATTAAACATAAAGGATTGCATATAGTCACCTCAAAGAAAACTGAAGACAGATGGTAATCAGGGTGGGCCACCTGCAACAAACTCTTTATGGAACCCTTCCTTCTTCACCTCTGTCAGGGATCCTCTGGGCACATGCCCAAACAATTGTTCCTAATTCTCTCCCCCATGTAAAGCTACACCCGTCCTTGTGGCTCCAGAAAACATTGTTGCATCAGGGTGTGAGGGCTGTTTATGAAATACCAACATCACTTTGCTTGCTCAGGCCTTAATGTAACAATCCTTTGATACTGCTTGAGTCAGATTTTGATGTATGAGCTGAGCATCAAATACAATGTGTGGTTATTATTACATTAAAAAATATCCACAGAGGGGACAGAACATATACAAATTGTCAGAACCTGATTTACAAAACTCTAGTCTGAAATCCAAAGCTTTTGGGGTGTTCCAGTGATGTTTTGTTGAGGATTTTGTGGCAGTCAGTTCATGAGGTAATGCATTTTAAGATCTGAATTTACTTTTTTACATAACAGTTTGAAGATTACTATACCATGTATTACAGTTGACTTTGATGTACGTGCCGGGACTATAGAAATTTCCTCCATAGCTACAGGGGCATTGCTCCTCCTTAATACACTTGCCATTACCATCAGACACCAGTCCATCGGGACACACGCATCCAGAGACGCATCCTGTAGCGTGCTGAGAGCATGAACACAAAACAGAAATCGATGTAGGAGGAAGCATAACTGAATCAAGAAGAAGAGGGAAAATAAAGGCAGCCTGTTATAACACGCCACCATCCAAGATGCTGCAAATTAATTCAGAAAGGACTTCCAACATACAATAAATCACCCAGAAAGAGCCCTTTCAAAATGAAAGAGTGCCTTGGATGTGTGATAAGGGGCAATGCTCCATGACTGCGAGGTGCCCAATCATTCAACGCACACTACAAAAACAGCAAAGGTCGCTTTATGGAACCGGAGGCAGAACTAAAGAGCCCCTTGACTGCAAGATAATTATGAGGATTTCTGAGTGTTAAAAAGCAGGGCTCCAAGAGGAGAGCAACTGCTTATCTTGCTTAGATATTTACCAATATGCACAGCAACGTTAAATGGATTGGTTCCCAGGACGTGGGGCCTGTGTAGCTGGCATTCAAAGGACCGTGATATTGCAAAGCAGGGAAATTATCTGGGAGGCAAAGTTGTGGTGGGTTTACAAAGCAGGGCTCTCAGGAGGCAACCCAGAGGTTTTGGGCTCCACGGCAGGCAGGTACGTCACCGCCCCCTCCATGCTGAGAAATACAGAATTTGCTTAAGGGGGAGACAGCACAACTCTGGCTTTCCTCACCGGTTCCTTCCCTGAATGCTTTGGCAGCTCTCTCCTGCCCCACGCCTCTGGCCTCCTGCGCGCTACAGCAGGTGGGGCATCAGGGAAGGATGGGAAGAAATGCAGCCGCTCTGCCCACCATTTCTGTCACTGGTTTAGCACCAACACTTCTGTTACAAAGGAGCTGGATCGTCACTGGAGAAGCTTATCCACCTGGAAGAAGGATAAGCCACAGAAAGGTGGAAGCCATCCATTCGCAACATGGGTGATGGCTTTGCTCAGCAGATACCCTGAATACAAAAACCCAGCTGCGATGGACAAACAGCTGGCCGAAAGCATAGAGGCCTCAAGAAACTCCATACTGAAGATACCCATGGCCTGTTCTCATTTGTTTTAAGGATTATATCTAACGAAGGAGCAAGCTATTGAGTAGATAAAGCCTCTTGTTAAATATTTATATGCAGACACCTGCTTGGGCCTTGCTAAAAGAAAAATATGCATCTCTTTCTATCCAGTTGAAAGAAATGTTAGAGCCCACTTCTGGTCAATTTCTTCTGCAGTAGCCCAGCAGAAATCAGACCCGATATATCAACACATCACACTTGACACAAACAGTAAGAGGCGTAGCCATGAAGTGGGCGATTCTATTTGTTCTGCTCTCTTGGATTCAACACAAGTGGTTGGTAAGCACTATAAATATGTACATTTCCTGCGAGTGCTGAAGAGGTCCGCTCAAGTGTGTAGAACAGCTACCACACAGGCAGTACTGCGAAAAGTGTGACCTTACACATTGCATGTCTTGCGTCTTACAACTTTTCTGACATTCTGATCCCCGTGCGTTTGAGCCAGCAATGCCGCAGTCAACGAAGTACATAGGAGGAGGGCAATCTGGAATGGGAACGAAGCTGCCTAAGAAAGGAAGCCGGACAGGAAGAAACTCTGCACAACACTAAGAAGTCTCCTGAAGTTAGGTCATCTAAAATATACTCCTGTTCCAATTGCCAGACTGGTTGTAGGATAACTGCTCTTGGGAAATTAGCCCTTATTAAAAAAAGAAGAAATTTGTACATGCCACATGGCTGAGACGTATACACCTAAATGGCACAGATCTAACCTTTTAATCTGCCTTTTCTTTGGCAACCTTGCTACCTCGCTATTCTGACCCTTTTTGGTTAGGGTTAGAGCAGATATATTACTGAAGACTTATGGTCAAATCTCCCAATAGTTCTTTTCTTTTTTTCGGAGTTGCCATTCCCCCTGAATTGGATTGAGAGACAAACACTGGAGGAAGGGAAGTTTAGGCCCTTCCCGTGCCCAATTCCCCCAGTTTATATCTCTCCCTCCACACACTGCTGTTCACCTGTACACATCTTTGCTCCAGCAGGTCTAAGGGCATCAGCGCAGAGAGGGGCAGATTTAGATCAGGGACAGGCACAACGGGAAGGTTCAACACGCCCTCCCTGACGTCACTTCCCCCGTCAAGTTAGCAGCTTCCCAGAGGTGCTGTAAACCCTGATGGGGGAAGGATATATCTGTGGTGCTTGTTCTTTCTTCTGTGAGACTATGGGCAGCTTTGGGGGCAGGGTGACCTAGAACCGAGGAATGGTTAAACACATCTTCCCCCACTGCCACTCTCCTGATTCAATTTATGCAAAGACATGTGTGTGTGTGTGTGGAGGGGGGGAATCTGCTGCATCAAGTCTATTTCACCCCTTAGTGCCATTTTGAAGGAGTGAATAGGAGTGGGAGAATGGGTGGAGCTAGTTTTGAATTTGGAGTGAAGCATGATGTCCTGAATATGCATCCACGCATGGAAGGAAAGGTGGGGAGATGCTATCAGCAGGTAGTGGCAGAAGAAGGGACAGAAGCCTGGTCTTCAGGAAGTACAGGAGCTCACCTGGCTTATCGGTGGCTCTTGGATGACAGAGAAGAGTACAAGTGCCTTTCCAGAGCACCTGCTCAGAGACAGAGATGGAACGTGTCCAAAAGCAGATATGGACAGCATTGGATTTGGTCACCTAGGCCTGATATTCCCCAGCTGTTCAAGGAGAAACAATTCCTAGAATGTGTATGTAGAATCTAGCAATAATTTATTACATAGTTTTTTAAAAATCTCACCTTTCCTAGTTTCTTTGTTTCCAGTGCAATCCAGTTGTCCTTGAATACATTTGCTAGAGAGATAAAAATACAAAAGAAGAGTCTCATACTAATAACAGAACCCCTCCCAGATCCATTCAGGCAAATACAGCCCCTCCGCAAGGTAAATCATGCCGCCAATCATCTTAATTCCCATCTAGTCCCAGGTAAAGAATATTGTGGCCAGCCCCAGCTGGTCCCCAAAGTTGTCCGCCTGGTCTATTCAAATTACATGTGCCTCAAGAAGGAAGAGATCCTAGTACTATCCTGGAGCCGAGGGTCAGACTAGATGGCCCAGGAGGACCCTTCTGACTCGCTCTGTTTCTATGTTTCTGCAGGGTACATATTATTGGAGCCTGCCATAATGATGCTGGCATCACACCAAGCTGCTTAGCCTTCCCCTCACCCAAAGCACTGCCCCCTGCAGCCTTCCCTGCCACTACAGTTTGTGCAGCTGTGGCTGCCGTGGCTCCTTAGAGCTTCCTGGGGTGTTTCAGTCCTTCCGGTTCCTGGTCAAAACTGCATGCAATCTTGCCATTCTCAACATGCAGCCTGGGTGTGCTTAGCATACGCGAGTCACTTGACACTCAGTGAGCCCCACTTCAGGGTCAGGAAGCACCGAAGTGGCAAGGCTGGACTTCTGTCTGACCTGAGCCTTCCTCTCTCCAATGTCCAATTCGTAAAGCCCGATGCATTCGCTTTCACGAGTCGGGCACTTTTATGGTCCAGTTTTTATTTCACAAGTGTTGGGGGCTGGGGGACTTGCAGCCACTCAAAAACAGAACTGCACGGAGGCTGTTCCATGCTGGAAGGGTTGGCACAGACCCCACTCCTACATGGCTGTTTCAGCCACAGTAACACTGCCTCCTCCTGGAAAAGAGGTCGAGGATGCTGCAGCTATATGGAGACCCGTGTCACACAAACACGTCCCCATATGGAATGGTGCTTACAAACGGGGATGCAATGTGCCCTCTTGGGACCTGTCCCTCCAAGCAATCCACAGGCCTCCTCTTGTGCTCGGCCTGGTCTACCAAGAGGAAGCCTGTGCAGCAGGCCACCTTCTTCCACGTCAGCAGCAGTAGCCCAGAAGGCTGGCTGGGAAAGAGATGCTGCTTGCTGAGAGGTCCTCAGGGAGGGGGCTGCTTTCCTGGTGGCCTCCTCTGGGCAAGGGGCGGTTGCTGTTTGATCGGCTGCCCTGGTGTCTGAGCAGGCGCTGCCCATGCAGTGCAGGGGCTCAGTTCCTCGTGAACACTGGGCCTGCTCAGCAGGAATTCAGTCTCTGGGCCTCTGCAAAGCAGACTAGAGTTCGGGGAGCTGAGCCCAGAGAACCTGATGGATCCCCAGTGCTGGATGGATTCCTCTTACATCCCTACTGACAAGGCCAATTGCTCAGGTGCCTGCCATGTAGCAAGTGCAGTGCATGAATTCAGTTCCTTGAAAACATAGGATTAGCTCCTTTGCTTTCTGTCCCTTGCTGCCTGCTCCATTCCCACTCTCTTTTATCTTCCTGCAGTGCTTATTATCCCATTTCCCTTTGCTTGTGGTGTTTCCTGCCAGGTAATGGGCATATTTTTCCATCCAATTTCTCTTGATACCCAATTGTTCCATTCTTAAGCTCGGTTCATCCTAAACTTACAGAATGAAGGAAAGTGTGCTTGAAAATTCAGGCATATTTTAGCAAGCATCGTTTGTATGCATTGCTGCCCTATATACACATTTACTGCAAGCCATTTTACTAATATAATGCCTTTTAATGCCATTTCCCCTGATATATACATGTTATGCATTTTGTTTTGACTGGAAAACTCCACCGGAACATTTGCAGAAATGTGAATTTTGAAGAATACTGGAGTGTTGGCTCACACAGTGGCTGGAAAGCGCAAAGTGGCTAAAGTCATTCCAAAGTCCACCTGAATCCCTTGTTCCTTTTCCACAGTTTCCACCTAGTGCCTCCCTCCCACCCTTTTCAGTGTATGCTTCATGCTTCTCACACTTATGCCAATAAGGTAAGATCAGAAGGAACTTGAAGTAGGAACCCTCAAGTAGTGAAAAGAAGCGCTGGGGCAGCTCTAGACCCCTCCAAGCTGAAAATGGATCTTCCACTGTTACAGCCTCTGGAGTTGCTGGCCAACCCAACCCTTGTTTAAGGGTCCAGAAGAACAGGCAGTAGGGGAGGGAAGGATGGACGCATATGTCAATTTCAGTTTTCTTTTTCATTATTTGAATCTTAAGCTTGGCCCATCCCATTTTCACATTAGTTTGGGGGTTTTTAAATAAACATTTTTTTGCACAAAAACATGTTTGGTGTTTTCATGCATGTCCCCTAAGGTGTGCATTTTAGTATACAATTTTGCCAAACATATACATTTTTGCAAACAAAATTCACTAATCTAATGCATTTCTAATATTGTTCATGAACAGATTCACTTTTGTTTATATGCATCTCATATCTATCTATACATATAGAGAGAGAGATAAAAGAATTCCATTGCAAAATCTGGAGAAGTGCAGATTTTCAGAGTTCACTGAATACCAGTTTTCCTATGGGTTTGAGAGTGCAAAATGAGGGAGGTTCACCTGAAACCTGAAAAAGCAACACAAACAAATTTGTCCACCCTTCCTAGGCTCGGGCGACCTCTCCCTGCCATTGCTAACAGAAGCCTACCTGGAAACCTTCCTTACTGTTAGCTCCCTCTTCCCGTTCACAGAGTTAATAGTATTTTGCAGTTCAGGGGAATGACTGGCTGCAGAAAAGGCACTTTCCCCCAAATATTCCTTTCAAATACCCTTTAAAAAAAAAACCCTTTAAACTCCGTGTGCTGATTGTGTGGTTGGGAGTGTTCATACATCACAACTCTTCTAACATCTCCTTAAAGAGGTCTCATCATTGATTGCCCTTGCAAATGAATATATTAAAATATATACGATTAATTATCAGGGTATTGGTGCTGGAGCTTTCAGCCTGTGGAAGGACATGCATTATGAGTCAGCTTACCACATGGTCCCGTCCTTTTGGAATGAATTCCCAGGCTGGATCAGCAGGTCTTGGTAGTAACACGGGCAGTTCACCAGAGCAACACACTCTTCTTCGTGCACGAGGTAGGTCCCCTCCGGGCAGCCACAGCCCTCTGCAGGAGCGATCTGAAGATTACACAGCACATCGGGCTCCGACAGTGAGCGGCAAGATCTGTTACAGAACTGCACTTCAGAGTAGTACTTCATAGTTCCAGGGCACTCCGTGGAGACATCTTGGCAAGGGAAGTAAGACAAGGTCCAGAATGAGTTTGGAATCCACAGCTGACCTGGATGCTAAACCAAAAGGACCTGGAATGTTGATCTTTAGTCCCAAAAAACAGATTTCCTTTGCAAAGACAAAGGTGAGTTTGCCTTCAGGCAGTCATTTATGCACACAGAGTTGGAAGTAATTTCCCCTGATTCCAATCAATCTGAATGTGGGTTGACACAGTTCATTTGGCCTGAACATGCTGTTCCTGGAGGATGGAGTTTCACAGAAGTCATTTTGTATAATCTGGGTCCTTTGCAGATGCTGCTTCTTTGGGGCAATTCCCTTCCTTGTACACACTGGAAAATAGGCCCACACAATTATGAAAATAACCTCTATCTGTAGCTACCGTGGTCCACTTGAAATTCTCTCCACTAGGGATGACAGAGAAATCTGCAATGGATTCCAGTAGTGTAGGATAGTGGTTAGAGTGCTGAACTGGGACTAGGGAAACCGGATTCTAGCTCTCAGCCAGCTCTAAAGTGACTTTGGGCCAGTCACTCACTCAGCCTCACCTGCCTCATTAGGAATACTGTTGTACGGTAAGGAGAGGAGGAGGAGTGCGCTAGCCATCTTGGATCCCTTGCAGAAGAAAAATGGAGGGATATAAATATAACAATAATATCCACCATAAAACAATAACAAGAATGAGTTCAGGTATCTATGAATCTAGCCTGATGTTTCTACAGCAGACTAGCTTTTCCGACTAATGCAGATTCCATGGAATTGCAGACTTTTTAAAAGCTCTTTTGTCTTTGTGCAAAGTTACACTTGCTTTCAAGTGCATCGGTGCAAGTGGAACAAAATCTTTGTACATCACTAACAAATGCAGTTCCAGCAATGAGTGGGTGCCCGAGACGAAAGATGCCTGAGAGTCAGCAAAGCACAGATAGAATGGCTTGAATAAAATCTGCACAATCCTCCTTTCTGCATCCTCCCGGGGAGCGTCAAGTGGATACAAGACAGGCTGAGCAAGCCGGCCCTGGGGACAAATGCTCTCCTGTGCATGTTTATAATTCAGGGGTCCCGCATCAAATGGGCACGGATCAACAGGCAAGGGGACCTCACCAGCTTGCATCACCCCTCCTTACAAGGCTCCCGATGTCCTTGCTGACTAGGAATGATGAGAGCTGCTGCAGCGTAGATCTGGAGGGAGCTGGGGAAGTCTGCCCTGCAGGCTGCCTCAGTAAAGCTGCAGCTGCTTTGCTGCTTTGCCTTGCCTCTTCCTGGGCATGCTGTTCTTGAAAGCCCCTTTTTACTGGTGAAGGGTCCGACAGCATCTGCGAACTCTGTTCAAGTCAGACCCAAGGCAATTCATCGTTATAGTTTGCAGCACTCAACAGACGGCTCACAACGTTAGTCGGTTTGTATGCAGCTGCCGCAGATTTATTTTTCATGTCTGCCCAGCCCCTCCCATGAAATGAAGTGCCTCTATCTTGAAAGGCAAACATGCCTGTCCTTGGGTGGAAGCAGGCATGCGTACGAATAGTGTCCTCTACCTACCGCAGATGCCGTTTCTCCATCCATTCAGGCGTATTCCTCTTGCAGCACAATCCCTGGCGTAGGCAGAGAATGCACCGCACAGGGCCTCCTTGCTCTTCTCGGCGTTACAGGTGTCGTAAAGGCAGTTCTGAATGATAAGTGCATGAGCAGAAGCAGTGACTAAGGGTGCTAGAGGAAGAAACGCTGCTAGATACTGTTTATACTGTTATCAGGGATAGCCGCTCCCCCTGTTCAAAGCAGCATCCAAGGAAGAAACGCAGATGACTTGTGCGTCTCCCTTGTTCACATTTTTATACAATGGCCACGTTCTCAGTCTGGAGAAAACCCTCTTGCAGAAGGATCTACATGTATATGACATTAACAAAGGGGAATTAATGTAGTTTTACAAATGGAGCAACTTCTTTCTTTAAGCAAAAAGATTCCACAAGGCTGACTGTTTGAATATGAGCTATGAATCTTATTTCTTTGGCTCAGGACTGCCTTTGCCACAAAGACATTTGCATGACATGCCTTGGAATAAAGGAAAAGCTGCTCAGTCTGATCAGAATTCTCTTTCTTTCAATTCTCAGCCAGAAGCCACAATTCTATACATGTTTAGGCAGAATAAAAGCTTACAACCCGTGGCATCCCCCAGCCAGCCGGGTCTAAACCTGTATAGCACTCTGCCCATAACGAACCACCAGAGGGCAATGGAAGACTTCATCTGTGAACCAGCTGCCACCCGTTACTCCTGTTCACCACACCTGTATTCACTTCGCTGCCACAAGATGTCATGATATCCACTGCAGAGCTGTTCGGGTGAGAACAGGAGAGCCTTTCCAGAGCATAGTAGCTTACTGCTTTTCCCCAGTTCACTCTTCCCCAACTCGGTGCCCTGCAGACAGGTGGGGTTGCAATTCCCATCATGTGCAGGCCCCAGCTCCATCGTGGAAACTATAGCCCAACAAAGCTGGAGGGTGGCAGCTGTGGAAAGACTGTCATGGCCCCTTCATCTTAGAAGGGAGAAGGGCTGGGGCCAGTGTGAACATAAAGCAGAGTCTTCTGCTCATAATCGTTTTGATCAGCATATGATTGAAATGCTTGCAGAGTACAACTGAAATCATGCCTCACCTTGGCATAAGGAGCAGGGTCACTGACCGAATGACATGGAGCAAAACCCCCATTGGTGTCCAGAAGAAGGGCACACCAACGCTGCCCTATTTTTTCTACCAGGGAGAAATGGAGAGAGCCAAGATTATTCCAGAGATCTTACATCCTCATATCTTGTGTCTTTCCTTATGCTGGCTGAGACTGTGGCTCCATCCAGCTCAGCTCTTCAGGGTTCCAGGAAGGGCCTTTCCCAGTTTTCCCAGGAGATGCCAGGGGTTGAAGGGACAGAGGCTGAGGGTTGGGCCTGCAACCAGGTATGTTCTGTACAGCGGAACCACGCTTTCCTAACCTTGACCAGCCTGTTGCTTCCTCGCACATTCAGACAGCATATAATGGGCAGAATCCAGTGGTGACCAGCCATGAGAAGTTCTTGAAATACTTTAAGGCAATAATGAGAGATCTTTTCATTTGCAGTGGGGAGTTTGTCATATTTTCTCCCCCATTGCTTCCTTCCACACATCTGTGCCTTCCCCTCTTGTTCCATCATCAACCAGCCATTAGCAGCCAGGCCTTCAGACTCCATTGTACTCCGTGGCTTGAGTAACGGAGAATTAGTGCTTCCAGGGGCAATCTGAAGGGAGCAGAGATACTAATTTCTGCAACGGGACAGGTTAGCCTTTTGCCTCTCCCAGGGCTTGCTCTTGGAAGCACTAAACCTCCACTGCACATGTCGTGGGTGCTGCTTGCATTTTGGAATGGCAATGGCTGCAGGCTCCACTCATGGATGGACCGCTCTGGATGCTGCCAAGACCCAGCAAAGCGAATCTGGCTCTGAAGGAAATGCTCCATCTACTCGGGCTTCAATCCTGTGCACACTGACTGTCTGCCAGAGCAGTACGACAATGGAACCTGTTACCTGGGGAAGTTGTGGGCTCTCCTTTGCTATCTGGACAGCCATCTGAGGGGATGGTGCTGCTTATTCTGCGTATCTGTGATTCTGTGATCTATGAGACTCACCAGACTGCTGCAAAGCACCAGGCTAGACAATGACCCTGTGGTCATATTACAGTGATGGGGACAGGGAACACACTGGTTGTAGGCATAATTTCTTAAGATTAATTGTATCGTTTATTTTTGTATACCAAAGGACAAGATCCAAATCTGAGCAATGATGAATAAAATGAAGGCAGAGGAATGGATACTCATCTGCTTAGAGGGAACAGCAATGCAGCATGTTAAGTGATGTTACTGAGACAGGGCAAGAAGTAACAGAATACCTCTCTCTACGTGGTTCTGACAAGGATCCTCAAAGCTGTCCCGAACGTCAGCACAGCTGGCCATAGTCTTCCATGAGTTCCCAAATGCAGAAGCAGAATCTTCTATAATCCCACTGATGGTTTGAAACTCATCCATCTCTACATTGTTGAAATTTCCACAAAGGCCTAGAAAGAATTAAGATGACATATGACACAAAACCCCAAATATGTGCACAACTTATGAAATAACCTATTTATTCAATTTAAGATTTGACTCGGAAACTGGTAGACATTGCCGAAAGATAGCCTTCATTGTGGGTGACAATCTAATCTGAGTGACAACTGCCGACACAGATTTAGGATTAGGAAAACCAATCAGAGCAACTTTTGCCGGGCTGTAGCAAAGTCCTAAGAGTCCTTCCAAATGCGAGTCCCCGTTATTCTAGCTATAGTAAGAATCGGACCTTGAACTGTGGGTGAACTGGACCTGATGCCAATGACATCCTGAACCTGCCCTAGATTTTAGTGACTGCAACAGAATGCACTCCGTCAGCAGGATGCACTGAAGGGATGCATGCATCCCTTTTCTCCAGCCTGCCCGCCTGCCTGCCTGCCTGCCTGGCGGATGACTGTACAGGAGTAGCATTGCAGGTGGCAATGGTGGTCCCCTCCTTTTGAGTCCCATCACTGACAACTCTGCATCTGCCAGTGTGGATAAGTAAAGATGGCACTTTCTCCCCTTTGGAAGCATCGCTACTGACAGAGTCTCTGGAAGTGCCGTGTCCCTGGGCGCTCCATGCTCAGGGCCAGTTTGCCTCCCCAGAACTAGGCCTTCCAGAGTGAATATACTCTCTAGAGTACAGGAGAATGGAGCGTGTCTGAGACATTCAGTCCAGTCTGAGACATTCAGATAGATGCGATTTCATTTTCAGGAAAAATGAAATCAAATGACATCCTTAGAGACCCCTTCCCATTAGCATCAGCTGGCTGCTTTCTCCACCCATGCCTTTGTGACGACATTTTCCCATTAATGTCTATAAACATTCCATGTAAATTGCCACCAATGAGAAAAGAAGCTTCAATGCACACAATTAAAGCAGACTAGGAGTTAAATGGCAGGAGAAGTACTGTACCAGAAACGTGATTTTGGTAAGTTTGATCTACTGTTATGAAAATCTGCATAATGGGTGTCAGCTGCACTTGGATTTCTACCCGTAAAGAAGTGATGATGTTGACGTAGAATGTAGATGGTCTGAAGAGAATGATGCCATCTAATAAAAAAAGAACATGCCTTCAGTCAGAAATTATATCCCCACATTACAAGTATAGCCTGCAGTTTCAGTTGGAAATTTGGAGTGAAACTCAGTACTGACCTTTAGTTACAGGCAATACTGCAATGACATTATCAACATAGACTTTTCCAGAGGAAGAGATCCTTACTTTCTGCAAAAGAAAAGGGGAAAAAACTATCATTGGCAGAAATGTTTATTCTGGTAGGCATTGGCCGCACTCACCAAAATAACTCCGGCAACTTACCATGGCTTCTAAAGTGATTAAGACGTTCTTCAGGCAAGTCGTCGTGTTTGAAATGCTGCACTGAACAATCTCTCCAATGACCACCCAAGCGCCCTCTGTGTCCTGGAAGGGAGGCAAAAACACCCCCTGGATGTGGCAGGCATTCCTGGCAAGCAGCGTACATCTTGACCCAACCCCGTTGCAACCACGTGTAAGGGAGAGGCTGAGTGAGTGCTCAGCATGGTCAGTCACCACCTCCCAACTCCTAGCAAGCAACCTTTGCTATTATTATACTGCAGGAACTTTTACGACAGAGAGATTTACTGGGGAAAACTATTATTCCTTCTGCACCTTTTCTCAGAAGTAGAAGTGTGTATGTTTATCCTTCCAGTGCTCTAATTTTGGTCCATTTTTTGAATAAGTTTTATTCTAAATAAACCTAATACAAAGAAAAACTAAAAACAACATCAATCATCGGAAACATCGGACCTACTGGGTCTGCCCCCCGCATTTTTTCTTTTTATGTTAACTTATGAACATTTTTAAATCTATGCGAAGCCCTGTTTCACTAGCCAATAATAAAAAGAATCCCAAGTTTGATAGAAGATAATTTTGGTCCATTTAGACCTGGGTGTGACGTGTGCCACAAATAAGTTTAGACACAGGTGACATGACAGTGGATGATGGAAAGTGGTTACTTCACTTGCAGAGAAAGCAAATTTCCTGAGGCCTCCAACATGGGGGGAAATGAATGGTTGGTAACAGGCAGTATAGTGTGAAAGAAAACTGCTCAAATATCCCGGGCCCCATTGGATAATGCTAATTCAGTACAACACTGCAGTACATGCACTCTATACTTCCCACATCTCCTTTAAGAAAGCATTGAACAAGATGCTTTTGAACTACATTCAGCAACCTCTGCACTATTTTTATATCTAATTTGTTGCTCCTAAAAGGCCTTAGACATCTGCTTTAAAAATAAAACATACAGTATACCTTAGCTAAGACATAGTGGCAGTTGCCATGAAACATGAATTGTTTCTTATCAAATGTAGTTATGTGACATCCTCCTTCTATCTTACAGTTTCCAGAACAAGGGAGCAATAAGCAAGACCATTTTCCCCCAGTGCAGGTACTACAAAAGCAAAGAAAATTAAAAAGTATTTAATAATACTATAAGAACCCTTATAGACAGTAATGCATGATCAGCTCTGAACCGAGTCAGGCAGCTGCAACATCAATGCAACACACTCTGACATACAGCCTCTCTTTCCCCTTTTAATGCTGGAGGAGCAATACACATAGACTAGGGGCAGGAGAGGGGGGTTCCATGCTGGATAAGATCACAGGCCACCTCATAATTCCCTCCTTTGTCCAGGGTTTGCCCTTTCGATTGGCGGAACACAGGAGAAAATACTGGGGGACTGAGCGGGGCCTCCAGGCAGGTGTGCTGAGCCCTGGAGCAATGGAAATGCTCACCAGGGTCCAATTCAACTGCCAGCCGGGCAGCTTTTGCATGTGGAAGGCGGCCTATTTCATTGCCAAAGGAGGGTATTTTCTTAAGCCCCACCTGAAGGGAGGCAAATTTGCAGAAGGAAGTGTCCAAGTTTCATGGTTCTCATTTGAATCAGGACCCCACGTGCTTACACAAAAGTAAACCAAAGAGTTATGTTAAGCATGACATAAAATAAGTCCTGTCAACCATTTAAAGTTGTGGAATGGGGTACACTTGCTCCCCCATATTAATATGCCTAAAATGGGAAGGGGTGGCTTATCTATCCTTTACTGAGAGGCTCTTGGAACAGCAACTCTTCAAAACAGATTTGCTCACTTGAAGCAAGGAGGGTTGCAAGCTGAACCGCGCAAAAGTGCGAAGTGTTAATGGATTGGGATTGGGCGTCTGTGACTTCCCTCCCTTTTTGCCAGTCAACACCGCTGCCTTCTCCAGCAGCTCTCTGCGCAAACGGAGATGTCAATTCTGCACTAGCAATGAACAGTGGCTGCGTACTTCCGTGTTTCCTATCCCGTGATCCTATGCTAAGCAATCTTGCCTGCCACAGATCTCCTGATAGCATTAGACTGATCTCTTCTGTAAGCTGCTTTGCGTGGTTTTAGATAACATAAGGACAGCGCTGTTTGCCTCAGGGAGCAAAATATCTTGGGTCGCCCCAGGTGCAATGACGTGGAGTTCATTGTGCTGCGTGAGTTCATAATCATCAAGAAATAGTTCAGACTGTCAGAAGAAACCTTAAACACAAACAAAACTGCATGTTGGTGCTTCAGTCTTATTTTAGCTGCTCCAGTAGTGGAAGTTCTAGCGCTTTGCACTGGGGCACATGCCGGCTGGTACTTTCTCAGCCAGATACAGGATGATTGGCATGCTTATCAACATTACCAGTTTTGGCAGGGGGTGGAGTAGGAGTCTCCAGCTGCATAGATGTTGCCTTGAAAGGTGCACGGGCAGCGGTCAGTCGCGATGCAACTTCTGCCACTGATATCATCAAGAATACTTCCTGTTCAAATAGATCACTTAGGAATGTTTAGAAAGGAAGCAAGTTATATGAGATAGACATAAATGACATGCATTTTTTGTTCTTGGTAGAAGAACTTTGTAAATTTGTACACTACTTGATAGACGTTGCTAATAAATAGCTATAAGTAGCCTTTTAAGACATATAGAGTTAGCACATGTCTTTTGTAAGAGGCTTGATGCACTCATATAAGCTCAGTAAGCCTTGCAAAGACCCTGCAAGGTAGGTCAGCACTAGTCCCACAGAGTGTGAGGCAGCAGAGACCCGGATTCTAGTCACCACTTCACTGCAAAGCCCATTGGGTGACTTGGACCAGGCTAAGACTTTTGCCTAAACTACCTCACAGGGTCATTTTGAGGATTCAGTGAAGAAGAACAGGACCAGGTGAGTTGTTTAGGGTTGCTTGCAAAAAGGAAAAAGTGTAGTAATAAATAAAGCACTGTGCCAGATATATTTTAATTTATAAAAAATTGTGGAACACCTGTTTTAAATTTGCATCTTGTTGTTATATCTGTGTTTAAGGAGATGGAAGACTGTGAAGCTTTTTTCACAGTCTTTCCCCAAAGATATTATACCAAGGCTTCAGGCTCTTCCTTCTCACTGATGCCAGATGTGTGAGAACTTGTGCTGGTGGCTTGAAAGAGAGAGAAAAGCACTTCGTACATGCTCAAAGGCGTAAACACTTGGGTGGCTGCTTGGGTAACAACAACATGGAGGGCAGCCCTGAACACAAGCCATTTCTGGGTTCAGCTTCCTCTCAGGTTTGAACAAACTCTCCTCCACCCCCAATAAACAGACTGCTGTGTGGAGCTGCCGTTGCACAGTTGTGCGCTTCAGCTGGCTGGCCACGCAGCAAACTTGCGCACGTGGCTGGCCATGCGAGTGTGCGTGAGGGTTCTGCCTTCCTACATCCAGGCTCAGAAGGCTTCTGGAGCAGGTGGCATAATCTGGGAGGGGGTAAGTTTGGCACGGTTTAGAAATCAAGCACTGCTTTCAGACCCCGCTCTGTAAGGTGGACAGATCAGGGAATTGCGGCATAGGACGGTTGCCACGATGCTTGAGGAAATGGTTGCAAAGGGGCCACGCCAGTGACAAAGGACATCTCAAGGAAGGTGCTTACCCTTGGGGCAAAAGCAGCCATCAGTACATGGAGCTGTACAACTTTTGCTCCTCTCTGGATTGAAGCACGTGTCAACACAGGCGTTTCCACATTCCGTATATTCCAGGTTGTTGGGGCATTGCTGGACTGTGAGCACAAAGCAAGCAAAGCCAATGTTAGTGAACACAGGCGGTTATACTTTCCTAACGAAGAGCCGTGCGTCTGTGCGAAGGTGGGCCATATCTCAACATTTCATGCCGTGCAATATTCCACAGATGAAAATAGAGACACTTTTGTGCATTCACAAGACTAGGGACTGCATCTGGAAGCTCTAGTAAAAAAAGGGAGTAGGCAGACATTGCACTGAGGAAAGCTGCCATGGCGGTCACGAGGAGTTACCCATCCAGTCGAGATGGGCCTGGAGTGTCCTGAAAACGTCCCTCTTCAAAATCTTCCTGAACTCTTGAAGTATTTGAGGTCACTCCTGGAAAATATTTAATGAAATGGCCTTCCCAGTAGCACAGCCCATGAATACACTAAAATTGTGGATCCAGGGTTAATATTGTTTAATGTTGCTATCGTTGAAGAAAAACACAATGACCTTATTATCCTTAAGAAAACACAATAACTCCTGGTCTTCCTCTCTTTGCCTATTCCTTCTTACATCATTCTATATGAATTATCAAGATGATTTCATTCAGCATCAACTAAGGTGAAATTTCTCATATTTTTGACCATTTTTGTTTGTTTTCTGTTTTGCTCAGCTGCTGGAGAAGCTTGCCTTTCTCTACTTCCCAGAGAATTGGGGGGGGGGGGGGGCAAATATCCTTTCTTTTGTCAGCAACTGGCAAAAGTATGAAGAATCTGGACAACTATTTTCACTCAGGTCCTCAAAAGCATTGGTAGACAATGAGGCCTGATTACCTGCCCCAGGGTTGGTGAAACGGACATTTCAGAAGATGGGGAAGTAGCACGGAAATGTAAGAAACCCCTCTTTGGCTCAAGATGCAGAAGGGGCCTTCCTCTTGAAAGCCTTCCTCTTTCTCCTTCCCGTGGGCAGCATCAGAGAATCGGTCAGTCTTCCGGCTGGCAATACCAGCCGGAAGTCCATTCCTCCTCACCACTCAAGATACAGTGGCTGAGCAGCCAGGCGCTCTCCTCCTGGCAGAGAGCATCAGCACGAGGTCACAGTGGCTGTCTGTTCAGGGAGGTGGCATCAACATGATGAGTCACAATCGCCAGACGCTCCTTCAGCAAAGCACCATCAACTTGCAGGGTGGGGGCTTACTGGTTAGTCTCTCGAGCCCAATCTGTTCAACGAATGGGGGACATTCTTGCCTACTAGCCAGCTTCTGCCGCTAACGCATCCCGCATGGCTGTGCACGGGGCAGCCACATGAAGGTGAACAGAAACCCTGAAGCAGGGAAGCAACCACTTTTGGCAATGGAGAAGCAAACAGTTTTGCTGGTTCAAGTGGGAGAAAGAGTGCTGAATGCCCAACTCAGACACACAATTAAGACTACACCCAGGAATAGAATAGGCACTCACCAAGCACATTGAGCATGAGCCATGCTGAGTGGGGACAGTGAAAGGGGTCACGGTGGGCAAATTTGGCCTAGAACCTTCTTGGCGTTAAGTTGACAACGTCTGGCTGTCTTCATTTACTTACAACAGAGTCCTTTGGATCTCCATTTTCCAGGGTTGCCCCCCTTGAGGATGCAGTCTCGGGAGTACTGGCCGAAAGTGCTGCACACACAGCTTGCAACCAAGTCCAAATGGGAAGCGTTCTCGGGACAGCTGCACATGTCTTCAGTACAGCTGCTTATGTAATAACCAATGGCGACAACCCTAGAACAGTTCCCAAAGTGGGACAGGACTCGCTTGCACTTAGATTTCTGAAAGAGGGAGAGAAATTTCTGTTCTTACATTGATGGTAAAACAGGTGACCTCCCACAGTCCTGGTGTGTGCCAGAGCTGGAAACCATTTAACGATGGGCCACATCCCTTCCCATGAAGAAGGAGGCCCCACCCAGCTCCCAACCCCTCATCCCAGGATTCCAGGTGCAAGAAGCAAGCAAGGCTCCAGCGGCGTTCCCTCCTCTGTCGCCAGGTGCAGTCACAAGCTATGCCAGAGCCCAGGTAGGACTTGGTACCCAAGCAAGTTCCCTGGAGACACCAGGGCTGCTATGTTTCTGCTTGCCCAGGAAAAGCCAGTGGTCAGCCTGGGTGGGCTCAGTCCAGAATGTTCTTTACTGAAAGGCTGCCATGGCACAGCTTGTCCCATGGGCAGCACTCTGCAGCCCCTGATGCGAGACAGTGCGGTAACTTGCTTCCCTGAAATGTGTGTTTTGATCAGGTGCCCTCCTGTATTCGCAGGCTTTCCCTGACCCACCCGCCCGCAGCACGATTTGCTGTCTTACACAGTTTCACACAAACCACACAGCTATCCCTAGGCAAGGACCCAGGGCAGATGGGTGAACAAAGAGACAAGGCTCAAAATGGTGCAACGGGCTTCTATGCACCACCCCAGGTTGGCCAACATGCAGGCTCAGTGCTCAGATGGACCCTGACCTGCCCTTCACATGCCCTGCCCCCCATCTGGAGCAAGGCACCGTGCACGCAACTGCATCCTGGCAAGCAGGGGAAGGAGAGCTAACATCCACAGAGCTGCCTTAGTTAAGCTACTTTTGGGACTCAGAGATGTTTACAATTTGCTTGCTTTTTAATTGCATCCTTTATTTCAGATGCATGCTCTTTTCCTTAAGCATGGCCCATTTCTGTGATTCACTGTGATACTTCATTAGGCACTGTCTGTTCTTTCTAGTGCCAGCGATTTGTTTTCTGCTTCCTTAATGCAGTCAGTCTTGCTGAGAACAACATTAGTTCACTTTACTTGCTTGTCTGATGATCAGTTCTGAGTGGCTCTGAGTGTGGGAGGGAAAGGGGAAAGATTGTGCCGTATGGAATGTCCTACTTAGAATTCGATCATGCCCTGGAATGCACGTGCAGATGCCGCAGACATTCCTTTGCGGGGTTCTGGCCACTAGAGGGAGCTCAGCGGGCAAAAACAGAACATTCCTTTCACATGGACTGGACTGGAACGTCTGTAATTGTTCTGGGATCCAGGAAAAAGTGAAGAAATGATCTAAGCGGAGTACTGTTTGGGGTTGTTGTTTTTTTAAAAGAGAAATCAGTATTACTATTTTCTGAAATAGCTGAATAAGTAAATACATAAAACAATGTTAGCATCAACAAATAATCCTATGAAAAGCTTCAAGAAAAGCTTCCTCACTGTCAGAGCAATATGACAGTGGAACCAGCTGCCCAGAGAGGTGGTGGCTCTCCCACACTGGGGACATTCAAAAAGAAATCTGAGTGGGATGGTGTGACTTGGTGTCCTGCAACAGCAGGGGGTTGGACCCAATGGCCTTCATGGCCCCTTCTAACTCTACTATTCTATGATTCTATGAAAACTATTAATGAATTGAAAAAATGCAGAGAATTAATTCATGCAAGGCATTGTTTTACTAAAAGAACTTAGGATCAACAATAGATAAGCGGTAACAAAGCTAAACAACAAAAGGTTAAAGAGCCAGGGTGCTTGGGCTCTTTTTGCAATTTGAGCCCCACTGAGGATGTTCAGTGCTGCTTCGAATTACTCTGTGTTCATCTGAGTCTTACACACTTCCCTACAGCAGAATATAAAAGCTGGTAGTTGTAAGACAGTCAAGGTATTATATTGTATGTTGTGAGCCGCCCTGAGGCTTCGGCGAATGGGGCGGCATAGAAATGTTTTAATTAATTAATTAATTAATTAATTAATAAGGTGGACAAGTCCAACTTACATATCTACTTTTACACTGCTGGTGCAGGTGAGATTTGCCTTGGTTCTTTCTGCTGTCTCCAAGTACATCGGGACACTTCCGTGCTGGATCATCTACTTTCTGAAGGTTTCCAAACTGCCATGGGGATAGTGGAAAGCCTGTAAAAGCTCATCATGGTTAGGACATTATGTGCATGCCTAGCATGAATTTCTCAGCTGAAAATGCACCTCAGTGGGAATAGCAGGTCTTTTCCAGTTCCTCAAAATATCAAGGCCTAACGTGGCTAATTGAAAACAACATGGGGCTCCTAATGAGGCCTTAGAAATTAGAGTGGAGTGGTTAAAACATTTGTTCAACTCTATCGGCCATATCTCTTAGAGGAGATCAACCCTGGCAGCTCTTTAGAAGGCCGGATACTGAAGATGAAACTCAAATACTTTGACCGCCTAATGAGAAGGAAGGACTCCCTGGAGAAGAGCCTAATGCTGGGAACAATTGACGGCAAAAGAAGGAGGGGAGGGCAGAGAATGAGGAGGCTAGATGGAGTCACTGGGACAGTGTGTGTGACCTTAGGTGGGCTCCGGGGGATGGTGGAGGACAGGAAGGCCTGGAGGAATGTTGTCCATGGGGTCGCAATGAGTCAGACACGACTTCGCAGCTAACAACAAAATCAGCCATATCAGAGAGAGCTGCAGGATATTTGCTAACTGGTATATCGTACTGGATTTGGGATAAGCAGAACTGATTTAGGGTCCTGTACAACACTGTTGCTGGGAACTCTGCTCTGCTCTCTTTTGCCATTTCTATCTTCAAGGCTGAAGAGCCTGCGTGAATCCTTGGATGCCATCACCAACTCTGCCTGATGAGAAGGGTTCTGTCTTTACCCCAGGATTCAGGCCTAACACTCATCATTTTTGTCTCTATAATTTGAGGGTGATACTGAAATTGTTCAGTGTGAAACTGACCTGAATCACAAATGCTTATGAACTTAGGCTGGTGCACCACAAACTATGTTCTGGGAGGGTGTGTTATCAAAGGCACATGACAGCACTACTGTCCTTCAAGCTCTGGGTTGATTTTGATGGTCTCCAAAGCCCTATAACCTGAAAAACGCAGCATCCCTTGCTCTCAAGACTTGAGCTTTGCAGCTGGTCCTGAACCTGGTACCTGGGGGATATGAAGCTGGGAGACATAAGCAAGAGGGTCCCGTTGCATTCATGTGCCGCTCAAGGGATTTTCTATGGACAGCTCATTGGCTAGCTACTGAATGAATAAAGTGCTGGACATTGATGGACTATGGCCTGGTCCTGCCTAATCCTTCTTACGTTCTTTCCTCTGGAGATGCGCCACAATCCAACTCTGAGCATCAGTTTCTCTTGACTTTTGTGGCCAAGGATAGAATGCCCTGAGGATCACGAGAATTGCTTATTCATGTTCTGTGGTCTGTCTGTCTGTCTAAATAGATGTAAAGCTGTGGAGAATTTGTTCCCAGTGCTATTCTGTGGAAACTCTTATCATAATGTGTGAAAAACCTCTATGAATCCTGGAGTGCATTGTCAGTTCCATCGGGCAAGATGGCTGAGGTCCTCACACAACAGTTCTGTGTATGCTTACTAAGTCCCACCAGGTTCAATAGGGCTTGCTTACTGGTAAGTATGCCTAGGAACACAGCCTCCCTCTCAGGTGGAACCATACTTTCGTAATTTCAAGGCTAGACTGCTGAAGGTGGTATAATTTATATGCATATATGCTTTATTATACAAAAACATATTTTCATTTGAATGTACAATGTGCACAATTTCTTGGAGTTCCAAAAGAAAAGGCGAAAGAAGGAAGCTTTTTCCAAAAGTCTGTTCAGTTGATTCAATTGGTGGTCTTTCCAGGACCAAGAGAAAAATCTCACTGCATTTCAAATATGAATACAGAGTGAAGATTAAAGTCTCTTATTTTGGGAAACACAGATGTATCAAACATCAACTGAGAGTCACTCAACATTTCACCACAGGTGTGCTTACCAAATGTGTGACACACAAAATGGAATAAATATGTGTTCATATGTTAAAAGCACCTGCAGGAGATCCAGTGGTACAAGTAGTGGATTGTGTAGGATTAGGATGAATGGGTCTTTGGTCCAACTTTCTAGTCAGCTGTGTAGCTCATTGCAGCAGTTGGACACCAACGCTGTTCTGGTCACGATGAAATGGGATGATGGGGGTGGGAGTAGCCGCATTTAAGTAAGCATTGCCAGAAGAGAAATTTGCTGCAGGGGAATCAAGTGCCGATACGTTGTATTGTGCCGTAGAAATGCAATTAGGGAAGACTGTGCGTCTTCCCAGCCTGCTGTCCGGGAGTTAGTTGTTGATAGGCAGCTTCAAGACCCCTCTGATGTGACTCTAAACCAGGCTTGGACTGGGCAGCTCTTCGAACAGAAGACTTAAATAGAGTCTATAAAATAGTGACACATGGCCAGTCTAGCTTTTACACACATGTGCATACATGCACACGCACACGCATACCATGTCTGTTAACATGTCTGTTAAGGTGTTTGGGATATACACATGATAGTTATGATTATTAATGATGGTACAGCCAATTATATAGAAAATTGACATCTTACTATGTAGGAGCAAATCATTCCTTCCATCGCCATCGTAGTTCCCACATAATCCACATGTTTTCCCCCTGTATGCATCTTCTAAATCCATCTAAGAAAAAAAGAGGGAAATGAGAAATGTTTTAAGATTTTTCTTCTAAGTAGACCTGATCAGAACTATAATACAGAACATTATTCATACTTGGACGTAGGTTGAGGTCTATGCTTAGGCTGGAAATGTATCACAATTGAATGCAACTGTATCATCAAACAGAAGCCCTTTTCTCTCATTAATTCACTTGCTGAATATGGGATTAATACATGTCATGTTTATCTTTTAAGTAATGGGATATTAATTAGACAAAAAATTTCTGCATCGCACATGAATTACAACAAATTTGATGGGTCTAAGCACACCAGTTGTTGCTGGGTTGGTGGTGACTTCCTATTTCAGTGATAAAGTAGTAAATGCTGAGTAGTCATTTAACGTAAAATTGTTAAGTTTCTGTCAGTCTCAAGCCCAGAAAGGAATTGTGTGACTGTTATCCTCCAAAATTGATGCCAGGGATTATGAAAGAATTGATAATAGAAAGCTTCAGCTATTGGGCAGTACCGAAATGAAATAAATAAATAATATAAAGAAGTTAGCCTTACTTCTGTACATCCTTTATTCATTCATAATATAGCTAGAAAACTGCAGGATATGATGACTGGCAATGCAACACGTTTGATCAGTGCTCGCACTCACTAAAACAAATTGAACTAACTGAAGCTGCATACCAGGAGAGTGTCACCCCAATTCCACCGGAGAGACAGGCCTAACTTGGAGCTGATTTGGAAGTAAGGGTAAATGTCTTCTATTAGAACACTCTTCAAGCTGAAGGGCAGAGAAATTCTAAAAGAAAGAAGGAAAATTAAACAACAGCTGAATTGTCTCATGTTTAAAAGACATGCCCAAACTGAGTAATTAAGTGGAATGCCCCTTTATTGGCTGTGATTTGTTATTAATTATTATTATTAAACCAGGCCTCCCAGTTACTTTCCTCCCTGCTTTTTTCTCTTGATTGCTGCTTGCTCTTGCTCCAGAGGATTCTCATTAATTTGAGTTTGGTTAGGCAGTGATGTGTACAGATATCTGATACTTGCAGATCCAGTGTGGTCTCATGATTATCAATTACTGTATGTATCTATTGTTAGCTGCAGTTGTGAATTTACAGCATTAAATGATTCTGATCAGATGCTTAGTCTGCATACAGTCTAGGGCATTTAACAAAATAACATTGAGTTCATCTTTCTTTTGTGGAGGCAAAGCACGTCAGACCTTGGAAAAGCAGGACAGACTGGGCCAGTAGGCCCTTTTATATGTCATGGGAGCAGCGCAGAGCTCCTGCAGTTACAGTGGCTACAAAAGCAAGACAAGAACTATTAGGTAAGGTTTTTCCCCCTCCAGGTATTAGAATGAAAAAGTGACGCCTGCTTATTTTTAACAAATAGCCTTTTTGGACTACAGACCAATTTGACAATTTAAGAAACTGTCCCAGGCACCATCACAAAATGGCTGCTTTAAGAGATGTGGCAAAGGATAAGTAACCCGCCCACACAGAAGCCCATGTTGTAGCAATTCCAGCTGCCAGTCGGGAAATGTGTTCATTAAAACGTGGTAAGGCACCTTGATGAGCACCAGAAAAGGCATTTAAAGAGGGGCACTGGTGCCCCCATGTGTCACATTGCTTACCCCAAGGCAGAGCATTCTCATTCACTCCAGGAAACCCATGTGAGAGATGGAGATCTTTTTCTACCCAGAAATACATCGTTAATTTATATGACCATACACTGCAATTTTGAATACTTGAACACATATTCATAACATGGAGAATAACTGCTTAATGAGGCATGCTCATTAAGTACAGATTTGGTACAGAACTCTGTGAGACCATTTTTCCAGTTCACATAATCCAGGAGTTGCATTTCCCCGCTTTTGGCATAGATTGGTGTTGGTTCCTGTTTCTGGATAAGTAAATAGCTGAAGGCTAGTGTCAAGCAAAGGCAGGTTTGAGCATTCGTCAATGGCTCACTCCCCAGGAATATCCTACTGATGATGATGTGGAGTTGCCCCTTTTCTTCACCACTGCAACCTGCTTGTTGCAATCGCCCTCATCCAGAACCACCTTATAGGCTATTCCTCAATCCTGGTTCCCATATTTCAGACTGTATCTCAGTGAATCTCTTTTCCCAGTATGCAGGAGCATTTTTAAAACAATAAATGGTTATAAATGGATGTTGAACTGACTCACTTGCTTCCATCTACTGTGATGCCTGATTCTTTCACCTCCAGAAGTACTCCATCGATGGTGGCAGTGAAATAGATAATAATCCTATTCTGGGTGCTCCTTGTAATCTGGATCTTGAAGTCTTGATAATTGTCTTTACAATGTGAAGCAAAAATATAATGGCAAGTTCCAGGGAAGTCAAATTTTACTTGGTCAAATGTCTGAAAATGGAAGTGACCCCAGGCAGAACATTGACTTGTGGAGACTGCAGAGTGCTGAGCTGCAGAGGAAACCAAGATGATGAGATACTAAAGTCAGATTGAGGGACTGCCTTCCTCAATGCCTGCCAGATTAGTTGGAAAGAGGCACCCCTGGTCTGAACACACCTGGAAGACACCAGGCTGGGAAAGGCTGCTCTGCAACAGAAGTTATCTGCTCTGGATAAGCAGCAAAGGGTTTATCTTGTTCCTTTTAAAATGCATGGAAACGGCCCCTAAACGGATTGCTTAAGGACTGAGCAAGCAGTAATACATTCATGGGCCATGCACTGTTGATAAAGCTTACCAGGGTTTTGTGCTTCTGTTATCATTTACCTGAGTCCAAATCACTACATGAAAAGCAGCCCTAGCAGTGGGAGAACATTTTAATCCAACTAAAATGTTAGGAGATACCTGAGTTAAAATTAAGCACTTTTACATCCAATGGTTTCAATAGGACACCTATGCATGTGCTTAATCTCTCTCATCAAAACCGAAGTAATTTGCTTAAATGTGACTGAATTATGCCACAATTATATGTTGATTACTTGCAGAGGAATCAGGTATTATAGCTCACATCTAATATTTTGAAACATCCAAGTAACAAATATTTGCACTAGATACTCCTACCTGTCTGCACTCGTGTTTTGCTCTTGCAGAAGCTGCAGAGTAACAACAGAATCCATAGGTGGCTTCCCTGCTTCATCCCCATTATCCTACACTGGGAGGTCACCTGAAAAATCTCTTCTCTGAAGCAGGTTCTTTCCTAGCTCATGGCCACATTTTATAGTCAATTAATTTTGCCATATGAACAAAGCATAAAACTAAAGGAGGAGTTTTAAGAGTTTCCCTTCACTAATTTATGCAGATTGACTCATTCTTTTCTCGGATGTAAAAGGACAAGCTGGCATTTGGTTGCTGGATGCCATTATCTTGAATTTCATCTTTGATTTTGCAAGATTTTTTTCAAGCTTGGAACCACTCCAACTCCACTCAGATCTGGTGGCAAGAAAACTTTCCTAGCTGGGTCAATCAGAATTTTGTTCTCTATCCAAGTTTTTCTGGAACATCACTCTGGGTCCCATGAACCAGGATTTTATGAGGTCTGCTTGACGTACCAGAACAAGCTTCCTGGGATCAGTGGTTCAATATCTTTAGTTGGGTGGGAAGAAGCTTCAAAGACCACAGATGTCATTACACTTGGGTTGCCTTTTCTTTTTCTGATGTCCATTTATGTACAAACAGCAGGCATGCAGTTCACCTGCAAATGATCTTTGTGACTCCAGGGGATGTATTTCAATGTAAATATAGCTATTTCCAAATTTGCATCTATGCGTATATAAATCACCACATGAAAAAGTAATGCCAATCTGAGTCTTTTTTCTGTCCTCGTCTCTGATGGTGCATTTCCCCGCCCCCCTCCTCCCTCCCAAAATCTAACCCAGCTCCTCCTTGCTTTCCCAGTGTTCCTGCCCCACCTCTGCCAGTCTCACTGGTAAAATGTAATGCTGCTAAGCTCAGCAGAAGTGATGCTGTTGGGACATGAGGGAGGCCTCTCCACACAGTCAACAAACAGGTGGACAGTGGGTTGTGTGGTAAGTGCACATTGACAGTGGAGTTGAGTGAGCCAGCATGACCCACAACCTGCCCCCCTACCCCCGCAATTCATTCAGTCCATGAAGGGCGTTACAGGAGCCCATTAATAGCGGCTGTCCATGCACACAGTACCTCTTGATCATATCATATTCCAACCAATAGCCTGCCCCTTTTGCTTGTAGAGCAATAGGTTAAGTAAACCAGTCTGGTCCTTCATAAGAGGGACCCTTGGTCATCTGCTCAGGCTGCCTGCAATTGCCCAGGAGAACCCAAGGCCTGCAAAGGGCAGCTCACACTGATTTGCATGATATTCTATGTACTATCTGTATTACATGTTTCTAGATAGGAGCTGCAGTAATTGTCATCATCCCTGGGATTTCTCACAGTTAGCAGCATCTAAGGAGACACTTGGCGTTTGCATGACCACAGGTACAAATCCCTTTGTCTTATGAACTGACATCTCAAGAGTGAGGGCTTTCCATTGACCCCTGGCCTGTAAAGCCAGCTCAGTCATGAATCCCATTTGCCACAGATCTATTGCCTGCGGAACAACATTTTTTCATGGATCATTTGCCATAGAAGAGTATTTGGCTTGGATGGAGTACAGCTTATACATTAACTCTGTGGTTGACCTGGCATCCTGAGGGGTGCCAGTGCGTGTGGAACGTCGATACACCTGGTTCAGCTTCTCAAAAAGAGATACAGCAGGTACTGAGGTTCTCTTCCTTTTAACATCACTTTGTTGCTAATGACCTTTTGCCCTGTCTAAGAAAGGAACCAGCACCCCCAAGCTCAGGCATAATTTTAAGTTGGCCACAAGATGACCCTGCCGACAAAAGTGTGTATAGTCAAGGCTATGGTTTTCCCAGTTGCAATGTATGACTGTGAAAGTTGGACCATAAGGAAGGCTGAGCGCTGAAGAATTGAGGCCTTTGAATTGTGGTGCTGGAGGAGACTCCTGCAGGTCCCCTGGACTGAGAGGAGTTCAACCCTGACTGCTCTTTAGAAGGCCAGATACTGTAGATGAAACTCAAACATTTTGGCTACCTAATGAGAAGGAAGGACTCACTGGAGACAACCCTAATGCTGGGAACAATTGACAGCCAAAGAAGAAGAGGACGGCAGAGGATGAGGTGGCTAGATAGTGTCCCTGAAGCAGTTGGTATGAGCTTAGGTGGACTCCGGGGGATGGCGGAGGACAGGAAGGTTTGGAGGAATGTTGTCCATGGGGTCAAGATGGGTTGGATTGAGACTTCGTGACTAGCAACAAGAAGACGACCCACATGGGGCACTGCTCGTTACAGGAACTGGATTGCATCAGGGTTGAAGCAGTGCCTTTAACTATGCTGAATCCCTCTGGAAAACACAGATAGGCATTCCAGGGTTTTCTGGAACTAGACACAGACATTCTATGTTAAAAATCCATGTGGTGTATTATATAATCTTCCTCTAAACAGAGGATTTAACCTTCCTCCCCATATGGTCTGATTTCTCCCCCCTACAATCTTTTGTCTCTAATGTCCTTTCAGGTCACCATTGCTGGAGACACTGCAATATCATATCAGGACTTTCAATGGGAATAGACCCTCCACCTATTTTGGGCTTCACTTCCTTGATGTCAAAGAGAGGCTGGGCCACCTTTGGTTGACAGCTTAATATAAGGAATCTGAGAGACCTTCAAAATGAAAATCCAAGGACCCTGTTTAATTTGTACTAAATCACGGGAGTGTTGGCCACAGGCCATAAACTTTTACTTGGTGGCTTGCCAGTGCAAAACTGTTGAGCCTCTCAGGGGAAAACTCTGGAGGCAATGAAAAACAGTGGCCACAACTCAATTGCCCTTGTGGCTTCTGTGTAACTCGACCAATAGGAGACCATAAGCTGCAGTGGCTGAGGACCTGGTCTGACGGCACAGCGAGGCTCCACATGCTCAGGTGAAGCAGTCCATTGGCTTAGCTGTTACGATGTCAGAGCCTGGCTGTGCCATCTTGGGCCAGACAGCTTCCTGCCACAAGGGCCTGGAGAGGCAGCAGGCACCTGAAGTTCCACTAGCAAGTTCTGTTAAATTAAACCATGAAACAGTTGCTTTTTAACAAAGAATTGATTTAGAGAAGTGTTTCTTTCAAGCCTTTTCACAGAAGGCTGCTGGCCATGACAGACTTGCTTAGAACATACAGTACTGAAAAGTTTAGATTTCAACTTTGATACATATTATGTTTCCCAATCACAGACTTATATGGGGGGAATGATATGGGGGTGGGGATACAAGGAGCATGCAAGGCACAATTCCATGCAAAGCTCCTCTTTCTACAGGGTCAGATACAGGCTGTCATGTAGTGGAGGAAACTATGTGCTGCAGGAAAATACCTGTTTAAGACTTGTCTGCTCCTTTTCAAATGAAAAGGAAAGGAAATTTGCAAATTCTAGAAGGTTATAGAAAAAGATCCAGTCTATATATATTTTAAATTTTAAATTCCTTGGTTTTTAACTCTTATTTAAAATGGCTAAGCCTAACTTTAAAAAAAAGATCTCAAAGATTGAGATAAGCCAAACTTAAGAATGGAGATATTCTCAGAGGTCAAGACAAGCCAAACTTAATATTGGAATCATGAGGAACTGAAATTGATGGATTACATCTTTCTTCATTGGGATATAAGTAAAGCTAAGAACACGTCTTGCAAAATGTTATGCCACTGCAGGCCTGCTTTTCAAAAATATTGTGTGTTGAAAATTGGGTTGCATGTGCATCCATGTTACATATTTGCATGGAATTAGAGTTGTCCTGGTGTTACTGAACTATTTTACTTTCTCTTTCTTTCCTCCCCGCACACCTTTCAACTGTTTGCTCACTATTGGCTTGTCTGTCTGTCTGTCTGTCTGTCTGTCTGTCTGTCTGTCTGTCTTTTTGTGCACAGATGGGGCACAAAAAGTCACTGAGTTGTCCACTGAGTAATCAAAAAGAGGTTGGTTTAGGAGGAGAAAAGGAGGAATTTACTCTTGGGCACATCATCCAAGATAGAAACATGATGCAAATCACAGAAAGAACGTGTATAACAATGGCAATACCCCTTGGAATCCTGAAGCTCTGCTTTCTCTCAGGGAGTCATAGAACATTCAAGTGCACAAATGTTTACCAACAAAAAGGATGTGACAAAACTTTTACTTTTGAACAGTGGTTTGATTTATTTAAAGCAAAAGAAGATGATTCAAAATAGTCCAGATCATAAACTCTTCCTTTCTCTTTACACAGAAGTTAACTGTTTTTCACACAAATAAATAAAGCAAACACAATGAAAAACAGGCAAAGAGGCAAAGATGGAACAGACTGTGGAAATTAAGGCAAAGCGCTGAATTTTTGTGGGAAGGGACAGCACACAGGGTCACTGTGCATGCATTCCTTCTGTTCCTTTAACCTATCGTTTAGCTCATGGAGCCACAGCTTCTGCTTTACTTATTTGATTGCCCTCCTGCGACGCTTCACAGCACGCTGCTCAGCTTGTGTGGTCAGCTTCCCAGTTCTTTCTGATGACCATGGCACCTCGCACATGCTGTCCAGACACTCACAACTTTCCACAAAGAGGTAGCTGTGTGTCTTCCTGGTTCCGTCAGGACATATCAGTGTGACTTGCTTCTGAGTTGCCTTTGCCTCTCTGCAGCAACTGCACCTGTGCTGCATTGAGTTGGTTTCAGCAGAGTATCTGGTTTGTAGCAGGAAAAGAAAGGGAGAGTTAGATTGTGCTACCAGCCGGAGTTACAAGCTGTTGCAGTGACTCTGTGGCAGTCAAGATGTTGCATTAGAGTAGCTGTAGTCTGCATTCTTTATTGGAATATATGAGTTTCCAGTATGCTCATGTAATGCATTAAGAATGCTGCATTTTGAGTAATGTGTGCACAATGTATTGTCTCGTCTATTATAAAAAGGGACTTCACGGCCAAGTTTTTAAAAAGAGAAAGGCAAGAGGATCAAGAAAGCAACACATCCAAGTAGAAGTGAAAGTCAGCTTTGGAGCTGATGCAACTTCAATCGCTACTCAAAAGTAAGTCTCATTGAGTTCAATGAAGCGTACCCCCATTTGAAATACAAAAATGACTGATTTGTACATAATGCAGTGTGATTATGGGGGAATCCTCCATCTGAACATTCCCCTCTGCTGTGGACTCACTGAGGCCACGATTCTATGCATCTTTAGAAAGAATACAGTTCTGGAGGAGTTGTAGGACTCTTTTGTGTCTAAATAAGCTTAGGATTGTATTCTAAGTGGCCTTAAGCACACCACCCTCTCTCTCATTGCAATCCCCCCTGCCTATACTATCGTGATAATATGGATCTATCTTACTTAGGTATCCTAAAGATTTCAAATTAATATAGATAAAGCACATTGACCCCTCAGAAGTAGAGATGTATGACAATTTCAAATGATGTGAACATGTCCTTTTCATAATCCTGAATATAAAAAAAATCTCTGATTTTGAAAAAAAAAATGCAGAATTTCCCAAGCTCACGTTCATATTAAAGAAGATACACTTTTTAAAATATCCCATTTTTTAAAATGCATTTTCATACTTCATGGTGGTGGGAAGTGAACAACTAGATGAGCTCTTTTAAAAACAGTGCATTTGCTCTGATTAAAATGTGCACTTTTCCCATTTAAACAAAAACAAACCAGAGTGCAACTGAGCATGGGAGGCAAATCTTCACTGTGATGTGCAAAATAGTCCTGGTGATTCCAAAAATTAAATGTTCACCCATCACTATTCGGAAGTGCTATAGAAGTATTCATTATTCTTATTTTAGTTCTTATTAGACTCTGTTCAAATCTTTATCCCAGCCCTGTTTGGTTTTTATTGTCAGATATCATAATTATCCGTATATGTTATCAGCGTGCAGCATACAGAAAATCTTGCAGAGACACCTACTGGAAGTGGAGCAGATGGCACATCTGCCAAACTAATACCCCCATCTTGAAGTCTTGGGAATCTTGCCTATCCACAAATGTCCCCAAATTTCTTTCCCTCCTCATTTTTATTTGTAAGAAAAATCTGGCAAATGGTTGGGAGCCTTCAAACATCCCTATTTTTTATTAACCCCATGTGTTTCAAACCAAATTTTGCAATTGTTGCGGCTTGATAGGGGTTGGCACATAAGAATGTACCCAAGAAAGGAATCCAATAAATTTAGATTGAAATACGTTGGGCTTAACAATAACAAGAAAAAGATTTCCATATGCAGGTGGAGGTTTCCTCTCCTCCTCTCACTATGACTGGTACCTTCCTATCTGACCTTTCCAAGGAAGAATAGGAAAAACCTTTCCAGAGGCACAGCTATCCATGAAAAGTAGCTTCCATTCCTCAGCATACAACATTCTCAGCCTTTTAACCTTCCCACCCCAAAGGATGGAGTGGGGGGTGACATACAGCTACACAATGCATGGTTGATATGACATATAGCTTAGCCCTTATTTATTCCACTGTTTCAATTATTTAAGTGGCCTGTGAATATTCAAAAGATCAGGTTATTCTGAAGATCAAACACAAACTTGTTATGTTCTTTACAGGTGGCAGAAGCAATTCGAATTTGGTTGGAAAATGTGTGATTGTTTTGTCCAGAGGTGCTTTGTAAAACTACTTATGGAGTCTTATTGTCCAGTTTGGTGTACATACATTGAAGCAGTTCCACATCTTCCCTCACACTGAGCCACAGGGACTGGAACCTCTGACCGGCAGCCACCATACGAAATATAGTCCATTGTTTTTGCAGCATAGCATAAAGGTGGTTTTTCTGGTGCAGAAGGTATACCTGCAAAACAAAACGTTTAAAAAGAAAGTTTTCAAATGCTTTCAGAAGCTTCAAGCTTCCTGCACTCTTGTCAGGAGTGCCAGCAAAATATTTGCTCTTTTTCCATGCCGATATTTGCTCTTTCTGCACTTCAGGCTTCACCCTGGATTTAACTGTATAGAAAGTCCTGTGTCAGACAGAACATTCACCTAGAATGTAAAGACAGGATACAAATAAAATATCTACTGAAATAGAATTTGAGAGTCTGACTGAATATAATGCTCACTGATTTTGATGGCAGAGTTTAGCATGTGGTGAACATTTTGCCACTGAAACCAGTGAACCTCATCAAGTCCTTAATTTTGACTGGAATTTCTCCATGTGTTCCTTTCTTCCTTTTAAAAATAGTGACATGATTTGGGTGGTTTGGGGGAAATGCTGAGGACTGGAGGGAGAGGCAGAGGCCTCGTAAGCCCCAGAGGATGATTTCTAGAATTAGAATGGAATGTCATATTTAGCCCAGAGAAAAGGTTTTGGTGACACTTGTTCCTACTTGAAGCCACGTACAGTGGCCATTTCTTTAATCTAAAAGAGAAAAAATGAAAATAGACCACTGTGTGGGCTGGATCCAGAGATCAGACAGTAGCCTATGCTGCCTCATAGAAACAAAGAAACAGAGAAAGTCAGAAGGGGCTTCCTGGGCCATCTAGTCTGACCCCCAGCTCCAGCCAGCTCCACTCATGACATGCCTACCATAGGTGTGTCCAGCCTCTCCTTGGACACCCTCACCGATGGGGCCTCAATGACCTCATGTACCCATGGGACCCACCAGTAGCACAACAGGGAGTCAGCCATTTTAATGCAACTCATCACAACCACCCTGGGAAGGTTGTTAGGCTGAGAGTCAGTGACTGGCCCAAGTCATCCAGTGAGCTTCATGGCTAGGCAGGGGTTAGAACCCAGAGCTCCCAGGTTCCCTGTCCAGCACTACAGCACAACATCACACATCATTAACCATGGGCCTGCAAGCATAAAGCTGAGCGTTACAGTAAAAGTATGTGAATTGCCTTCTTATACAGGCAAGCTTTAGCTTTGCTTTTGAAATCGGAGCAACTGAACCTATTTGTTTATATACAGTAATTATTGCAGTATATGCACAGAAAGAATGAGAGGCAGGGGGCGGGGGAATAGCCTGATCTTCTGAAATGCATACATAATTCTTTTATAATACTTACAAGTTTTGCAGCAGCCACCGGGCAACAATGTAATAGTACCCTAGAAAATAGTAACAGTGACAGCATTACCAGATTATACATTCATCTAGACCAGCAAAATGGTACCTCAGATTGATGCCTGAATAAAGCATCTAGTTTCATGCTTCAAGAGGAGGTGTGGAGGAGCTTTCTGATTTAAACTTGTATGAGTGTAGAGTAGGATCTTTTGAGTTAGAAATTCCCAAAGAATGTACGCCACTGAGATACAACAAATATTTTAATGTTATTGTGAGCAGATCAGCTTTCAGCTGCAAAAGTCAGCCCCTGTGCCTGGATGATTCCAAAGGTAATTGGTCATGCAGGCATTGTAGCATCTTTTCTGTCTTTCCAGACATCCTTTTTAAATTGCTGACATCCCTGAATGCAACAGAAAATCCAGCTGTATTGTCTTCTACTCACTGTGTGTTTGAATTAAAGAGTTTTCATAAGGCTGAATATGCATATGAAACAGGTACTCACAGGCTGACATTTCTCCTCATTAAATGGTGAGCAGCTTATTGAAGAGGTGGAGGAAATCAGCTGCATGTTGATCCTCTGGCAGCTGTAAATGGTACAGTTGTTCTTTGGATCACTCTGGCGTTCACCAGCCTGGACAAGGTGAGGACAAAAGTTCAGTACTGGCTCAGAGCCTTCCTGTTTCATATTAGTGGCTCTTTGGACCAATAGCGAACTAGTCATTATAGTGAAAGGGCTCTCAAGAAAGGTTAGAAAACTTGGATTTTGTGTTAAGGAAGGTAACGGCAAACCCTAATTTATGATTGGGACCAGTGAGCCACCATTTTCTGGAACTAAAGGACCTGTGGAGAGAATGATTAAGGACAGACCTACAAACAGGCCCTGATTTGGTCACCTGTAAAAAGAAATAATCACAGAAGGTGACCAAACAGGGATGGTTCTTGAAGTGTTTCATGTGTTCCTAAGAGGAATGCTCACCCAAGGAGAAATTACATGCAGAGACTTTGGATTCATGAGAAGGCCAGGGGGATGGGTGGGACTGAATTGTATATACTGATTTAGCACTGTCTAGCTCATCTCCTTCTTCCCAGATTAGTTGCTTTCCCTCCTCTGCAAAATTTGGCAAAAGAATCAATACTAGTTGAGGACTAGTATGAAAAGCAAAACACTTACATTTAAGATGATGAAGTTATTATCGACTGTTTCTATAATGCAGCTTGTTTGAATACATTTCCCACAGCATTCTCCAGGCTGTGGCATAAGAGTGTATCCCTAAAAAAAAAGAGAAATCTAGTCTTGACGTATGAGCGGAAGCAGCCTGCTCCATTCCCTTTCTCCATAGATTTTGCATTCCCCACAACAGTCATTCAGCCTTCTGTGCCTACAAAGCACCTTCCGTCCTGTTCAGCAGCCTCTTTCTGGTTTCTCCCCTAGGGATTGTCCCCTAACGATGTCTTGTATTTGAGCACGGGTTTCTCCAAGCAGGGCCAGCCTCTGACACGCTCCCACCTAGGCAAAGGACGCCACGCCACGCACGGAACCCAGCCAGACTGGCAGCTGAGTCTTCAGCCAGCCAGCACTGGAGAGAGGCGGGGATCCTCCGCTGCACTTGAGGGCAGCAGAGGACTTCCGCAGGTGCAGGCAGGCCATGTGGCACACAAAGCTCTCTCCTCCAACCCCATATCTAGACAGCTAGATAGATAGACATGCACTGCACTACACTGCTTGTTTAAAATTGGTTTAGGAAGGAATTATCCTGCATACTAACCATGTGCTTATTTTCTGAGAGAGGATCCTTTTGCAGCCAAAATAACCCCAACTACACATAAGAGGGAGGTACCAGCAGGCTTGGGGACCAGCTGTCCCTTCCATTAGGCAAAGTAAGGCGGCTGCTTTCAGAGCATGTTCTGACGGAAACACCAGTGACTGCAGTGGGAGGGGAGACCAGCAAAGATCTCCTTCTCCCACTGCTCAGCCTGGAAAAGTTCCACTGGATCAAAAGCCTCACGCTGATGGAAGGAGTTCTCTGTCTACAAGAGGCATTTGCTAGAACCAGGCCCTTTCCTAATGTGCTATTATATAAACATGCTATAGAAAGATGGTAGCTTTGACTGCCGATTGTGGATTTGACTACTAACTTCTGAAGACATGGCAAGGCTGAAGGGTTTAAGAGCACTAACAGTTCACAGGCCAATTCAGAGACTGCTAACTGTGGGGAGATACATGCAGTGACGTGACTGGGTATGGTGGTCGCTGCATTTGTAAATAATGCACAGCACAGGGGAATGCACAGGTGGACGTGTCCTCCTACATCCACATGCCTTTTGTGCCAAGATGACTGCCACAAATGATGCTCAGCCTGTATCTGGCTATTTGTCTGGTCGTGCTGCCATTGTCAAGATTTCAACAGTTGTCTTAGCAGAAACGGTAAAATGCTATCATCATCATCATCATCATCAGAACGATCCCTGGGCCAGGGCTTACAATCGAAGCCATTGTGCAAGCACTGACTAGATAGTGAAAGAGGATTCGTGCAACCAGGAGCGGGAGTGTGTCACTTCGGAACACCACCAGTCCATAAACCTTTCCAGCTCCTGACTTTGCTTCGTTTCCTAATGCTTACTGGGTCACAGTGCACATTGCATGAGACTTGGTCGCAGTGGATGATGTTGAGCTGAGTGCTGCTGTTTTGCTGCTGGGTGCACACGCATTCCTTGCACTTCCCTGCAAAAATCTGCGAGCCAGGCTGGAAGAGAGGAGCAAAGGGTCATCTGTTAGCACAACACGGTGCGTGAAACAGATCCGCATCCATTAGTCCAGCACAAAATTGCTACATAAATGGAGTCGTATGTGAATGGCTGTTAAGGGGCAGCAATTCATTCCCACCTTCTAGATGGAATGAGACTTAAGAACCCATTTCAACTTCAGTTTTTGCTGACTTTTTGTTCCCCAGAATGTCTGCCTTGGTTTCATTTGTGCTTTTGCTTTCTGTTATTGCTTTACAGGACAATCCTGAGCGTACAATCTCAAAAGCAAGCAGCCCCTCAATGGAGTTTGCTTCCTAGCAAATGTATGTAGGATTGCATGTATCGCATAGCACTGGACTTACTGAAGCTATTGCTGAAGAGAGGGGTAGAGGTTTTCACACAGAGTGCAATGCTATGGCCCCCACAGCAGATGCTCGGAAGTCTCCAAACTCAGAGGCTTGCAAAGCATGCGGCAGGGCAACAGCAAGGTCTGCAGCTGCAGTGCCTCACACCCTGCATGTTATCTAGATGACTGTTTTTGGCCCTGCAGATTCAACATGAGAGAGGGTGCAACTCTACAGCCTCTCCTCCCCCACCCCCCAAAGCCCAGTTGCAAACTTTCAGCAGGGCATTGGTGCTGTTCTTTCTGTTTTCAGGTAGAAATGGCTCCAATTTCCTGGGCTGGAAAAGGCTCTGGCCCACTTTTTCATGCCATGAGTCCAAGTTCCCGGCAAGCATGCCAGGAGCATGTGCCAGAAAGTCCCACTGCACAATTCCTCTTCTACATCACACCCAGCAGCCTTTGTGCTGCTGCACAGAAGTGGGTTGCCAGTTACACAACCTTCTACCCCACGAGTGTCCAAGAACTTCCTCTTGGCTCTGTTCATTTTCCAAGACCAGGCCAAGCACAAGTGGAAGTCCATGGATGCTAGAGGGATGGATTCTGCAGAACTTCATTGCCACTCCAGAGCTGGATATCCACTTGGCTCCAAAAATGGACAAATTGACTATTCACTGTGCAAAACTTCTATTAGAAAATGACACTGGGAGCCCAGGGCTCTTCAACCGAATCCAATCCAGTCACCATTAAGAAGGAAGAAGCCTCACCTTGTATTCATTACCATTATGCACACAAACTCCTTTGGGAGCTGCAAAAGAAGGCAGTATATTAAACACTCTGTATTAAGAGGGACAGCTGTACATTTAAATGTCATGAGCGATTATATTGGTTCCTGACATGCTTTGTTCTACAACAAGAGAGGACAACTTTCAAGAGTTGGGTGACCACACTGCACTTCCAGGGTCCAGTGGTGGCTGCAGTCCTGGACCTACTGGTACCACCACTAGCAGGTGGGAAAAGTTCCCTTCTGAAGGAAAGCACTTTGGATCCGCAGTGGTTTTCCACTGAATGTCAGTGTTGTCTGCAGATAAAAGGGGACACTTTGCTTTGAAAGGATCCTACTTTTGCACTGCAAGTGGAAGCAGACATTTCAGTTGCATAAGTTCCCATTAACATGTGAATCCAACAAACTTCTCCCTTGTCTTTCAGGCCAACCCTGGACACAAATGGTTGTGCTTCTCAGTAGCAGGAGAGAATGTAGAGAGACAAACGCCCAGGAATGTCAAACAGGGTAACATCTCTCTTCCAGCAGGATCTGAACCTGAACACAGCTCCGGCAGCATGATTCATGCTGCACATGCCTGCAGGAGCAGGAGTCGTACTTGCAAGGACTGGAGCCTGTGAGAGAATTAGGCTGTGATCCAAGCAACAACCTGTGAGTACATTCCACTAACAGCTGGAGTAAGCATGCTTAAGATGAGCGTGTGACACCAAACCTTCCAAAGCCAAGCCAATCCTGCTCATCCTTCCACAAACTAAGACTTACAGCACTGATAAACAGGACAGCAGCTGCCTGGGAGTGTGTCAGCAACCACTTCAAACCCTGCAGAGCACTTCGGAGGCTGGGTGGTGCAGGCACTGGAGTTACACACTGTGAAGCAGAAAGGAAATCAGGGCATTACAGAGATAAGAGCAGGCCCTTAAACTATTCTCAGCCGAGGCAGCTGCACAGAGAAGCAACTGTACATCCTGCAAGCAATTTAATTAGAAAGGCTTTCCTGTTGTTAAGGAAACTGTTCTTAAAAGTATTTATCTGGGTCTCAATTATCAGGGACACTCTTGCTGGCTATTTTTCTCCATAATGAAAGAGCATAAGGGTGTCATGTAGCTACATGAGACCAAGAATCCATCTGGCCTCGTATTTTGTCTGTCTGCATGAAACCAGAGATGCTAGGAAGAGGAGCTTCAGCCACAGACCTAGAATCTGTTTGCTTTACCACTGCCCCACAGTTGCTCCAGCAGAGACACTTCAAATGCAAAGGGTACACTTACCACAAACAGTGTGAGAACAGCATTTGTCATCAGGATTGACCTGAGTGACTTCGTGGAAGCCTTCTCCTTCACAGGGTGTTTTATCTGGTGCTGCAGGACAGGTATGGGGCTCACAGATGATGCTCCTGCCTCCTTCCAGGCAAATGCAATCCTTGCAGTCAAACTGAAACTTCTCCCCGAACTGGTATAGAGGAAAAAGCAAACATGTCATTGAAGGAAAAGTCAACAGTGAGGAAAAAGTAAATGGTGGAGTATTACACATAATACATTTTGATCCTCTCCATGTGTTTCATTGAATGTCAGCGGTGACTGTTACAAGGATTTCAGGAGAGATGAGAAGTAGGCTTAATTTTTAGCTGCTTTTGGTACATAATGTTAAGGTATATGAAATTTGATCATGGAAGTGGGGATAATTTGGGGTTAGGGGGAGTTGCAGAAAGATTTGAAAGGTTAAGGCCTTTCCATAGGAGTCTTATTAAAATAATGTTAATTACATTTCTATGCTGTCCATAGCTGAAGCTTTCTGGGCAATTCACAACATTAAGTCACCCATCCATATTTCAACCAGGCCTGACCCTGTTTAGCTTCCAAGTTTAGGCAGGATCAGGCACTCCAGGCTACACAGAAGCTGAATTAGATTGTTAGTTTACTTTTGTACTAAAACACAAGTTGGTGACTGTCTCTGCAGGCTTCTCTTTTTTTCTACCCAGAATGCCCAAATATGACAACATGCCAGAATATTCTTGGTAGGCTGCCACCTGATGAAGGGAGTTTCACTGGCACTATAGCCAGCAGGTTAAAATTACATTGGCCTATAGAGAAAAAAGTTAAAAAGATCGCTGCCTTGCTATCACCTCCTGTGGTAGCCTTCCTAACCTGGTGCTTTCCAAATGTGTCAGACTACAACTCCATCATCCCTGTGCTTGACTATGCAGACTGGCAGTTGTAGTGCACCCCCTCTGCAGGCCATGAGTTGGGGAAGGCTGACAAGGGGTGGCCCACACCCTCTGTGGTCACAATGTGAGGATTTCCCTCTTTCTTAAATTCCCCCAGTGCGTTTTAGCAGCTGAGGTTTCTTTAGTCCTGGTGATGCCAACCTTTGAAACCATCCTAGATTCCTTGAGGAACCCTGCTCCAATTAGCTGAAAACAGAATATAAAGTGGTTATGGTTTTCCAAAAGAAAACTGCCCTAGAATGGGAGGCTTAGAATTCACACAGAATAAGCAGAAAAAAAATGAGGTGCATCTTACCTTCCTTGGTATACCATCTGGTCCAACACATCCTGTAAACAGCATAGGAAAGTCTCTGTTACACATGTCCCAGCTCCTGATAACCGTTTTTCTAATAATACAATCCCACATATGCCTCCTCAGATGCAAGTCCCACTGAGTTTATTGGGACTTTCTCCCAGATACCCAAATGTAGCCAAAGTGTGCTTGAGAGAAGAGTCAGAACCAAAACTTACCACAGGTTTCCACACAGACATCCAAACCTGCCTCATAAAGCATTGTCCCCTCAGGGCAGAAGCAGCCTTCTATCTGCTGGGTTTGGTTCAGTCCAATTAAGCTGCAATACATGAGCAGTTCAAGATTTATTCTTATCTTGGATGACAGGGATCTATCTATCTGTCTGTCTGTCTGTCTGTCTGTCTGTCTGTCTGTCTATCTATCTACAGTAGACTCCCAACTATCTGGCCTAATGTGGAGGAAGGGCAGGCCGGATAACAAAAAAGTCGGACAGGCCGGAGTTCTATAAATGCTCACTTCCTACCCCACCCATACCATTAAAAACACCCTTTTTATACCAAAACCTGCTCTTATTCATATTTTCTGACCTCTTAGTACAGGCCAGTACTTTATAAATGTTTGTTATATACTGTACTGTATGTTTTAAAAATTTATTACAGAAAAAGGAAGTCCAAGGATAAAATATTGTACACATTTTAAGATAAATTTTATGTCTAACTTAATTGCAGGAAACATAAAATCATGTACTCTGTACAGTATGAATACATATACTTTTAAAATAAACAAAACATTAATGTAAAACGTAGGCTTAATTCTTATAAAAATTATTTAAACTTATTTTACTGTTCATTGATAGTTATTTTTTAACTAGGCCAGATAGTATGGAGGCCGGATAGTCGCTAGCTGGATAGTCAAGAGTCTACTCTATCTATCTATCTATTGCACACAGAAAGAGGCCCACACACAGAGATCTGGCAATTCAGAAGTAAATGCATCTAGCTATAACGTCCTGAACGACCAGTGGAGAAAGCAATCATTTCAACTTTGGTGATGGCTTTGATGATTGTGCAGTGTTATGCTACCTTCTAGGGGCTATATATTTATTTGTGCTGAGCTCTGGAATCAGCATATGATCAAGAGTGGCTGGTGTGAGGTTTTCAGGAGTGGGTTGGTGGAGAAAGATGGGATTGTATCCAGCAACAGATACTGCTGGCCGAATGGACCCCCCTTTCTGCTACCTGTCCCTCAGGACTCCCTGAAGCCATTTTTGGGTCATCAAAGGGGTGCTTGGGCAAGGAGAAGTCCGTGGCACAAGCCAAAACCCACCCAGAGTTTTTTGGATGTTGCCCAGGAGATTCTATTTTTGGGTATAAGAGACTTTACATTCTGACCAGCAAGACTCCTGGGGTTACCAAAAGGCCCAGAATGACTAAGCTGCCCTTCTTTTGTGACAGGATTCTTGTGTCTATATGAAATAAACTTGACATATTGGCTAGTTAATGGGCATATGAACACAGTATTTTCCAGTGGTGGGCCTTGCCACATCCATCTGAGAGTCAGCAAATGCTGCATGATGATGAATCGGTCACTTCCCCAGTGTGCTGATTCATCCAAGTTGGGATTCTCATGATGGGAAAGTGTGTGTGACTCTCCATGGCACACCCATAATAATGTGTGATGGGTTTCTGCAGGTGCACTGATCTATTCATGTATGCTGGTTTCATGTGATCCTCTCCCCTCAAACATGAGGTGGAATATCATATGATCTGGGCTGATACATTTAGAACTGTATGCATGTAGCATTTGTATCACACACTTGACAGGGTGTGTATGCGCCACCACAAGTACTGGACCCCTACCCAGATGCATGTGTGAACTGTACATGAACTATATATGTACATATCTTATGGAGCTGGAATTTCCTGGCCAGATGTGATTGTTTCAAGATAAATATTGTGCTTTGGACGACCAGTGAAGGGTGGAAACACCACTGTGCTAGATGTAAAATGGGTCATCTCCAATGTTAGCCCTACATAGAGTAAACACACTGAAATGAATGGGATTTAAGTTAGACTAACACTGGGTGCAACTCATTCATTATACTAAACTGCAATCCCAAAGAATTCAGAATATCATTTCACTTAGACAAGTAGTACTAGACTGTAAAAAAAAAAAATCATTACCCTGATTTGCAGGTTTGCTCTTGAGAAGGACCACATGCTTTGTAAACTTTGCCGGCTGCACAGTGGATAGCTAAAATAAAAGCAGAGGTAGAGATAAAGGATACAAAGGGATTAATGCTATTACCCTGAATGTTTTCTCTGAGAAATATTAGCCATACATAACTATTTTAACCCTTGACCATTTTCAGCCAGCACCAAGCACAGGGATCACAATCAAGTCATGACTCCAGGCCGGCTGGGGAAGGATCCAGGCAAAGAGAAAGAAAGCTGGTGAGGGAGCCACAAGGCAGAGGCTCTGAAGGGGAGAGGTGGGAAGGAAGGGATAGCCAGGCTGGCTTCTACCCTCTCATCCTTGCCCCCGTCTTCTCTGGATGGCCAGTGATGGTGCCTTCTTCCTCTGGACACACTGAGTGATCTAATGTTTTCTATGCAGGCTGCCAAATGAGGATGAAGACTGGCTTGGCATCTCTTGAGAAGATGTCCTCACTGTGCAGCAACAGAAAAGTGGGGGACTATTGAGAGCCAGTGTGGTGCAGTGGTCAAAAGCACAGGACTGCAACTCAGGCAGTCGGGGTTCTAGTCCCCGCTCAGCCATGGAGCCAGCTGGGTGACTCTGGGCCAGCCACAGTCTCTTAGCCCAATCTACCTCACAGGGTTGTTGTTGTGAGGATAAGATTGAGAGCAGAGGGAGGAGAATGGTGTGAGCTACCTTGAGTTGCCTGAAAGGAAGAAGGGGCATATGCAAATAAGAAATTATGTAATAGATAAATGATGGTGAGAAGGGGGACTTATGACAGCCAAATCCAGCCAACTTCATCTCTCCCTCTTCCTTCCTTCCAATAATTTACTACTTACTTGTACGTGGTACATTTTCAGATTGATAAAATAAGAGGTGTCTAAGGGACTGAACTTTTTCATTTGTTTGAAAATAATGACAGCTTTTCAAAAGAAAAAAAATAGAATTGCATATACTGATGGGGAATAAAATCACCTTGGAGAGGAGAGTTTGTAAATCTATTTCAGTAAGCTTTTGGAGATGTAATTCTGACACCAGATGATTCAATGACCTAAGTAGCAGACTGAGCATTCAAAGGTGGTTGGTGAGAACCTAACCCCGCAAGCCTATAGGCTATATTTCATCCTTAGATGAATTTTAGAAGTATGAACTTACGACATGCGCCACTGGTAAGACCTCTCCAGTCAATGCATACGCCTTGGTCTGCACAGGTTGCTGCATAGTTCTGAAGACTTGCGCATTCCATGTTCTGGCCAGGCACCATGCAGCTATCAAATGTGCACGCTGCATAGTAGGAGTCAGGAGAAACAGCCTCGTGACACTTCTGGAATGCACTAGATCAGGGGAAAAAGCTAATCAGATGCTGATGGATCCATGCCTATGTCATCAGGGAAATGATTCATTCTCCAAATAGTTATCATTCTAATATATGCAAAAAGGTAGCTTTCCCTAAAGCCACCAGAAAGGATGGCAATTCTCTGCAGATTATGAATAAGGTGAATGCTGAATAAACATTTCTTGTTCTTTCACAAGAATCTACAAAATGAAAGCCCAGAGTCATTCTTTGCCTTGGAGAATGAGAATTTTTGCCCCAGTTCTTTTAAATTTGGCTCAACTATCATCAGTTGGATTATGTTCAGTGTGTATGCAGATTTCCTCTAAATCAAAAAGCCTGAAAATCATTATCACTAGCATCTGTATGTGCTGGCTTGTTTCTTTTTTATAAAAATTTGAGAATGCCTGGTGAGAGTCAGCATTAACCATGGTATGCTGAGACCTTTCATCTGCTTGCTGAATGTGCATTGCTTTGAGGTGATCTAGAATTCAGCCAAGTTCCATGACTTCCTCACTCTTCCCTCCTTGGGAAAATCCACTCTGCCATAAGTCTCCCCATTAAGTGTCCACAGTGAGAAATAGGAGTTTAAAGCAGTCAATGGTGCACTGTTTAAGTGGCCAACTAAGCTTCAAATTCTCGCTTAGGCATAAAGATAAAACCGGCAAAGCACTTTATGCAACAAAAAATTAAAGAAATGTGCCTGAAGTGCTTCTTTGAGACCAAGTGTATCAGTAATGACATGTTGTAAATGTGCTGCTGGATTAAAAAAATAAAAAGGAAGAATAAGAGTTACCTTCATCCCATGCATCTTTGGGGATGGGTCACTTGCCCCAGAATATCACAAGCAAGCACAGGATGAATTTCTAGAGCATATTCACTCAAAAGAACCAGCAGCCTCAGAAATACTAAATTTTAAGAAATGGGGTTCAGCACCCAACTGGACAGATGCAAATTCCAAAAATGAAAATAACCTAGCGCATAGTTACCTTTCCTTAATAAGCTCGCAGAGTGGCGATGGGGTGCAGGGCACTGTGGTTGTTGGTCTCACAACTGGGGGGGCATGAGGGCATGAAGGCTTGTTGGGATCTTGGACAATCCAGTCATCAGCCATTATTTCACAGGTCTCTGCAAGAAGTCCGCTGCGCAACATGCAGTCATCTGCGGTGCTGTTGGTGCATGTACCTAATATTGACAAAAGGCAGATGAGTTCACACATCAGGAGATGTCTTCCGTTACATTACTAGATAATCATGCTGCCTGAGAATGGCCAAATCATCATCATCATCATCATCATCATCATCATCATCATCATCGCAACTATTGTGGTGTGGTGGTTAAAGTGTTGGACTGAGAACCCAGAATAAACTGGATTGTAGTTCCCACTTTGCTATGAAACTGACTTGGTGACTTTGGGCCTGTCACAGACTCTCAGCCCTACCTACCTCACAGGGTTTTTGTTGTGAGGCTAAGATGGAGCTATATCAGCTGCCTCTTTTTCCTCACATGAGGAAAAAAGGCGGAATAGAATTGCAATGTGGTGGTGATGGTGATGGATACATCTGACAACAGAGTCACACCATTTGTATTACAGGCCTTTGTATTCTACTATGTTTTTGTTCATATGCCAAGAATCTCCATTAATGGAAAAATAATAACTTGCACATGGTATCATGGAAGTACTTAAAAGAGAAGAGCAGGACTGCCAAGAACAGGACATTTTGGTGGGCATTCATTCATAGGGTTGTCGTAAGCCAGGGACAAGCTGACAGCATGTAAGGGCAACAATAATCATCGAATGATCACTGTGTAAATAGTCTGATTGTCACCTCCAAATGCCCATCCCCAAATATGGCAGATATTTTTATTCTGGTTTTAGAAGCACAAATGAAAGGAATTCTTACCACATTGTCCCTGGGTGTTGTTGCTAAATATGTGATAGGGCATTTTAATTGTGAATGCCATGCCATTGTAGGTCACATTTGTCCTCAGGAACGGAATTTCTACCACATGGTTTAATCCTGACACGTAAATGTTCATGCCATGTTTATTGAAAGGTAGAGCCACTAGCACCCCATTCACAAGCACCTATTGTCCACAGGTTAGAATAAAATAAAAAATGAATATGTAAGTTTTGTCCATGTTAATGAGCACATGAAAAGATTTATTTTAAATGCAAAATGGTAGCATGGAAAGAAAAAGAGAAATGAGCAGTTGCTGTCTGTTGTTTTGCTTTTATAGGCCAAATGAATCTATTTTCAGAGCAATTGTATGACTGCTAGATGGTGTCTAGATGGCCACAGGGGTATTTGGAATCCTGCTGCAAAATCCAAAATGTTGGATTGGGTCACTGAGCTCAGAGTTATCCCTCTGTAAGCACCTCAAAGGCTGTCACAAAGAGAAAGGTCAAGATCTCTTCTCATTGATACCAGAGTGTAAGACATGGAATAATCAGTTCAAGTTGCAACAACCCTGATTCAGGCTAGATATCAGGAAAAAATTCCTCACTGTCAGAGCAATACAACAGTGAAACCAGCTGCCTGGAGAGGTGGTGTTGGGCTTTCCCACACTAGAGACATTCAATAAAAAACTGGACAGCCATCTAGATGAGTGGAGTGGTGTAATGGTGTTCTGCAACAGCAGGGGGTTGGACCCGATGGCCTTCATGGCTCCTTCCAACTTCAGTATTCTATGATTCTTTTGAGCTGGAGCTAGGCCTACCCTCTTGCAGCCAGGACAGAGCTCGGTGGTTCTGGGGCAGAAGAAGGAATTGCACGGGAATTCGAGAAAATGGAGCGGGGAGACTGGTGCTGTCACAGAACTTGGCAATCTGGTTGTCCTTTGCTCCTGCTCTGAGGCATGACCAGCACTGTGAAACTGACCATCCAAGTGTTTTGCACAGCAGGAGAGCACGCAGGCAGCCTTCCTCTTCACAGTCCTTGTATCCTTCATAGGAGGCTGGCCATTCTCTAAGTTTGGGGGGATGTGGAGGGAGTGGGCCAGTGTCTCACACGTGGCAGACTGTGCAATGGGAGTCATTGGAGGATTCTGAAGAGGTGGAGGCACTAGGAAAGGCAAAGGCTTTGAAGCTCCTCTGAGGTAGCCCAGTGAAGTTTCTTGGACTAAGCATAAGAATCAGCCTGTTTTGGAAGCGGAAGGAGGGTTTTCAGGAGGAGACAGGGGGCAAGTGTGAAATTCATCCCTCAAGCCAGTGGGGAGCTGTTGGGAGAAGGGGGCTGCTCAGTCAGAGTGGCTTGCCATTCACACCATCTGGCCCTCAAGCAGCAAGTGTCACCCTGAGGGTGGAGCAAGAAATTTTACTGGAAAGGGAGGCACCTTTCCAGTCAAATTTCCAGGTAAGATTCAGCTCTTTGCATGAGTAGAGGCTTCTCTTTTCAGCTTTGGTAGAAAGCCACTTGGTGTTCAAATTGTTCCATTATGTGCTGAGTCTAAACAAAAGAACTGCATTTTGAAAGAATTGTCAGGTCTTTTGGAACCTGGGGAAGGAAGGAGGGGACCAGCTCACGACAGGACACAGGCATCCAGGCAGGACTGCACCCTCACTCAACTAAAGCAAGTATTAAACTATCCTGATGTTTGGAAGATACTCAGTGAAGCAATATCTTCGGATTATCCTGACCTTAAGCAAAAATGCCTTTTAAAACCTGACAATGAATTAATGAGCAAAGTGCACATATTAGTAAAAATTATTTCTGGACTGAAATGATGCTTATGCTACAATGACCACATTTTGCTTTCATTTACATTTAGATGGGATGCGAATCTATATGAAGCATGTGGAATACATTTTAACATTAGCTTTCTAAAGTCACTTTTCCATCCTTGTCTGGATCTTACTTCATGTACTGGGAAATCAGATTTGCTATTATAAGTGCTGCCATATATATGCCACAGCCTTACAAAAATGAGGCATGCAGTCTTGGGAGCCAGCCAGACTTGGCAAAGCAGCCTACAGTGACAGGGCCATGCTTAGGAAAGACATGAAGGACGGAGCATTGGCTCCAAGGAACTGTGGAAAAAATGCACAAATGAGCCATAGTAGTGCTGTGCAGCGTAGCTAGAGATATCGAGGGATCCGGTAATGGAGTGAAAATCCTATGGATTTTTTTACCTCAGCCCCATAGAATCTGATTCTGCACAGGCAGCAGCAAAATCTGGCACAAGCTGAGTCAGCACACAGACTTCCATGTTTAACATGAATGGAGATTTGTACAATGTGCAGAGTCATCAAGGGTATTGGGTGCAAAAATCAAATGGGCAAAAATCAGTCTTCTATTCCACAAATGTGTTTAAATTGGGGGAGCCTGAATTTTGCATAAATCTGAAATTAACTGTCAGAAAATTCAAGGTGGATGAGGTGGAGTTTATACATATACAGTGAGATGACTCTGCTGAGTCGTACCTGATTTGCAGTCCTCAGCATTAAAGTTGTGCAAATATTTTAAGCGATGTCATGGAAGCTGAAGCTGAACCCCAGCTCAGCTTGCTTTTGGCCATCAGACTGGAAATGCGTCAAAAACCCACTGAGCTCATGCAGAATGTTTTCCAGTGTCACACACTCCTTGCTGTATCTTTCCTGAAGTTGATCCAAGAAGAGTGCAGTGTGTAATCACCAGAATGGAAGCTAGAGAACTCCCTTGATCAGAAACAGCTGGTGTAACTTGCTTGGAGAAAAGGCTTACACTTATATGTGAGGTTGCCCTCCCAGCTAGAAAGCTGGGGAAGGGGGTTCAGCATGGAGACCTACTTAAATGTGTGCAAGGCACATATGGTACAAAAAGCTATTGTTAACAACTGTTGGCCATCCTCAGTTGTCATTTAGCAAATCTTGAGCTACTTCTGGACAAGTGCAGAATTGTTACAACAGCCAGTACCATTTGACAAATTGTTACTCACCTGAACTGTCATTGGGATCTGTCGCACTGTTCTAATGTGCACTTCATGGGTTTCATACTTAATAATGAGTGTACGTGGGCAAGAGACAGTTTCATGTGGGCTACAGTAGTAGTTATCAATATATATTCCAAAGTTTCCGTGTTTTTTTATAATCTCCTCCACAAGGACATACGTACAATTCCCTTGGAAGCTATAGTAGAAGCCATCAAATGTCATGTAATGTGGGTCTCCCCAGCCAGTGCAATAACCTTTGGAAAGACAATAGAATTATAGAATTAATTGAGATTTTTCTTTGGTAGCACATAGAAGAATATGAATAAAGCCATTTTAACAGGGAAGGCAAGAGATCCTGATGTCTCATGCATTAGAAATTAAATCATTGAGAAAATCTGGAAGGACTTCATCTTGGAAACTGTGATGTAGTGTCAAATATCGCCAGCCACAATAGCAGCAATAACAGCTCAAGAACCGGAGCCATCCTCTCTATTGTATACCAGGTACGGTCACAAGATGTATCTCCAGATGCTTTGGATTTCAACTCTCAGAAGACCATGCTGGTGTGGCCAATGTTGAGGAATCCTGGGAGTGGAAGTCCTAATATTTGTTGGTCTACTTCCTCCTACTCAAGTCAATTTTTTAAAAAGGCAAAGACAAAAGCAGACTGTAATAACAACCCATTTGTTCCAGTTCTCCACCTGCATTGTATTGTATTATAAGAACTTTCTAAATGTTCTGCTAAAATAAGCAGCTCTGCATGTATTTAAGGTCTTTCTATTTCTATGTGTGGATTTTTAACATGCTGTAATTTGTTTCAAAATTTGAGAAATGCAAGTTTGGTTACACACAAATAAAATGAAGACCCTGACATGTGTCAGACATACTAAGAATGTAAGAAGAACAGAAGAAGAGCCCTGCTTGGTCTGGCCAAGTGTCTCTCTAGTCCAGCAACCTGTTCACAGGATGGTCAACCAGCTGCCCCCAGGATCCTTCAAGCAGCGCATGAGCGCAAGCATTCCCCAGCAACTTGTGCTCATGGCAATACTAGTAGCCAAAGAGTAGCCAAAGAGAGCCTCCTCCTCCATATCTGGCCAGGGCGGCTTATTTTATATTGTATTTTTGTATTTTGTATTTTTAATTTAATGTTTATATTTATTGTAATTTATATTATAATTACTTTTAATTTATTGTTGTAAGCCGCCCCGAGGCTTCGGCGAATGGGGCGGCATAAAAATGTTTTAATAAATAAATAAATAAATAAATATGTCCACTCCACTTTTAACGCCATAAAAATTGGTAGCCACCACGACCTCTTGTGGAAGTGGATTCCATCATTTATACACTGTGTGAAAAAGTATTTTTATCTGTCCTGAATATCTCACCAGCCAGTTTTATGGGATGATCCCAAGTTCTAGTATTAAGAGAGAAAGAAAAATGTCTTCCACTTTCCCCACACCGTACACAATTTTATATGCCTCTGTCATGTCTCCACTTACCCTTTTTCTAAGCTAAACAATCTCAGCTGTAGTGACCTTTCCCCATAGGAAAGTGGCTTCTACTCTTCAGAATTTTAGTTGCCCTTCTCTATACTTTTTCAGACTCTACAATGTTGTTTTTCAGATGTGGTGACCAAAACTGCACAAGAGTTTCTAAGAGCAGTCTTAGTATAGATCTGTACAAAAGGAATATGATCTTAATCCTTTTATTTTCAATTCCTTTCCAACTTATGCCCAAGATGGAGTTTGCCTTTTTCACAGCAGCCATGCACTGGGTTGAATAGAACTATCCCGGAAAACCCCAAGATTCCTTTCTTGGTCAGTTACCACTAGCTCAGATCCCATCCATCTATACCTGAAATTGGGATTTCCCCCCATCATCCATTACTTTACCTTTGTTTACACTGGATGGCATTATCCATTTTGATGCCCTTTCTCATCACTTGGAGAGATCCCTTTGGAGCTCCTCACAATCCCTTTTAATTTTAACCACCCTAAATAGGTTGGTGCCACCTGCAAATTTGGATCCTTCACTGCTCATGGCTAATTCCAGAACATTTATGATTAAGTTGAAAAGCACTGGTCCTAATACAGAACCCTGTGGAACCCCACTTTATACATCCCTTCAGTGGGAGAAATTACTGTATTTTTCCATGTATAAGATGATACTTTTTCTTTAAAATATTTACCTAAAAGTGGAGGGGTGTCTTATACACGGGGGGGGGGGGGCGAGAGGAGAACCGTTGTTGCGAAACTGCCGATAACTTACCTCTGCAAACTAGTCTCACGAGCAAAACTTCTGATTGCAGAGACAAGCTAACAGGTTTCCTCCAATCATGAGTCTTATGTAACTGACGTCAGCTGATGCTGCGGAGAACATGTAGCCCAGGAGTCCTCAAGCTTTTTCAACAGGGGGCCAGTTGAAAGGTGGCAGCAGCGGGCATGCTTGGTAGGGGGGAGAGATGGGCGCGATCGCAGGCACGCTGGGGGGGGGGAGACTGGCGCAATTGCAGGTGCGCTGGGGAAAGACTGGTGTAAACGCAGGTGCATGTGCAGGGAGACGGCGAAGCAGCAGTTTGCTCACTCAGAGATCAGTAAGAAAAGTGGGAGGCGTCCTATACATGGGGGCGTCTTATAGACGGAAAAATACGGTATAGATATTCCTGCACTCTGCTCTCTATTCTTTAACTTGTTACTAAACTACAAGAGGAGCACCTTTTATTAAACTCCACGACTTCTAAGTCTGCTCAAGGTCCATGTAAACCACGTCTACCACGTTGGCCCTGACATTGTCTTCCACACACCAAATCAGACCAATTTCATTGGCTCCATACACAGAAGCCAATGCAGGCAGTTCCTAAATCAGCACAATGTGTCTCCCTCTCTTTGGAACTGTACTGTAAAGGACCAATGCATCTGCGTCTCTGAGTACTTTGCCCACTTCGTAAGTCATTTTGCATATTAAGTGGCCGGGGGCAGAGGAGGAGTGCATATCCAATCCTCCATCACATGAGAAAGAGCAGTGCCACTGCTAATGTTTGAACTGGGACAAGAGAACAGCACTGGGAAAAGATCTACCTGCTACAGCTCTGAGAAAGGAGACCCTAATCCCAGCATATGTACAGTACAACACAGAGGAAGATGATGGCTCCTATGTCAGGTTGGAGTCTGAACTTTTAGTCCTTCAGGGGCTGGGATTCCACACCATGGATCACTCATGTGAACGTTAGACTCAAGTTCAGAGTGAACACCCTGCCCATCCGATGCTAGAGCCAGCAGGCTCCACTGCTGCAAGAACTTTCCCCTATCAAGACAGATCCATCAGGAGAACATCAGATGGATTTTGGTGCATACTCACAGTCACATTCCCAGTGCCAGCAGCATCCATCCGCATCCTGCACAGGCACAGGGGCAAGCCCATTGGAACACTTGGGCTTTTCAGGTGGAATGCATTCTTTTTTCTTCAGCTGCCAGGTGTCATTAGAAATGCATATGGCTTCCACACATTCACATATCCACTCTGAGCCTCCTGGCTGTAATGTGAGAGGCAGAAAGAAAACAACATTCATGTCTAAACACATGTTAACAGCTAGGAAGACTAACCAGAAGATTCCTCATCCAACCCATGTCCTTGCAATGTACTAGATTTTTCTTGATTGAAGTAATGTAGTTGATGAATTGAGGTCTATATCCAGAGATATTGTTTATTGCTCTATTTAGTTCTTTAATGTACAGTAGTTCTGAATCACTTCCAGATTCCAGAGCAGTGAACAGTATAATGTTAAAACAAAAGAATAAAAGCAATGCATCAAAACATGTAAAACCAAAATTGTGTTAAGATCATGACTGTTCAGCAAGACACACCTTCTCAGAATAAATCTGCCTGACCTGCTGATGCAGGGAATTCCATAGTAATGGGCCCACCACACGGAAGGCTCTTCTCCTGGTGGATTCCAGTTGGGATCTGCGTGGAATCACCAGGAGGATGCCCTCCAATGACCTCAGTGGCCAGGCATATTGATAAGGAAGAAGGGGCTCTCTCAAGTATGCTGGCCTCAAGTCCAAGTTGTTCAGGACTTTGTACACCAATACTAAACACATAAATGGCACTAGGTAGCAAATCAGCATCTAGTGTGGTTGCTTCAACAAAGGAAGTCCACTCTGAAAAGCAGCAGCTCCTAAAAACAGCCAAGCCCCTGCATTCTGCACTAATTCCAACTTCTGAACTTAAAGGCAGCTGCACATGCACTGCATTGAACTTATCCACTCTTGAGATTACCAGTGTCTGTACCATTTGTATTTAAACTTGCAGTTTAAATAAGAGCCAATACAAATGGGAAGTCACCTCTTTTAAGCTGAAGAAAAAGGATAGCATTAATTCTGATGGTAGATTGGGGGCTTGCCACCAGAATATCTTAATCAGAAATACACTAAGTAAATAATGTGAACATAATGGAGGGAATTTTCCATTTTTTCTTCTTCTTCAGGGTTCCACTTAAACCTTGATTTTAAAAAAAGCTAGAAGGTATTTAAAAAGCAGTTTAAGAGACAAAACAATCCAAAGAACATTCCAACTGAATATCATTGTTACAAAGGGAAAAAATGTTACTGACCGGAATATCCCCACATGATGGCTCTTTTATAGGTTGAGTAGGAGGAGATGAATGTATAGGATGTTGTGTATATATAGTCTGAGTACCATTGCTAGTTGTAGTTGGCATGGTTGTTGTTGGCCCTGATGAGGTTGTTGTTGGCCCTGATGAGGTTGTGGTTGGCCCTGATGAGGTTGTTGTTGGCCCTGATGAGGGTGTGGTTGGCCCTGATGCAGGTGTGGTTGGTGCTGATGAGGGTGTGGTTGAACAATCCCAATAGTGATATTCTATTTCACACCACCATGAACAATTGACAAGAAAACACACTCCTCTGTGAATGCCCTCCTCTATAATTGCACCTGAAAGACAGGCATAAATACAAGTTGTAATGACAGGAAGCATGGATTAATCCTACTTATACAAATATACACAGCCAAGGAAACCATGAACTACTTTCTGTTGAGTTACACCTTTCCAGGTGTCTTTAGACAAGGAATGGATAAAACCATCTGTCACGTTTTGCTGCTTGATCTGCTCCCTGAAATTCCAGGGCTAGATTGCTGTAGAAATCCTGGTTAGCAGATTCCATTATGTATTTGTGCTATTTACAATAAAATATGAAGCTGCATTTTCCTCTCACAGTGATTAACAGTGGAAGCATTCATAGTGATTAACAAAACCATAAAGAAATAAAATGACCAATTAAAATAGAACAAATGCAACAGACACCAAAGCTAAAACTGCCATTTTGCAGAACTCAGGAGGAAGAGTAGAAATACCGGAGAGACCAGTGTATTTCTGGTTTGTGTCAGTTTTTCATGTTTTTATTTGCATGTGCATTCTCTGCTGTTTCTGCATCAATGTCTCTGTGCATGGGATGTGGGTGTTCAAAAAAACCATACAGTATTGTATTTTCATATGTGTTTTAATGGCTTTGTCACAAAATACTTATTTCTAAACACATTTTCTCTTGAATGATGGGTATTGTACCCTTAAAATATAGGGTTTTGATATCTTATTTGATCCAAGAACTGCATCACCACAGTTCCAGTGAATCTGGAAAAAGAAGCTATGCAGTAGTCTTTAGAGAGGGTGCTAGATAAGGATGCTTAAAGAATTCACTCTTCTTTGAGCCAAGAGCTACATCACAATATTTGGAAAAACACAGAATCCAAAAGTTATCTGTGTTCCATTCAGCATATTGGTCTAGGACCTCCAAATCAGATCTGTTTATATCAGCATTCACAAGAATTAGTTCCTCAAGAAGTCTTAACTAGCAGTTTCCCAAAAGATGACTGCATAGTTGCTTTTGCCCAATTTCTCAAGAACTATGGTGAATTTTAGTGTCTAAATTCATAATGCCACCTCGGTGTCTGTACAATTATTTTCCAGCAGCATTGAAGCTGGAATCGATTACTATAAATTACCTGTGCTTAATTTCTGTAGCCCTTTTTCAGATGGCGACTGACACAGAATGGGTGTGTATGGGATGGAGAGGTGAGCACAGAAATATATCCCTTCCTCATGCTGTTGAGAACCGGGCCTCAAGGGGTTCCTGTTGACGTCCTGAGGCTCCCTGACAAGTTCCCCTGGAATTGCTCTTCCTGTTCACCATGGCAACCTGTTTGCTCATCTGCTTCTCACTCTAGACACAGCAGGAGATGCCAGGGCCTATTTGCTCATTGGCTCTCTGCCTGTCAAGCAGGCAGGGGTCATAGTGCTGAGAAAAACCACAGCTAGTGACAGCAGCTAGTCATAATGGTGGTACAAAGGAAAGCTGCTGAGGGATGGGGCTTACTGAGAGTGACTTGCCAAGAGTCCTCAAGAACCAGGACCTGGACCTGGAGAGAGGCATCTGATGCATGTACAAACTGAACACACAAGGGTACTATATATGCCCTCAGAAACTGTACAGAAAGAAGAGGAGGAGGAACGCTGACACCTAATTTTGCAGGCAAGTCTGAATCCTCTAGGATCTGTTCTGATTCTCTGCTGAATGCACACAAGGAGCCTAACAACACTGCCTTGTTCCCTGCGTGTGCACTCCAATTTGTCATTTGAAAAGAAATCACAACAAGCTAATACCTGTTTCTGCACTCTGTTTCCGTAACTATTTCTGCACTCGCCCTCTCTACCCCACAAGCACCTATTCTGATGACAAATGAGGGTGAGGATTGTAGGTACAAGAACAGGGGAGACCCCTTTTTCTCATTAGTTCTTCATTCAAAAAGTTAAAATTTTGGGAGATGCTTATGACACATTTAGTCTGTGCTATCATTTGCCATTTGTAAAGGGACACTGTAAAATGCAACTCTTAAATACAGATTCTGTAGTGCAAGCTTCACGGGTGCTTTTCTCACAAATACAGTGAGAACTGTGAACTTGCATCAACAGGAAAAAGATTCGGGTTTACCTATCTTGAGATTAATTGTAGGTAGCCCTAGGCAAGTTAATGCAGATGTAAGACCTGCTCAGGCTTCTGGGATGATTTCCAATTAATTTGTTAAGGACTACAAATGGAATATGCTAAATTCGTCAACATATGCAGATTGTAATATTAAATTAAAGACTTAGCTAGAACTGAACTTGTTTGCATGATTTTAACATATGCACACACACACACACACACACACATCTTCACAGGCAAATTGCAAAATCCTTGTATTATATAGAATACCTGGAAAGACTGTCCATTAAAAAAATGTATTAAGCCAAATTTCAAATGAGACCAAATAAAAATTCTATTTCACATGATCTTTTATGTGCATGTGCTGGGAATTTTATAGAGTTCCAAGTCAGGTTTGAGAAATGGGAGAACTCGTCCCAAAGAAATATGTGGAATTGCTCAGCATTGATATGTTATTCCTACAAATTCTACAAATAGGCACTATTTACTAAAAATAAAATCAGAATTCTACATTATGTGTAATTTCTGATGGTTTTTTTTGCACAAAGCATTATTGACTTCAGCCCTGGTTTGTGCAATAGCATTTCTTGAATCTTTGCTGTTCTTATTTATATAATTGCAAGGTTTATTATTTTAAATTTTAGTACACCTCCAACTTCTTTTTATTAGATAAGGCAGTACGTAGATTTCAAGAATAAAAAATACATACATACATTGCCTACTTCCGGTGGATGTTCTTATACATCAGATCACAATAGCTACACTTGACCTTTGGGATGTTCTCTAAATTTACAAGACTTTACTTGTGCTTAGAAAATGGCAAGCTTCACAATAGTTGTTTAGGGAACCATTTTACATTCCATTTCAAAAACAGCTGCCACTTGTCACTTCCATGATGCTGCTGATTCGTTGTAAGTTTCGCTTGGCAACTCACAGTAATGGGGTTCAGACAACACAATAAACCACATTCAAAGGCTAGGTGTGGGTGAACTGTGGGTTGTTGCTATGCTATCATGTTGTCTAAAAAACAAACCAGGCAAAAAGCCATGGTGAACAACCCACACTATACCATCCAACAACACACCAAGGGTGCTTATCATGGGTTGATCATGAGTAATTCATGGTTCAACAGTAGCCCATACTCAACCCACATTCAACTCTTCAGTGTGGATTGTCATGTTCTCTAAACCCAAGCAATGTCAGGGCCTGGCACTATGATGACAGAACCTCTTTCAGTGGCCAGTGGGTTTACATCAAGCCTATTCATGTTGATATTTGCACTTTGCCTCTAGGATAGCTTGCTCCACATGCTGCAGACTGGATGCCATGTCTCCTAAGCCTAAGAAATGTCAGGAAGAATAGATTTTTAATACTTTTCATGGTGTACACAGTACTTCTTAGGCATGCTTTAGATTATGTGAATTGAAAAATTGCCTGTAAGATATGTAGATTTCCTATTGTGTAAAATTTTTGAAAGGACATTACCTAGCAAGATGTAACAAGAAACAAATACCAGTGAAGAAAAATAATACATTAAAATAACAATTCAAAAGGAGATTTGTATGTTGCCATGCATCTGGTGCAATCTCAGGTAGATCAAAACTGTGTTATTTACCTGGTGGAAATGTTTTACCATCCTTCTCACAGCAACCTGTTGTTGATAATGTAGGAATTGAAGTTATTGTTGTACTTGGCCACTTGGTTGAACTTGATGTAATTAATGTTGTGCTCAATGTTGTCAATGTTGTGGGATGGAGTGTGGTTATTGTGGATTCATTTGTGGTTGAAACCCCAGTGCTGGTTGCTGTAGGTGTAGCTGTTCGAGTGAATGTTGAGCTTGTTGTAGTCTCTGCTAAAGCAGGAATGAAAAACAATGATTGAATGGCAGTTGAAACGCAGCTCTTGAAAAAATTCAGTGAAGCAACATATCTGATCAAAACATATTCATTTGAGAGCCTAAGAAGTCTGCCTGCACCTTTTAAAAATGGGTTTTGAAATGATGACATGCATCTTCTCAAACCACACTATACAGATTCAATGTTCAATGGGGCTCACTGCCAGGTAGGCATGTACCCTTTTTCAGCATAAATCTTCTATATTCTGTGAACTAACACTCAAAGCCCATCCATTCTTATCTATTGCTGAAAAATCAATTGCATTACAAAAGAAAAATTTGAAGTCATGCCTCTGTTAATGTCATTGGCTCCTATATTCCACAGTGAATGGAAAACATATTTAACACCATATGTTAACTTATGGAGAAAAACCCTTTAAGATCATTACACAAAGCAGACTTCACCCTTACTGCATCAGGGTAAAATGACATGCATCATAGGATGAAGATGGAGGAAATACAGGCATTGCTGGGTCGGTGCAAAAGCAAACCATTGTATAGTGTTAGCAATGGTGAACAGGTAATCAAGTAGAGGCGCCTTGCAGTGGTGCACGCTATATCATTCAATGCATTGGTGTCATTCAATTCATGAGAAAACCTCTTTATACTTACTAGAAATATCATTTTATGGCAGCCATGTTAAAAAGGTAGGTAGGTGGGATAGCACACAGTTCCTTTAAGGCTGTATTGAATTTAGTAACCCATCCAGTTCACCTCTCCTTGGTGTTGACCTTGTTTAGGCATAAACCGTTGGGCGAGGTGACCCCTCTCACGGACTGCTGTCTGTCTGTCTGTCTGTCTGTCTGTCTGTCTGTCTGTCTGTCTGATGCAACCGAGCATTTGCAGCAACTGGCAGCCATGAGTGGTGATGTGCACCCCGATCCCCAACAAGAGCACCCCCATTTTCAGCCGCTGCAGATAGAGTGGTGCCTGTGGCAGTGTCCTTGTAGCAGCAGCACACGAGGCAGGGATAGAGGGCGGCCGCAGGGGCTGTCCGCCCTGGCACCAGGGATTGCCCAGAGGAGATGAGGGCGAACGGCTGCCTTTCCCCGAGACGCACTCAAGAGGAAAACTGCAAATCGCCTGGCATGGCCATGGAGCACCTCAGCCCTTTGCAGAGCAGCACGAACCAGTTCGTGAAATTAGTACAGCAACTGCAGAGGTCTCCGCAGTGAAGCCCACATTAGCCTTGTTTTCATAACGAGAGGTGGGAGGAGGGCTGAAATGATCCTCAGTGTAAAACCATCCAAGGCCAACAGGCTATTGTGACAGTGCACAAAAGGGTAAAATGAAATGAAATGAAATAAAATAAATTTTAAATAAAGGATTAAAAATAAGAAGATGGGACTGCTGAAATCATGAAACAGCTGGAGATGTGTACTCCTGGATAGTTTCATGACTGCAGTAGTAACCGTATTACTGCCTGTGACCGAGGCACTTCTCTACCGACCTGGAGTACTGCTGGAATATGGTTCTGGTTCTTCTGTGGTGCACGGTTCTGTTGTCTCTGTTGTCCCTGGGGTCGTCGACGTTGTGCTTCCAGGTGGGACTCGTGTCATGGAGCTCTCGGTTGTCCCGGTTGTCCCATTTGTCCCCGTTGTCCCAGTTGTCGTGGTGATGCAGGGGTCACAGCAGTAAAAGCTAATTTCGTAGTCCAGGCACATCGGCGCCACTCCCCCGGGGGTCTGGTCCTTGTTTAGACAGAGGAGTCCAGAGGACACGTCGCAGGTCAGGGTTTGCCCCAGTTCCTTGAGGGAGGTGTTGGGGAAGTCTTTGGCTCTGCATGAGATGTTGGACGGCTGCCCACAAACGTGGATGCCCTTTTCTCTGATATTGGCGTAAGTTTCGTTGTCTCCGCCATCCTTGTCGTTGTAATTTGGTTTACTCACACTGACCCACGGGGACCAGTAGCACACGATGCAGCCAGCTGTGAGATCAAAGGAGAGCCGATTTCAGGAAAACTACGGAGGCATCAGTGGTGGAGCACTGGGGTGAGGAATGACAGCCAAGGGCTTCCCCATATTTCCACGCCTGCGGCTTCTATTGCTGGTTACTAAGGATGCTGCCCTGTGCATGTTTAGAAGAAAAATGCCCTGCAGCTGCCAGCAATTCCCCAGCATGCAGCACATCTGCATCCTCCAAGGGGGAGCCAGCATGGAATCAATGGCTTAGGCTGATGTGGGCTCTTCCACCCTGGAGGCGTTCCAGATGCAACTGGACAGCTTTCCGTTAAGAAAGCTTTATCCTGCAGTCCTGCACTGAGCAGAGCGTTCAAGCCGCATTGGTCACATTCTTGTATAGTGTTTAGAAAGCTAAATCAGCTCTTACACCATGTTATGAAACGTTAGCATTCAATATTTTTCTGACTTTCTGAGTGAACTAAAAGTGTGTTCACTCAGAGCGAAAAGAGTGTTCGGCTCTGGGGAGTATAAGCATTCAGGAAGGAAGGAAGGAAGGAAGGAAGGAAGGAAGGAAGGAAGGAAGGAAGGAGGGAAGGAAGGAAGGAGCAAAGAACGGAACAAATAAAGGAAGGCGAGGGCATGAGATTATGCATTAAAACACAGGCACACATTTCATGCTTCTTCATTACCTGTCGTAATTTCTGTAATAGTACTGGTCATATAGGCCAAAAAGTTGGAGTGGTGAAATATGCTGTGGAAGTAGTAACATTAGTCATACCAGGCATAGAAGGAAAAATGGGAGGAGCAGAAGGTGCAGAAGTAGTAACAGGAGTGGTACTACATGTGGGACTATGAACAAGAATACTTGATGGTATGGAAGTAGTAACAGAAGTAGTGGGGAAGTAGTACCAGTAGCAGAACTGGTAACAGGAATGGTGGATGCTGCTCAAGTAGTACCAGGAGTGCTAGATGGTATGGAAGTAGTAATGGCAGTGGCACTATACTACATGTGGACATAGTAACAGGAGTGGTGGGTGGTGCAGCAGCAGTAATGGGAGGGGTAGGTGCTGTGGAAGTCATAGCAGGAGAGGTACTTGATGTCTAAATAGCCATTGGAGTGGTGGATGATGTGACTCGGTACCGGATGAGGACACCACTCACACTGAAGATTTTCCGTACATGCCAAGAGTTATATAGATTATGATTTGTAAATTCCCCTGGGTCTCCCAGCAAACCCTTTATCACCAGCATGTTAATATTTTCTTATCTTCCTCTTTATACCTCCCCCCACACCCCCACACACAGGAAAGATAGTTAGAAAGCAAGACTGAGAGAAAGGAAGCTTTCATAATAACCCATGTTTTGTTGTAGGACTTACTTGTGGTGATTGCTGTCATCAGTGGTGAGATATTTTCAAGGGTGGAGGTGGAAGAAAAGAAAGAAAAGCGTCAGTGTAATTATTTCCCAAACTCTCAGTTTAAACGCATCTTGCAGACTGGATGTCCACATGTGGTTCTCTGTCCATTTACCCTGTAATTGTCCTCAGAGTCCCAAACTTACACCCCAGCAATAGGAAGCTTGACTCTGAGGTTGTTTGAACTGTCTGGCCCCTAATCTAGCCAAGTCATGATTTCATTTCAGTTACTCCAAATAAGCATGGAGGCCCAGTTTAGCTGCCAGAGTATCGATACATACTCCTGTTGAAAGAGAACAATGCCTGCATATCATTTTACCGTATTGTAAGCAGAAGTAACAGTATGAATGTTGCTTTTGAAATGTTAGCATTCAATATTTTACTGACAGTTATGAATGTGAGCCAACCAAACAGATTTGGCTTGTGGAGATTATAAACCTGTAATAGGAAAGAAATAAAAAGGGAAGGGCAGGGGAAGGGAAGGGAGGGGAGGGGGGAAGGAGCGGCATGATGTCATACGTTAAAACACATGCGCAAATTTGATACTTTTTCATTACCTGTCGTGCTTTCTGTCGTAGTAGTAGTTGTACTTGGAGAAATGGTTGTTGGTGTAGAGGATGCTGTGGGTGGTGTGGAAGCCGTACCAGGAGTGGTGGATGGTGTAGAAGGAGAGCTGGGGGTGGTGGACAATGTGGGAGTGGGAGTGGGGGTGGTGGGGGAAGGACTCCTGGAAGAGGTGGATGTCGTGGGAGCGGTGTTGGTTGGCGTGGATCCGCATCTGCAGCAGTAAACCTTGATCTCGTAGTCCAGGCACACTGGGGCAGGCATGACAGGCCCGGGAACCTGGTCTTTGTTTTTGCAAATAAGCCCGGTCGACACGTTACATGTCACATTTTGTCCTAGGGCTTCGATGGGGTATTGCGGAAACTTCCTTGCCCTGCAGGAGATGTTGTCCGGCTTGTGGCAGATGATTATGCCGTGCGCTCTGATGTTGTCGTAGGTTTCATAGTCACCATTTAGTGGCCCAGGGGTTGGCTCGCTCACATTGATCCAGTCCGACCACTCGCATATTTCAGTGTCAGGACAAGCAGCTGCAAGAGAGGGGTAGAAAAAGGGGAACAGTGACGTCGCTGGTTCTGGAGGCAATGCATCCCGCAAGCCCTACTCCGGCTGTGCTACTGTCGGCAAGTACAGTGGTACCTTGGCTCACGAACTTAATCCGTTCTAGGACTCTGATCCTGACCCAAATTGGTCATGAGCCAAGTCAAATTTCCCCATAAGGTTCCATGTAAATAAGGTTAATCCGTTCTGTAACTATCTTTTTAATCACACATATTTGAAGCAAAGTGATAAAGAACAACAAAGATCACGGCCATCTCCCCTCCCCCAGGAGATGCGGGGTTTGGGGGTAGATGGGGGTTGGGAGGAGATGGGTGCGATTGCAGGTGCGCTCAGGGGGAGGAGACGGGTGCAATCATGGGCACGCTCAGGCAGGGAACATGAATGCAATCACAGCCATCTCCCCTCCAGCATGATCGCGGCCATCTCCCCGCCCCACAGCACTATCGCGATTGTGCCCATGCAGAGAAGGCAGGCGTGCTCATGACTGTCACCCAATGCAGAGATGGCAACAAATTTCTGTTTGCGACCTTATTTGGTCATGAACTGATGCGTTCATGAGCCGAGGTACCCCAGAACTGGATTTTGTTGACTTTGGGTACATGCCTCCAGAGTCCACGTAGAGCGCGTTTGGGCTAATAGATGAGGAATATTAGCTTAATAATAAATAACCCATGGAGCTGGCAATCTGTTCTGAGCTTGGAATCAGTGTGGAATGAGGAACTGGGGAGCTGCACCCCTCGCCTTGGCATTAATCCTCTGAATACCACTCATTCTACCTATCTGGTGTTGGAATGCTTGAGGTTTTTAAAATTTTACCTATATGGCAGTATATCATTGGTATTTCTGAAGCAGCATCCAAGATCACCTGCATCACACACTGGTACCCCATCTGAGCAATTACCAGAGGAAAAGCTCTGGACTATTTTCTCAAAGTTGAAATTAGGTATGGGAGTTTCCCCTTAATATTAATTAATAATATCTTAATATCATTCAAAGCTCCTCAAAATAAATTTGCAAGCCCAGTTTAGCTGCCAGAGTGGACAATGATTTAAAGAAACATTTGGTGAGTAAAAGCAAATGCATAGCCATTACTCCACAATATTCTAAGCTCTTATCCTGATCCTCATATCATTCAACATTGGAAATGTTAATCTCCTTTCATAGGTATATTATGGAATTTTAGCTTTCAATATACCTCAGTCTTTTAGGATTGTGAACCACCCAGACGGTTATTGGGGAGTATAGATATGTATTAAATAAGCCAATCAAAGGCATAGTATCCTCATTCATGCAAGCCGACACCACAAATTTAGCATATATTAATTACTTGAAGTGCTTTCTGTTGTTGCTGTGGTTGTACTTGGAGAAACAGTTGACGTGCTGGTCAATGGTGTGGAAGTAATAATAGGAGTGGTGGTTGGCATTGTGGTGGTTGGTGTGGTAGTACTTGGTTTGGTGGTAGTGGGTGGTGTTGTAGTGGTAGGAGTTCTGGTTGTGGTTGTAATCCCTGTTGTAGTTGAGCATGGGACTGGACAGCAGAACACACTGATCTCATAATCATAGCAGAGGTTCCAAAGACTCTGATCCTGGTCCTCATTTCGGCAAATTAATCCATAGGTAACGTTGCAGTCCACTTTCTGTCCCAGCTCTTCCAGAGTTTGGTCAGGTGCATCTTTAGCTCTGCAGTGAATATCCAGGGGGGCTGCACAAAAGTCATATCCTTTACTTCTTATAATTTCATATGTCTCGTAGTCACCACCTCCTGGTTCATTTGTGGGAGTACTGACATCGTACCATTGAGTCCATTCGCAGATGCATGGAGCTGTGAGACAAATATGGAAGTCATTCTTCTGAGCTGAATGTGCAATGGATTCACATGATCACTTTTCCACCATTACTTTATTATAGTAAAGTGCATCATACCGGAGGTGATCCATCTACCCCAGCCCCTGCATCACCACCATTGTTGAGAACAAAGCATATCCCAAGCCAGAGAAGTGGAAACAGCAACACTTCTATCCTGGGACTCCCATGCACAAGGACTGATACACAAGATTGCAGTTTACTTTTCCTTACAGCGAAATGCCTAAGGTTAAAATCTCCAAGGTGATAATTAAACATGCATGCCTACCTCTTTATTGCCTTTGGCAAATTTACTGGTGATGTCACAACAGTGAACTTAGATATAACACCTGCATTTGTCCTGCACTGAGTCACACAATTAATGCTCAAGCCCTACATGGAACACTGTGCCTAGCATGGCTGCTGAGCATTTGGGGCAGAATTTGGCCACTCCCATCACATTACTGTTTGGATTATTACCCATTTTATTCCAGACTGAACTTAAAACACGATGCATGCCAAATACATGCTCTAGCACTCAACCATGGCCCTTCCCCAATATCCTTATTAAAGCTTACTTGTTGTAATTGAAGTGGTTGTTGTAGGAGCTGAAACAGGAAAAGAAAATATAATGAGTCCATGCCATTTTAAGAGTTCATTCTGGAGAAGATTGTAGATTTTGCATACAAAAGCCTCAAACATAATATGACTTATATCATACTAAGTATCTGTATTACTTTAGCAACTGAATGTCATACAAAGAGATGTAAAATCAACTTCATGTAAAACCGGTTGTCTCTGAGGAGAAAATCAACACATGTGTATTAACACCTCCGCAAGCTTACTTGTGGTTGTGATAGTGGTGGAAGAGGTAGTTGAAATAGTGGTTGTGGGAGGCACTGTTGTGCTGCAGGGGTGTACTCCCTGAACCTCCAAGGCACCTGATAATGTGCATATTAATTCAAAACAGAGCGATCCATTTCTCTCCGTGATGATGTCTCCCACGTTGTACTCTTTGTCCTCATAAATGCAGCAGCCTGCATGACAGAAACGAGTGTAATCAGTCGTTCTGTGGGACAACATGGTCCAAACCAGCAAACCAAAGCACACATGCAAACATCCAGAGCACAAAAAGTGGGTCCTCCCACAAGAGTGTCAACTGAAAGTCAATATTCTTGATTTTAATACACCTGGGAGCAAGGTGGCAGAATGTTTAATAAGGACATAAACTTAAGCATCACTCATGCATACAATTAGGAGCATAGAAATTGCTTCAGTGTGGCAAGCATCTGCAAGGAGGAGCTGCATGGAGTATTCATGCTGGTCCTTCCCACACATTCCTAGCATTCCCAGGCAGGCCGAAACTAAGTGTACGACCACACATAGGATTTTGCCACAATGAGATGCACTCAGTGCCTTTAGTGATTATGAGGCCTCAGTAAAATTGTAACTTGGCTTAAAAGCAGGGTTACTAAAATGGCATTAGGAAGTATAAACTTATGGCACAATATGCTAGGATTATTCATGAACAAACCACCCAAAATGCAGTTATTTGGGAACAGACTTCACTAAACTTGATGGGGTTTATGTCTAAGTAAACGTGCCTAGGATGACACTGTAAAGAAAACAGAAAATTACCTGCTGTGACTGGTTTTGAAACTTGGACTGCAATTTACTTGGAAATAATCCCCACTGAACTCAATGGGGCTGACTTCTGAGTACGTAATCATATGCAGGTTTTGCTGTAAATAAGTGCTTAATTCTAAAGGGAAAAAGGCCAGCACTTACAATGAAATATTTACCAGCCCACTTCTTCACTGGTTATATGCTTAGTCATAAGGAATGACTATGAAGCAAAATGGCTATTATTTTAAAAAATAATATTTAACAATCTGACATATAATAGCAGGGCATATTATGAATCAGGGATTGAGAATATATGGCCCCACAGATGTTACTTGATGAAAACTCCCATTATCCCTTACCAGTGGGCATACTGGTTGGGTTTGATGGGAGCTGTAGTCCAACCACAGGCTTCCTACCTGTGTTCTAAATCATTGCCCAAACTGCAAAGAAATACAACCCTCAGAGAAATGTACAGTGCTCTATTTTGTTTCTTGCATGCAGAAACTGCAAAAAAGATATACATACCATTTTTAGGCCGACAGTGCACTGTTCCCACTGCAACACAGAAACTAAAATTTAAACCAGAGGGGAGAAAGTGATTTCAGAAATGAAACATCAGAAAGTTTATTTGCATCTTTTGCACTTCAGTCCAGTAAGTGCCCAGCTTGCAATTGTTGCTGCAGCATAATATACCAAAACATCATGAAATAACCTAAAACAGTAAGTATTGTTGCATATACTCTGCAATATTGTGTAACAAAACACCAAGTTAAAGCATTAGTCCTGCAATTCATATATTGTCCTAAAAACTGAATGTTTTTGTTAGTCTCCCAAGGCTTACAAAAGGACTCAGCCAGGAGAACATGTCTAAGAATGGAATTCCAGGAGAATTCACACAGCTGCACTGGATGGGTGAGAATTCTAGCTACCCTGTGCTGCATAACCACTAACAAAGCTACCTTAAGCAGTGACTACACTCCCAGCCTTAATGTACACGAGGGTCTAGTAAGAAAAGAGATATCCTTTAGATACCTTTGATCTAGGCTATTTGTTTGTTTGTTTGTTCATTTTTAAAAAATTGGTAGCCTTTAAGGGTGGAACTTTTTAGAGCCCTAAAAATGATCAAAACCAGCATTTCCATATAACATAACCTCAAGAGCAGAGGCTTTCATGTAGGGATGGGTGAGTTTCCCCAGTTCTGCCTGGACTCAAATCATATAAACCATCAGCAATAGGTGAGCAGGTTGGGGAAGATGATGACAGGAGCCAGATCTCTGGGGCATCTGCTCTGTTCTCAGTCGCAAGTTTGGCAAAGGAGGACTGACACTTAAACTGCCAACGACAGTGGGGAAATGCCCAGTGTATAAATCTTTTCTCAAAAAAGAGGGGGAGAACCCCCCACATAGGAGGCATTTGCATCCTGGCTGACGAACTTTCATGTTTCTGGAAATGGCCAATTCTAGGCCCAGAGGCCAGCAGGCTTCAGTGCCAACATCCAAACAAAAGCTTTCCTTGTATTTACATCAAACAGCTCTGCATGCTCACATACCATTCCTGGCACAGTTCTTGGGGTTTGTATGTGGGTATCAGGGAGCCATTTGGGTAGTGCATGTCTTCATAATAGCAGCCACAGAGGTCCCCAGGCACACACGACGAGGTCCACTCATTGAAGACAGGGGCCTCCGGAGGACAGATTGGATAGCAGCCTAGTTTGCACAAAGAAGCATGTTGCAAGTGATGCTAAATACCATAACAGCAGTGTTTGCACGAGGGATACAGTCCATGCCTACAGAGGACTGATATTATTTTATTAATTTATTAGATTTGTTTAAAAGCTGGCCATTAGCATCATGTTCTCTGGGCAGCCATTGCAATGTAAAATCTACAAATTACATTAATAAAATGATGCAATTAAAATATCATAATACTTAAACAGAGTAAAATACCAATGAAATGATTAAATAAAAACAAAATGCAGTAATGTAATTAAAAAACAGTGCATTCATATAAATAGTCTAGATGGTGCCAAAGGTGCACCAGAAAAGGAAGGATTTTTGCCAGGCACCTGAAACACTTTAAGGTAGGTGCCTGGCGAATCTCCAGTGGTAAAGCATTCCATTATTGGAGTGTCATTGCAGAAAAGGCCCTTGTGATGTGGGGAAACGATCCAGCCTGAGTGCCCACTGGGTCAGAAAGAGCTCAGCCATGCTACTACGGATGCTAATCCCGCTCCTTCAATGGCAATGTTTCAGGTAAGGGAAGAAGAGGTAGAAAGAAAACGCCATCCATTCAGGCGAGTAGTCTTCAAATCCTCAGCAGGTAATACAACTCCACTGCCATGCTCCACCTCTGGGGACAAGCACTCCACACCGCTTCACCTTTGAGACTTCTGTGTGAAGCATTTTTTCAGGATCCTCTCTGGCAAAATGGGCACAAAGGCAAGATGGCCTGCTGGCAAAGGGCGCTCTTGCCCGTAAGAATTCAGTGATCCCCAACTGATTGGAGAGAAAGGATGAGGCTGCTCCTTCCAGGACAAGACTGCTTGGTAAGGTCAGCTCCCTGACCATGGCTGGTCCTCAGTGGTACCATTGCGCTGGGGCTGCTATAATGCTCCATGGACACCAGCCCCCTTCTGTCTGTTGGGCATCTGCTCATGCTTGGCCCTCACTTAGGCAGTGAGCACAGCTGAGAGGAAGTTGGTGAACTTACTGCGTTTTTAGCTATTTTAAGCTAATTTTAAATTCATGGCAACACTGTTGCTTCTATGGCATTTGCATTGTATTTTATTGTTTGGTTTTACACATTGCTGTAAACCATCCAGAGCTCTGGCTATGAGGCAGTATAGAAACAAAATTAATAATAATAAATGCTTGTGGAAGTCGGGTTGCACAATTGGCAGCCCAAACAAAGGCTTCAAGTCACATGTGCAGAAGGGGGGCACTGCTTGTGCAGCGCTCACATGGACATGCTTCTTGGTGCCATCCACGCAAACTTTCCGCACACTTGCCAAGAAGTTGGATTCACACCTGCAAGAAAGAGGGCTGGAGTCTAGGGAGCCAAGGCCGGGGCATCTGACAGATGCCCACTCTCAAGACAGATTCATCACACATGCTTGCAATGCACACTGCACCGAGAAAATGATGTATATGGGCTGTGAAAATGTGAGCAAAATCTGCGGCTTTTCATGTGTCTCACTCTACACAATTTCAAAGATGAATATACATATTTGGGGGGGGGGTTAGCCCACTGAATGAGCTATATTCATTCCCAATTCAATATTCATGGAAGAGTATAGGAACAGAGGAAGCTGCCTTACATTCAGCCAGACCATTGGTTCATCTAGCCTAGTCTTGTGGACACTGACTGGCAGCAACGGCTCTCTGGGGTTGCAGGCAGGATTCTCTCCTAGCCCTCTCTGGAAATGCTGAGGCCAGACTCTGGGGCCTTCTGCAGCAAAGCACAGGCTCAGTCCCAGTAGGACAGCACCTCCTTCCCTTAACTTGCTGTTTCTTACCTTCCAGGTATGGCAATGTAAAGTTGGTTGCAACTTGACCAAGGACCTGGCAAGTTGTAATGTCACGTCCACAAGCCTCATAGTGCCAAGTGCATTCCTCTGGCGAAGGATTGTAGTACTCGCAGAAGATTGCTAACAGAACAAAGGAGACCCATCAGACAACCAGCAGCAGAAGTCTCTTGTTTCCCATCCTAAGCAAGTTTATTTACATGTATTTCACCTCCCTGGATAATTTCTAACATATCACGAACTGAAATTCTTCTTTGCTCAACTTCATCAGGGAACACATTCTGATCTGAATCTACAGCCCTCTTTGGGTGTTTCCCTCCGTACAACTGTAACCTCATGGTATAGGGAGAGCAGGGCCATGCACAGTTCCTTTTAGATCCCATGGACCCCCCACATCCTGGTGTGTCCAGGAACATCTGTAAGGGGATACTCCTGGTAGTCTTTCCCCAAGACTATGAGCCCAGATTACAATTGCATGGAAGGAGATGATGCTTCAGTGGTGCTTTTAACAAGCCCCCAATTCATTCATTAAGGTGCAGCTAATTAAAGGAAAATTCTCACAACTGTATTTGTCTGATTCAATAAAATACATATTGTCAAGTTTTCTGTGCACTTATCTAGACGTTTTCCTGCTAAGCTTTTCTTTCTATTAATAAATGGGCCATTATTATTATTATCATCATTATTATTCATTTATTTATTTAATGTATATCCTGCAGTTTGTCTTTTTTAAAGAATTCAAAGTGGCTTACATCATTCTCCTCCTGTTGCTATCAGTCTCACCCCGACCACAACAACCCTGTGAGATAGGTTGTGCTGAGAGTCGGTGACTGGCTGGAAGTTGGCTCCATGGCTGGGCCATGACTAGAACCCAGATTGCCTGAGTCCCAGTCCCACACTCTTTACCACTACATTGCACTGACTCTTTTCAGGGCCTGCGATTTATTGCATTCATCGTTTTACATTCCACCTGGTGCTATTTTAAACTGTTATTGTTTGATATGTTATAAGCCACCTTGAAATGTAGGGAACAAGTTAAATCTCTTAAAATTATGAATGGTTCAAGATATGTTTAAATTGTGAGGGATATTCATTTCTGCAATCATTTCTTAACTGTTCGGAAGACCAAAAGATACCTGAATAAGTAAGTCATGCAAGTCAATGAAAGGTACAATCCTATGCAAGTTTAGAGACAAAGAGGCCTGCAGTCCCAACTTGTATTGGGTTACACCCTAAACCAACTCAACTCATGCCAAAGAAACAGAGTTAACCCACGATCCTCATCAGGTTGATGGGGCAATAAGTGGATGCATCTCTAATGTAATGGTTGCAACTGCCTGAAGACTGTTCCATAAGGCAAAGCATTGATTTTCGCCAGCTATCTTGTGATCTGTTGGCATCCTGACCTTCCCAAGGGTTCCTTGGACAGAGGGTATCCTGTTTAAAGGAAAGCAGGATAACTAGCTGAGCTATGGGGTCTCTTGATTCCCACCTGAATGTTATTTTGAAGGCAGAGCTGGACATTATCATAAAGAGATGAAGCCACAAGCATATTCAATGCCTGCAAGTATGAGACATGAAGAACTAACCAATCTCTGGATATACAAGACAGAGTTAAAGGTGGCTAATAGGGGCCAGTGTGGTATGGTGCCTAGGAATACTGAACTGGATTCTGGTTCTAGTCCCCACCCAGCTATGGAGCCCACTGGGTGACTTTGGACTGGTCACTGCCTCTCAGCCTAACCTACCCCACAAGGTTGTTGTTATGAAGATAAATGGAAAGGAGGTGACCCTTGTAAGATGCTTTGGGTTTCTTGCAGGAGAAAGAAAGGCAGGATATAAATGCACAGCAATAATTTAAACACACACACACAAACACATGCACCTAGAATTGTGGTCACTGCTTAAGCCAGTTTTGCAAGCCTGTGTGTTCCAGGTACACGCAGGAAATGGTTTGCCGAGGATACTCACGGCATCTCTCAGGAGTTCTCCAGCTGACACAAGCTCCAGCTTTGATGCATTCCTGTGCATAGACAGCAACAGCCGCACAGAAGCAGTCGCAGTCTCCACCGCTGTCACAGGCACATGAGTCATGCACACAGGCTTCATAGTATGGTTCCGGATTCACCTGTTAGGACATCAGGGTCTGGCTATTGCTCTGGTTCATCAGTTCCCCATCCCAGTGCACTGAAACAGCATCCTCATCTCACCAGGATCTTTCACCATCAATCCCCATAGCTGCCAACACGCATGGATTTTGCTGCTATATCCATAGCACATCCATGGTACCGCCACCCCGTTACAACTTGGTTCAGAACAAAACGGTATCAGGAATGCAGGGCACATTTTATCCCCCTGAGATTGTGCTCCTCAATTCGCGTTTCAGGCAAAAGTTTCTTTGTCCAGTAACATTTGTATGTCAAAAGCAACACATTTGCCATTCAACAAAAGTACATTCAGTGATACAATTGGTTTGGGCAACATTTTATAAAATGGGGCATCTGTGAAGAGGGCGAAAAAAGGGGAAATGGAGCCCCATACCTTGGCTTGCACCAAGAATACTAGACACAGCTCACATCTTTCTGTCTCCCTCTGTAGTGGCCAGATGGCCTACAACAAGGATAGTGAGCCTTTTGGGGCCCGTGGGCATAACCCACAATATGAGAAACTGACTAAGACACAACCACAAAAGGGACACATTGAAGAGGAAAGCCTTGGCCTGCAACCACCTGCTATCTTCCTTTCCCAACAATGTCTCCAGAGCCAAGTGTTGTCCAGAGGCACTCGTGGGAAAAGACGGTGGAGCAGCTGCAGCCACCATTTTGCTCTGAAGTGATTGCTGCCAAGGAGAAATGTTATATGGAAAATCAAAATAGATAGTGGGAGGGGTAGGGCACCTCAGAGAGCCCCAAGGTAGTATTCAAAGGTGCAATCTTGATTGGAGCACCACATTGTCTACTCTTCTTGTTTGGACTTCCTATGCATCTATTGATCCCTGACCCAGAGAACTGCTCCACCATCCTTTCTGGATGGATGGAACTGTTCCAATCAAACCATATTGATTCAGAGACTGTCTCCTGGGCATTTGTTTTGTTTGACCTTTAGGCCACATTTCAATGTTGATGCTTCTTGTGGTTGCCCACCTGACTGGATGTCACTGTGCATCTTCGTGACAACATCCAGGGACACTTGAAATCCAGGCACATAACTTTGATGTCTGAGGCACAACATTGTTGGGTGGCCTCCCAGTTGGTCTTCTCCCAGGTAAGTTTGGGAGAAATGGGTAGTGGACATGTGATGAGAGAGGCTTGGGGAATGGATCCATTTGAGATCTGGGTTCAATCTGAAATGGACTGAGGTGAGCCATGGAGAATTGTGATATTTAAGCACCTCCACTCTTAGACTCAAAGGTATCACTAGGCCCAAGCTAGTGGACATCAACTAGGCAACACTATATATAAACAGAGGGAAATGGTTTTGGAACTCAGAGTAGCAAAAAGCTTGATTAACTTTCTAGTGCTTCTTCCAAGCCTTCAGAATTGGAACCAGCAGAAATTGTGGAAGTGCATAGTTACAGTACTGAACCCTCTTACAGCAATAAGGGCATACAAATAGCTAAGCCTCTTATTTAGTTAAAACATTTACATGCCACCTATTTTGCCCATGGCATCTCTAGGTGGCTAATATCAGACAATTAAAATACATTATAAAACAATAAAACAATGGCATAAATTAATATAAAACTTAATAAATTTATATTAAATTAATATTTATTTATTTAGGGAACTTCTATGCCGCCCCATTTGCCGAAGCCTCGGGGTGGCTCACAACATAAATAAATAACCATATAAAACAATATAATATAACTGGAGGATAGGTAGTGACTAATAGATATTAAAATGTCTTTTAATATTTTAATTCTTGATGAATATTAGAAAAGGCTGCATAGATTTGCAACCCAAGTCACACTGAAATCCTGGGATTTATTTTAGTTGTGGCCCACTGCTATCCTAGTGGTGAAGGGGATCCAAGTGCAAGTCACTTCCTTTGGGTTGGGACCACAGTGCATTGGGAGATTGTTTTAGCATGACTTCAAAGAAAGTGGTGCATTGTCCATATGGTCTCATGCGGCAATTGCTTATTTTTCTTCCAGGCCACTGTAGCAAAGTATTGTCTAGCAACTAGGTCATTGTACCAACCTTATAATGACATGTTTTAAAAGACTCGCTTTTGATGAGGCTACACTCTTTCTCTGCCCAGGATCTGCGATGGGGTCTCACTTCACAGGGCTCAATATTTACTTCCACGTCGGGGCAAGCGGGATCCATTTTCCATGAATTTCCAAAGGCCAATGCATCATTCACTTGAACCATGCTCCTAGTTGTGAAGTCGTTGCTGGCCTTGCCATCAAAGTTTCCACACAAACCACACACTTTTCCCTGGGAGAAAAGCAAAGCATCAGAGCCGATCGACCGTGGCTTAAACCTGGGAGTCACTGGATTGCTTGAAAAGATAATTGTCCTAACTCTGGTGTGCATTTATTTTTCAGCATTCCCAATCTTACATGGGATTGGATTTTTAGAAAACAAAACAAGATTGATCTTTCAAAAACAGAAGGTGTAATCCTACGTATGTTCAGACAGAAAATGTCCCACAACTGCTGGCCATGGCTGGCTGGAGCATACTGGGACCTGCAGGGCTTCTCCCCAGTCTGAGCATGGCTAGCAATGCTCCCTAAGGGGGCAGCCTTGCTCATGCCCTTCATGCTGTGATGCCTCAAACAGCCCTCATGTGCTCAATAGCTCTTCCCCACGTGCAGGAAAAAGGCTGCCAACTGGTGCTTGAAGATGGGACAGCGGGGAGGAAATGGGCCAATTTGCTTCAAATTGGGGCAGAAATAATTCGGCCTGTAGCCCAATTACCATTTCTAGAACCATGCCAACCATTAATCTTGAACCAGTGCCTTGATGAAGTTGTTATAGACAGTTAGCACGAAAACACTGATTTTCTATAAATGAGGCCAAAATCATCCATGAGTGTTGCCTAGTCTATTTCCATGCCTATTTTCACGATGCTTCCTAGCAAAGAAGGAGCCCTCACCACCCCTTCACTCTGTTTCTCACGAGGCCATGAGGAGGGAGTAAGACAATCCTGCTGCTGAGCTACGCAAGTGGGAGGAGAAGGCAAGGAAGTAACAAGGGACTGGATTTTCCTCCTGAATATTTATGGTTCCATCCCGTATCTTCAATATTGCTAGAAATGGGTGTCTGCAAGTTATATGGAGAGAGTCATTGATGAATGTTTTTCATTAACTGTAATGCATAGTAGGATCTATTGAAGAATCCAAAAGGTGCATTAAGGCACACATGGACAAGCAATGCATCAAAAATCACCTTTTTATTTGCATTCATTGATTAGTAGCAGACCTTCCATGCCATTTTAGGAAGAAGTTCCAGAACCACTCACCTGATAACGTGGTGTTAGCTTGATGATTATGGTAGTCTTCTTGTCCCAGATGAGAACAATGCCATTGCTGCTTTCAACCACAATGTACAGTCCAACACGCTCACGAATCAAATGAGTCACATCACTACGGTTATTCAGAACAAATTTTTCTATCTTTGTTCCTTCAAACTTCAGCTCAGTGTTCTGAAAGACAGACAGTGATGGGGGCTTTATACTGAAACAAGCCTTTAAAGCTACATTTAGCATTTCTTGGCCACCATCAAAGTTAGCCACAAAGGTCAGTAGCAGCCCCAACCCATTTTGCTACTGCCATCCCAGCAGGAATTTCAGGAGTGGCAGAAGCCACAGTTTAGACCACTGGGGGGGGGGGTTGTGCAAGAGGCCCCCCCAGGTACAGATCAACACTTTTGAGAACATTTTCTTCTATGTTGGTACATACCCCTAGAAAAATTTTAATGGCCTTGGAGCAAGTAACTCCTGTGTTTCCACATGGGACATTTTCTGTGATGACACTAAATGTTCCCTCTTTGTTGCCGCAGTAATCCTAGAGAAGGTGGAAAGGAAACATGAGGAAAACTAAGCAACACCAATGCAGATTACTCTGATTTTCATTTGTGCTTTCAAAATTAATCAAAACTGTGTTTAATTATTTTATTCACAGTAAGTTTCCTATATTTCACGTTTTACAGTTGTTCATAATTCTGAGAGCATTTGGGTCACACAGCATTGACTAAATAGGAAAAAGTGAACTTATTTTTTTAAAAGACAACACTAATTCTTTGTGGCTAATTATTCTTGGGCACTCAATGATGTGGCCACATGTGATATCACAATACACCATGTCACAAATCAAGGTGATGCAAACATGTAGAAATGCCCTGTGGTTCTGTCCTTCCTTGAGAAAACCATTCAAGAGTGCTGGTGGATCTTGCTGCCCAACATATTTTTTTTAAAGTAACAAGAAAAAACCCTGGCCATATATGAAAAAGTGGCAAGTCAATCCACCAGAGATATCTGAGTGGGAAGTGCATGAATGACAAAATGAATGAAGATGGAAAGAATGATGAATGAATGAATGAATAGGATGCATTGGGTGGGATAGATGTCTAATAAATAAATATCAAATATTTATAAATAATTTACATAAACTATAAAGTTATTTATTTATAATCAATATAAATTTATAAAGAAATTATTTAAATAAATGATTTAAACACAAAAGGGCATCACAAGAGCATCCACACAGCTAAACTTCAGGCTAAACTAAGATAATCATGACTTGGTCCCAGTCAAACCAATGATATAAGTTTTGCCTAACTTAAGTTTCCATTGCTTTCAATTTAGTTGCTGCTAAATTGGCTGGATTCAGACATGACATGGTGCCCTTTTTATGCCTTTGTTGGCCTGTCTTGTTGCCTGCACCCAATTATGTATTTTACCATGGTAAGTTTGATTTTTAGAAAGCTGAAGAAGAAACTGGCTTGTTCTATGGTTTCTCCATACCACCATGGCTTGCTGTGCTGTCAGAACCCAGACTTGTGGTTTCCACAGCCTTGGAATACAATTCCCACAGTCCCCTGGAGAAAACAGCAACTGCAGGATCTGCTCCAGCTATCCAGCCTCTACTATCCTTCTCTGCCTACTAACAGAGGTGCAGACCAAAGAAGAAGAGGCAGGAGATGTAGGCAGGGAGTGCTGTGGCTTGAGATTGAATTTCAGGCATGGCAGCTGATGGGATACGTGCCAACAATGGGAGGACTGAGCAGTAAGAATGGAAGCAATTATAACATGGAAACCATTTGATCATCTTTCAAGTAGATCATGGTAAGAAACGGCAAACTATGATAAATATAAACTATGATAAAGGGTTGCTTGTTCTGTTATGAAAACTCAGTCACTGTGTTACCCATTGCTACTAGTTTGGAGTGATAAAACCCGGACTTGCAACTGTTTCCATGTCTTCTGCAGGCTTATTGATGAAGTATGTCATTCACAAATGAGAGACATTTGTTTAGAAGAGTGGTTAAACTGAAAACATTTTAATTCCCTGAACTGAATTACTATCACATGTATATGGTAAAATAAACACAGTGGTTCAATCGCCAACAGAAATTATTTAAATGTTGCTACACTTCTACATAGGGATGATGTCATAGAAGGTGACTCCAAGGAGTATCTGAATAGTAATTGAACATTACCTGCACAGCCACATATTCACAGTTACCCTCAAAATCATAGATTCTGCCATCAAAGCTGACGTAATGGCCACTTCCATAAATGTTACATGTCCCATAGCAGGCAATGCCAGTGCACTTCCAGCTTCCTTTTTGGCAAGTACTGGAAAGTGGGAAAAAGGAAGACTTGAGTAAGGCCTGATCTCTGTCTCAGTGTATTGCCTTTGAACCGCAAGATGACCTGAATGTATATGATGAACATGTTGTTCATATATATATATTGTTTGCATGGTAGGACACTCATCGACTATTACTATTAGTGCTAATATGTGCAACAATAATAATACAATAATAAAAGACAATACTAATATAATAATAGTAACAGCAACAACAACATCTTACCATGTATTACAGTCCACTTTTATTTGTTTTCCAGAGGAATAGAACTCATTGTTATGAATGCATGGGCAGTCCTCTTCCTTAACACAGTTGCCTCTCCCATCATCAATCAGTCCCTCAGGGCACACACACCCTGAGATGCACTCCGTTTGGAACTATGGTAAGCAAGAATGTGGGTTTTATTGGGTGGAAATATTATTCGATACCAACAGAGAAAAATAGTTTAACTTACTCTCAAAGGAAAGAAAAATAGCCACGGACTAAACACAACCAGAATGAATGACAGAGAAAAAGTACCACTGCATAAACATTGGTTTCTCTGTGGTTATAATCCAAAACACATTTACCAAATGTATTCCCTCAGTGGGGTTTATTAGACATGCTTAGAATCAGTGCATAAGCTTTCCATGGAGCAAAGGAAAGAAGACACCAGGATGCAGGCAAGAATACAAAGAAGACATACATGTTCGGTACCCAGTGTTTGGCAGCTGAGTAGAACTGGAGACTGATACGACCAAGTCTCATTCTTGTTGCAGTCAAAATATGTCTTATTGTTTGAACATCCTGCAAAATACATATAGTATACTGAGAACAAACTCTTGGATCTATGTTAATAATGCAGAATAATGCAGAAATGAAAAAAAAAAAAAAAACAGAAGAGAGGGAAGTTTGGTGATCCAGGAACGAGTGAATGCTCTGGAGTGCATAAATACATGCTTGGAGGAGAGGTCACGGGGGACGGGAGCCTTTAACTTGGTTTTATATCACTTCAAGTGACTGCTTAACAATGCATCAGGGAAGATTTACTATGCGCGTAGAATGAATCACCCCAGTCAAGATCAAAAGCAGCCCTGCCAATGTAACAGATCCTAGACTGAGGCCAAATCCTATACAATCCTAGACTTACCTAGCAATAAGTTCTAGTCAACTAAATGGGGCTTTCTTCTAAACAGGTACATATATAATTGCACTGCTAATAAAAGAAAAAGAGAGAGATGGCCTTTTAATCAGTCTAATGAAGAGTGTGGTTAAGGGAGCTGGGAAGGGGATTGCTATTTTTTCCCCTGAAAAATCACAGGGCAGAATTCCATGTACTCTTAAGAGTACAGTCCTATTGCCTGAACCCTCATTGACAGGAAGCCCCGAACCTGTCTGATCATCCAATGAAGGGTGTGTGGAGTGATAGAGGTCATCTTTGCCTCCCTTCCTGCTGATTTCACTAAAGGATACTCAAGATAAGTCAGATCCTGGCCTTTCTGGTCTCCTCCCCCTCCTCCCTGTTTCCTCCTTCTTTGAGGTGACTTTTCCAGTCTCACAGAACAGCCAATGCAGTTCTTTCTGCACTAGCTGTGAGGAGCAGAGCTCTGATTGCCAAGACTGGAGTGCAGTCCCTGACTTCAGAAGGGGGAATCTGAAGATTCCTATGGTGCCTGGGCTTGCTATCCAAAGGAGGTGTTTTGCACACTGACAAGGAGCGATCTTTAGATCTTTACTTTAAATGAAGCCAATTAGGATGGAAAAAGACATATGTATATCTAAAAAGTTATATCTACCATGATCTGGTGTTCCCACTTCTACACAAAGGAGTCTTCCATTTTTGCAAATACTAGAAAAGAACGTATCATAGGAAAAAAAAGAAATCAGAAGCCAGTGAATTCTAATGTATATATATCACCATAAATAATATGTATATATTGTGAATTCTAATGTGTATGTTCCAGTGTATATTAATAAAACTAAAGATACATTGGAAAAACTTAAACAAACATATAATACCATTTCTACTAAACATGTCAATGTATCTGATGAAGTGGACAGTGTCCATGAAAGCTTTTTCCATAATAAATTTGTCACTCCTTAAGATGCCATAGCACCCTTTGTGGGTTTTGCTGACTAATAGCTCCCCTGCTATAAATTGAACATCATGGATGCTGCCCTATCATTTCACAAAATAAAGAGCAAAATCGTCCAGTCACTGAAGATCAGCTTCTCACTAAGAACTTACAAGATACTTCTACATTTTTAAATGCTGGGACATATTCATTGAGTTGCAGTGAGAAGGGAGGAACTTCCTTCAAGAACTTTAGAACATCTCTTAAAGATAAATGGTAGATAAAATGGGCCCATGTGTGGCTCTGATGGTGCCTTTTCAAGGTACCCACATCAGGATTTACCACGAAGCTGCTTAAAATGCTTTTTGTTCTGAACAGGACCCCAGTGAAGAACCTGGAATTCTAAAGCATTTAAAACTCTGATCATTCCAGACGGGCATAGCCACACCTGCTCTGATATTGTTTTAGAGACACAATCTTCCAGACTAAGGCTGAAATTCCCTTTGTTGCCCTATGGCTCTAGAAAACAAGAATGCTTATATACTGGACACTCCTACACTGCCAACATAATCCCAAGAGGCTCTGTCCTTTTGGAGCAGGGCTCTCCAAGACATTTTGTGTCCTAAGGTGAGAGAACAAGTGGTACAACGCAACTCATGTCTAGCTACCTGGCACCAGGGCCTCCCAAGTTATTCCAGTTCCCAAGGCAGAAATCTCACAAGCACCTTTTCCCAACTCCGGCAGTGCAATACAAGCATGTTAAGTAAATCAGCAACCATTTACTCCCTTTTTGGGATACCCAAACTCAGCTGCCACTTCACTCTGCCTAACTGAAGGGCCAGTCCTGTTTTAGGCTGCACAAGTTAAGAGTACATCACAAGAAGAAATCAGTCCTTATATTAAGATCACCTTCCCCCCTTGTCAGAAAGGCAATGAGCCAAGACTGTCACCTACCACCGCTGGTCTTGCTTCATCACAAAGTCTCCAGCCTCCACAAATGTCCCTTTGTAATAACACGAGCACTGAGACATGGGCACGCAGATGCCTTTCTCGTTCATGTAGGTATGAGCAGGGCAGCCACAGCCATCGAGGGGCGTGAAGCCGAGCAAGCAGTGCTTGTCGCCTTCCGAAAGAGAGCGGCAGGTGCGCTGGCACGTGGTCAGATTGTAGAGGAAGACTTGGCTGGCTGGGCAAGAGGTCTCTTCTTTGTCTGAATGAGAAGGAGAAAAAAGAAGCTCATACAAGTTCTAAGTAAGTCAGTAAACCCACGCAGGAGCTTGGTGGTTTGCCATTCTAAAGTCAGTTCAGTGCATGCTATCTGAATTTACTCCCAATGTTTTTTCTACAAAGAAAAACTGATATGTCTGGGCAGTCATTGCATGTATTTCTGAATCCGCAATGAAAGCAATGGAACAGCAAAATACATTACTGACCACTTGATTAACCCCCACCCGCTTCCATTAACATGCAATAGAATAAAGGAATTAGCAATTAAATTTTATTGCATGCACCCACTTATCCAAAATTCCATTCTCCAGGTCTTGGGAATTCATTATGTCTGTTCCCCTGTCATCCCCTGTCAATTCAAACAACACAATATTTTTCTTCCTTTTCAATTCACCCAAATATTTTGCATACTCCCAAAACCAGTCTTCTGAGTGAGGTATACTATGGTTTTTATCATGGCCTGTGGGCAACCTCAGGGAGAATGCACTGGTATTCAAAGAGCTTTTGTCCATCTGTCCAAGGTAAAGATGCAGGCGCAGATACGTACAGCAGATGTGTTCCCTCCAGCCCCACAGCATGACTCCGTGGAAGGCGCAGGCTCTTGCATAAGATGAGAGGGCAGCGCACAAGCACCTCTCGTTGGAGTTGCAGTTGCAGGCGTCATACTTGCAGCGCTGGGGGGGGAGGGGGAGATCAGGGAACTGTCAATCAAACTCACAAGGAAGAGCAATGGCTAGCCAGCCGCCAACAGGATCAATGGTGAGTTACCCACTTTAAACTGAAGGAGCTATTTCCACATTGTGAATTTCTTCCCATAGACTAAAGCAGATTTTGAAATGGATTTGCACATTTTTGCAGGTATTCTATCAGGGAGCAGATAATGGAATGAAAGGCACCGCAAAACTTGCAACAGGCAGATGCGGTAAGAATGTACAAAGTCTGTACATGCCTCATCTAAAGGATGGTTATCCCTTTCCCTTTAGGGATGGGATAGCATATCTGATATACTGAATCAGGAACCAAACTAACTGATCACTAAAATAACATCTGTTTGATTTTGCCATTTTGGATAGTTTGCCTGTGGACAATATCCCAAGCAGCGTGCATCTAATTCCATCTCCCCAAAGGGATGCGGGGCTTTCATTTCACTGATCACACACTCAGCCATCCGTGTCACATAACAAACTGCTTTTCACACTGAATCAGCATCTCAAGTGATTCATTGTGTGACATGGAAGTCCACTATTCAAAAAGAAATACCCTACTTGGAATTTACAAGGTCTTGAATATACCCAAAATTGCTCTTTGACTCATGGCCTCTCTATCTGTATGCAAGGTATTCAGCATATTTGTTCTTTATCTGCTGTGGGTTTGTTCAGGTTCATATATTTTGAACAAAAAAGGCTAGAAACTTAGGCTATGTTTCAAAATTTGATCACCTGTTGTTAGTAATTCTATCACTTTGGAAAAACAATTTGGAAAAGAGCTGTTTTGAAAGTGAAAACAAAATTCCAGGCTTCCAGAGCAAAGGAGCTGGAATAATTTTAAAATCCTTACCTTATAATAATCTAATGGATCAATGACTGAGTGACATCTGGCAAAAGGAGCTTCTGTACTTTTCAGTAAAGAACACCAGTGTTCAGCATAATTCTCTGCAATTAAGCAGGGAGATTAAATGTTATTATTAACCACTAATTTAATGTCTTTCCTATGGATGAACAAATCTGCCATATTCACTGCTGCTCAGTTTCTCATTTTTCCTGCATAAAGTTTGTTATATCTTATTTCCACATCTGTTTGCGAATTAGTTCTTTTAAAGTAAAAAAAAAATTAAGGTTTTTTTTGCTGTACATTCATCTATGTACCTTTGTAGGAATTTGTCTAAATATATAAATGTGGGAGAAGAGATTTTCTCTTATGTAATACAGCTTGGTATATCCTTTTCACTGATTTATACATTATCTCTGTAGACATTTCCATATGCATTTATTTATTCCATTGTATTTATTTTCCTCTATTGTATACATTTTTGTGAACATTGTTGCACTTTGTCAAGTGCATCACAAAATTTGGAAATCTTGTCATATTCCTACATTCTAGTTTCCGCATAGGTTCAGGAAGTACAAGTTTGGGGATATTGCATTAAAATGTGAACCCAACACATTTCCCACCAATCCCCAGTCTTTCTATGTGTTGGATGATGTGTATCATCTAGTATGCAAATAATTCTAGTGATCTCACAGCAATACAGTATGGTGAAACCAAGTAAGTACTGTCCACCTTATCACAAGGTCCACTCCCCTTTAAATTTATAGCTATTGACATAATTGTATCCCCCATCATCTAAGAACAGTGCAGTCTCAATAGTCTTATCTTCCTGGACTCTTTGAGCATACTGGAAGGAGTATGCCTACTCAGAGGACCACAAAGGCAAGTAATTGGAATATTATGGAAGGTTACACCAAACTGGCTTCTATTTTCAAAGCCACAATAGGTCAAATGGATCAGTTGTCTTCATCGTGTGAGCCTTGCCTCCTAATTCTTTAGAAATGTCTATTTGTTCTGATCCACTAAAAGGAAGTGGCAGGCTAATTGTATGTTCAAAGACGCAGACCAAGCACGGTCTTATGCAGTGCTGACTTGAGTAATAAAGAAAGTTCCCATCAGCGAATTCAGTATTTGACCTGAACCTGAATATTGGCCATAAAGGGTAACTAGTGAGGATCCAACTGAAAGCCACCATGTATCTATGAAGAACATCTGTGCTTACCATGTTCAATGCTAAGGGCACAAGGGTTGTCCCACTTTTCCACCTGGTCAGCGCAGCTGGCTTGTGCTTTCCAGGTGTTAGCAAAGGAAGCCCCTGTTGCTTCAACCAGTCCTCCAGATGTTTTGAAATCATCATTCTCTATTCCATTGAAATTCCCACAAAGACCTGCGGATGAAGGCAGCAGAAGTTGGCTGGTTATGTCTTGTTTTGAAAGCCATGGCTTGGTCATTGAGTAATAACCAAGAGTCAAAGAGTAAGCAGTGGTCATGGCAACACAACCGAGATATTTTAATTCAGTTCAGCAGCAACTCCCAACCAGCACACACACTGCTAAGTAAACTGATGCTACTCTTTCTGGGTCCTTGTCTATCTTTGTTTATTGTAGCTGTAGCTTAAGGCAGCATTTTGGTAATTGTGATTTTTAATGCTTTGGCATATGAGCAGCTTTTGACTTCTCAAGCAGAATACAAGTATCATTAATTCATAAAATAAATAGAAATACAAGGTAATTTTATAGTTTGCTTGCTCTTCAAATAGTCTATCCAGTAATGGAATGGAAGATTCTAGAAGAGGTTAGGTTAGGATTTACGTTTTATGGACAACCTCATTTGCTTTTCTTTCTTTCTGTTTTTGGTGGACATAGAAATCTCAGTTCCATTTTTCGAAAACTTCAGTCCTTACAGTGCTCCTGCAATATCCCCTGCAGTGCCACACGACGGTTCAGACTTGCCTTGGAGAAGTCCCTTGGCAGACTGATCTGCAATAATGAACAACTGCATAATTGGAGCCAGCTGGATCTGCAGCTTGAGGCCATAATGCGTGTGCACAATGATGTAGTAGGACGATGGCTGGAAAGCCGAGAAGCTGGCTGGAAAGCAAAGGGAAAGCCAGGTCATGATGTTGTTCATTATTATTTATTATTTAGCACTTTTACATACTATCTCATAACCGCAGGGGTGTCTAGATAGTTTACATAATAAAAACCAACATCAACCTTCATGCATAAACAATTAAAACCACAATATCAATAAATTATAAGAATAAGGTAATATCACCCTCTTAGCAGGAACACCAAGTAATAGTTTGACAACTGATTGGAAAAATCTTAGAACAACAACATCATCATCATCATCATCAGTTTGTATATGCCATCCCAATACTAAAAGTCTCTGGACAGCTTACAAAAAACAAATTAATTACAAATTTACTTCAAAATACCAATTAAAATCAAATTCCAATTAAATAATCAACCATTAAAATGCTCCTTGAATAAAAACGTCTTGGTCTGGCGCTGGGATGTGTATAAGGGTGGCACGTGACAAATTTCTCTGGGAAGTTGATTCCATAGATGGGGGGCCACAACTGAGAAGGCCCTATAATGAATCTCTGAAAGGTAAATGGGGGGATTTTGGCAGTCCTGCGGTGGGAAGATGGCTCCCTTTCTCACCTCCTTTATAAGGCAAGTTCAACGGCATCTCATTCAGCAATACTGTGCCATCTGCTTTGAAGACTACAACCTGTGCGAAGAGAGAAACAGTCTGTTTTAGCGGGACCATTACAAGAGCCCTGAGGAGCCTTGTGAGACCACGTGAATTTCCACAAGTCTCACGAGACCCATGCCAGCTCTGCAGGAGCGCCATGGATGTTGCAAGAGCAGCGATCCACAGAGCTGATTCCGTGGCAGAAGCAACGGTAAAGGGGGCATGGAAGGGGAAGGGGTGGCAGGAGGGGCTGGGGAGCCACGCAGTGGCACTTCTCTCTTGCCTCAGGCAGTGTAGGAATATGCACAGGGCTTACACATGCCCAACCCTGCATAAATTCCTGGAGAAGCACACCAAAGTTCATGCTTGGCTTGGGGAGGGGCAATTTCCATAAAGGCGTGGCCCTCATTAATCCAATGCAAGTGTCCCTCAGCCCTTTATTAAGTGGACCTCACTGGGCACAGGGCTGCAGTCAGTGTGGGCGACTTGTTTGTTTTTTCATTCTGCAAACTTAACAGGGATTTTAAGTTTCTTGTGGAAACAGCAGCTTCCATCTCACACAGATAGATGCTTTTGACTAGCGCATTTGTGCTGGATGCCCATTTGCTGTGTGATACTGTAAACCTTGAGGCAGATCCACACATCACATTTTAAACCAGCCTGGAGGATGTTTTGCTCCTGGAGAGGTTTGTCCTGGAGAGGTTTAACCCCCTCTGAAAATGCCACGCTGAGAAGCCTTTCATAGAACGACACATTGGGTGCTTTCCTGGTCAGAAACCGACAGTCAGCTGCAAAGGATGCAGAGCGGCCTAGGCCTGCAAGGTGTCCCTTCCCCCGGCAACTGACAGCAAAGGCAGTCCCGAGTATACTGCAGAAAAGCCCCCGCCCTTCTGGTGAAGTTTTGTGGGGCAGGAATGTATTCCACAAATATATAACTGTCAAAGGGCTTGTGAAAGCAAGACAGAGCAAAACAAACACAGGCACAAAGGCAGGGATGATGTGGGCTTGGGATTTAAAAAGAGACAAGTGAACTTATTTACACTGAAGAATGAAATGTGGATGTCTGTGTGTGACTTCATTTTCAATGCAGTTTAGATGTTGGATCAGCATTGAGGCTGAACGCTAACTAGAATCTTCTGGAATGGGGGGAAGTACTGTGCTATATCACCAATAATTGTGCTTTATCTGTGTGTGTGTGTGTGTGTGTGTGTGTGTGTGTGTGTGTGTGTGTGTGTGAGAGAGAGAGAGAGAGAGAGAGAGAGAGAGAGAGAGAGAGAGAGAGAGAGAGCAAGCCAGCCAGCCAGCCAGCCAGCCAGCCAGCCAGCATGAGGAGACAGGATGGTATCTTTCCTTTCTTACACATTAGCAAAAGTTTGATTTGGTGGAATATTCTGCTCTAGATGAACTCACTCACAGCAATGTCAGAATTATTTACATTGAACTTACATTTTGCTTGTGCTCTGTTAATAGAACAACTGTCTTCAGGCATGTCTGTTTCTCTGTAGGACTGCAAGGGCTCAGCTCTCCTAAGAGTACATGTGAGTCATTTTTACTGCTCTGCAATTACAGAAGAACAAATACAATTAATATGATGCTGTGAATGATGTCCTTTGACAGAAAGAATGAAATTAGCCCTTGAACAAAAAGTATTATAAATCTTCTCTTCCAGATGTCCAGTTCTAAAATCCAGGCTCCAGGTCTTCCCAGCTTTCCTTCAGGGGGAAATATTACCCCACCTTTAGGGAAATGCCTGATGCCATCGGATGCGATGGCCCCTTTATTATTATTATTATTATTATTATTATTATTATTATTATTATTTCTATGCCGCCCCTTGCCGAAGCCTTTAAACAACCCATTCCGGTGCATGATCAACCTTTTATCCATATCTTAGATACTGCTGTATTGGCATTAAAAGCCTAGGCTTATTTTCCAAATGGAGAACATTTGACTGCATGTTCCAGCAGGTGTTGGCCATTGACCAAAACAGCAGCAGCCACCAGTGCTCTTATAAATGTGCCTAAGAGAAGTCCCTTTGTGATGCTAAGGATGTCCAAGCAATCCTCACTGGACTCAAGTGATTCCATTGTCTAAGAATCCAGCCCTCAGAGGCTGCTGCAGGCTGGCATTTCCCAAGTCATGCTGATACTGCAGACTTTCCATAATAAATGCAAATTTAGTCATAGAAGTATATGGTTTTTGTTTTTTTAGAAAAACAACCAAATGTGTGTACTTCCCCCATAGGCCAAAATACAAAAAATACATATTTTGGGGAGAGTTAGCATGTTGGGCGGATTTGCACATTTTCAAAAGTGTGACTTTGCACCAATGCATACAAGCATATATGCATCTGATCCCATCATCAAGCGCACAGTGGGATGCAAGTTGCACACAGTGTCTGTGCAATGGATTTTATTATTTCCTTCCATCCGTATGTGATGCAGCTGCATCTCATCTGCTGTTGGGAAGGGCATGGTGAGGATGCTAAGCTGCCTGTGGCCTTTAGCACTACAGCCTAAGAACTTTCAGGGTGGCTCCATCATGTGCAGCCGGTGGGTAAATGAACCAGCAAAGAAAAGAGTGTATAGTAAACTGGCATTTAGAGGTAAAGGGGGCCAAACTTTCCACCAAAGACTGTTGCTCTTGATCTTGCAGTGCAGTGGGTAAATCTAATCATAGGACTGGTTGCACACCAATTAAGTCCACTGCTCAGGGAGATGTATCAGAAAAATGCAGTGCAAAATGTAGTGCCATAAAGGAATGCCAGGAAAATGGTTGTGCTTTTGGTAGTAATTCCACAGTGCAGACATACCCAGTTTAGGATGGAGGAATGTAATTGTTGTGAATGCCAATACGAACTGAGCTGATCCACATTTCCTGAATTAACATGCAGATCAGAAATGAGTTAGCACTGGGTTTCATGCTTCCTGTATAAGGATGGGTGAAAATTCCATTTCTGATAAGAATGTGTGAATATTTGTAAATCCTCTATATTTGGTACAAATGGAACTTGACTTTTATGAAATGCAGACACAGGAGAAACCAGAACTGGAAGATTCAGACAATCAGGCCTAGGGCTGAATGCTTAGCTCTTAAAAGTCTGGGTTTGAGTCCCAGAGTATTCACTCTCTTTGTAGAACTGAATTAAGATGCCCATCATTTTTTTCTATCAGACTCTTCACACTGAATGTCTACATGGCAAGCAGATAGAATTTGGGTCTCCCCATGTATCTACTGACTTGGCTGGCACAGTTGGGTGAGAATCCCTTTCAATCCCTTTCAATTTCTATAAGAATTTACCAAATTTACCAAAATTTACAAATTTCTTCTTATTTAAATACTTAGTATTTAAAGTGTGACAAATGAGGGGGGAAAGCAAAACCAACAGATTTGTCCTTCACTATTCTTGAGTGTTCCAATATACTTCACAGTTCAAAATATGTATCCGTATACATTGTAAAGCCCATGCATGCACGCACGCACAAACACATACATGCATATTTAGGGAGAAAGTACAGATAGAAATGCATGTCTTGAGAGAAAATATGTTAGAAATTCATGCTTAAATAAGCATGTAAATATGAATTCTTGTGTTGGTTGAAAAAATACCTATAACAGATTAATACACAAGCAGGACAAAATGGTCAAGGGCCAGAAATACACTGATTTGCCAATTAGTTTTACCCTAGCACAATTGTTTCTTACCAAAATTGTAGATGAAAAAATGACAATAGCTGAATTTGTACCTATTTCAAACAAAATATATGGATTGTTTAGTTTGTCACAAACACACCCAGAATCACCAAGCCCACAGAATGGGCCCAAGGATAGAAAGAGGACATTTCCTATACTGTGCTTTTTGGAAATGTGTCCTCTTCTCCTATTTCAAAACCTACAAAACCTACCAGAAAATTGGTTTTGTTGAGCATATTTTCTTTCGACAAAGCAGAAACATCTGACACATGTACCTTGGTCAACACATAGTAGCAGTCTCCATGGAATGTATACTTCTTCTCATCAAAGGTAGTAATGTGAGCGCCACCCTCCAATGAACATGTTCGTGGGCAGGGTAAGTCCTGGCATATCCATCTACCTGATGAACAGGTGCTATGAATACAGACAAAGCATTCAAGATGGGCTCAGGATATCCAAGCCGGTTTAGAGTGCTAACGCAATAAGCAGATATAGAAATGAGTACAGATGTGTGATGAATCCATTTTGGACGTTGGGATCTGTCAGAATCCCTGGGCTCTGCTCCTTGGACTCCAGTCTGCTTTGTCGAGGCGGTGAGCCTGAGTTCTTGGTCAGCACACCCAGCCTTCACTCAACGCTCACCAGGAACTGAGTCCCGTGTGTTTGCTGCACAAGCTACATCCCTCTTCCACATCATGTGCAGCAGCTTTTGTCTGTGTTGCATGTGATGCAGCATGTGCTGCAAAAGAAGGTTGCCGGTTGTACAAGCTTCATCCCACAAGTGTCCGCAGACTTCTCAGCTTGTGTACTTTCTAAGACAGGGCTGAGCACAAGATAAAGGCTAGAGGGACAGATTCAGCTGAGCTTCATTGCACCCCTAGTCCAGAGTGTTTCCTACCTGATAATGACCTGGCACATACACAACAGCAAACAAGAGTATAGGTTAAGTAGGTTAAGTGTGGGTTGCCTACAGTTCAGAACCCAACAACAAACCATGGATTCCTTTTGTGAGTTGTTCACAGTTAACAAGCCATGGCTTGTTAGCAGACTGAGGTTCACATAACACAAGAACCCGTGATTCAACAATAGCCTACAGTGATAACCCACATTCAGCTCATGCATAACCCATATTCTTGCTTGCTGCACTGCAAGAACCAGCCAATGCCCTTTTCAAATTATTCAAAATAATAAATAAACTTTTTGATGTGTGCCACAAAATGGCCACATGCACCCACACAAAACCTCAACAACCCTAAGAACTTTTCTAGAAGGACCTAGTAAAATTAAAGATTTAATTTTGATTTATACTAGAGTTATACTGTTTAGGATCAGTCTGTGACTCTCCTTCTTCTGGACTTCTGCATAATTACAGTTCCTTAGCATATGCACAACCTAGTTCACAATCATTATAAGGATTATAACCCCATCTTGATGTCACATGGAACATTCTTTGTAACATGTAACAAAGTCTTTAGCATAACATTGTAATGAACAAATGGATTCGAAGGTACCGGGCACTGGAAAGTGAGGATCAAAATGGTAATCAAGGACTCCATTCTTGGATTCTAATATTTGTAATTCTGAAAGAGGCGGCTGCTGCACAGGGTTTCTTACCAGCTTTCACAGTCATTGGTGATGTTCTGACCAGGAGAATATAGCTTCCCATGAATTTTGCAGTGGCATTGGCTTATGGACACACAGCCTTGCCCAGTGATGTCATCATAGACTGTGCCTGCAAAAACACCCCAAGAACAAAATAAAATATATTCATAATGACAACTGAAACTGCAACCCTGAGCAGTCCCATTGTGCTAAGAGAGTTAATTCACTAGCCAGGTAGAGGGAACTCAGGCAGGAATTACATTCTCAGAGGAACCCCAAAGCTAATGATTGAGATTAATGAATAGTGCAGAGACTGGCTTTTCAGGGAAGACCCTACTGGTTAGCTTTTCTCAGGGAGGCAATTAAATACTTTTTTTTTCTCTATAGCTATTGCATCTCAGACTTTCCCAAAAGAGTTCAGTGCAGCCTTTTTAAAACTGAACGTAAATGTTTCTTTAACATTCAAAACTAAGCCAGACTGAGTTCAGTGAGGTTTCTTTCCAACCAAGTTGGAAAGTGGTTGATTGCATGGTAGTATTAATGTGAAGCAGCTTAGCAACTTTGTCACAGTCTTCTAGCTAAGGAATGATTTGGGCTTGGGATTCCTAAACTTATGCCCATTGCTATACCCACTGTTATGCCAACTAAAATTGTTACCATCGGGGCAAAAACAGCCATCCATGTAGTGCTCTTCACATAGTCTGCTGATCTCCAGGTGTGAACAGGTGTCCATACACGGTGAACCACTTTCCTTGTAGACCATGTTCCCAGGACATGACATAGCTAAAAGAATTTAAAAATGAAACAAAATAAGAAGTCGGCACTGATTAAGAAACTCAACATCTCATGGCCATACACTAACTGGAACAGCAACGGAACCATACAAATTAGAAGGTCACCTTACATCAATCAACTCTTTACTTTCATAGAGAGTAAATTAACACTTTTTGATACAGGCAGTTGATTTCCTGTAATGAATGCTCAGGGTTTTGTGGAAATTTAACAGGTGCTATACCTAAAGCTCCAAAAGATCAAACTTGTGTGCACTGCACACACAAGAAAGAGAGAGAAGTTGTGTCTCTTTGTGCTGAATATGTTTAATACAACATATGCTAATGAATACAATGACAATGCAATTCTCATTCATTTCAGTGAGATTTAAGCACTCTTGCTTCTGGTTTCTTATTTTCAGTTCTCTTTCACTGTTACTTAGAAAACAATGACCCATAGTTCCTTTCCACTAAAATCGATGGGGAAACCCCTCATCAGTGAGTATTACAAAACAGGATAAAACTGTTTGGAACGGGCCAAAATCAGGGATGAGGATGTCCACATTGACCTTGAATGACACAAATCTCTCCTACTATACATTACTGATTACATCTTGTATGAGATAGAGAATGACGTACGGCACAGTTGCGCTGTCCTCCAGTTCTGCGGCTTGCCACCAGCATGGGAACACTGGCGAGAATACTCCGAGATGGTGCTGCAGACGCAGAAGGCGTCTTCGGCTCTCTTACAAGCGCATCTGTCCTGCATGCAAGCTCGAATGTACTGTTCCAGATTAAGGCGGCCCTGGCAATCCTCAAAAGCTGAAGAAGTCAGCAGCTTCTCACACTCATCACGCTAAAAAGAGAAGGAAGTTGAGTTTAAAGGGTCTTCCAAAGCAGACTCAGAAGATACAACAGCACACACGGGTGGTTGAAATAACAAACCTAACTATTGCATTGGAGTTTTAGGAATAAGATATATGGGCCATTGTTCACAATAAAAGTAGCTAGAACTCAGATGGGGTATCACAGAAGTAGTAGACACCAGTCATGTGTAAGTTTATTTCCTTAACATTAACCACATAATTTGGAAATTATACCGTGCAACTTCAATATGTTTATAGTATCTGGACAACAGATAAGTTATGGTGCTGGTGACACCAGCATTACTGTCTCAAAGGTGCACTGTTCACCAGGTTAAGCTTTAGTCTTCTCCTTATTAGAGAATCTTAGGGAAAAGTGGACAGAAGATGGATCTCCAGATGTATTGAATTTCATCTCCCAAGTATTTTGACAATTAGCTATGTTGGTATGGACATATGAAAGATGAAGCCCAAAAGTCAGGAGATCTACCATATGCCCACCCCTGAAGTAATAGCACCATTTGTCAGTACATTCATTTGGATCAGCTTTCTCTCACCATTTTCCTTCCAAATGTTTTGGACTGTATCACCCATCAGCCCTGCGTATAATAGGAGTTGCAGTCCAAGAGCATACGGAGAAGAACAGGTTGAACATGGATAATTTCAATACAAACTACACATACAAGCCCTGCTTTGATTTCCCACTACTCTTCAGAGCACAAAGATGCCATGCTTTGCACAGAAAGCTGAGTCCACAAAGAGGCAAGCATTCCTACTTTCTTACTTGCTGAACTCCAATTTCACACCAGAGAATGAATCAGTAGCAATATAAGGCTCACAAGAGGTTGCATAACTCACTCACACTTCCTGTTCCCCTAAAAGAGACCGATCTCTCCATTTCTGGTGTAAGCTGTCCCAGATATTGAAACTTACATGTTGGTTGCAAAGTTCAACAGGCTGTGTCTCATCAGGATCTTCACATACTGTTTTGGGGTTGTTGATCTTCTGAAGGTTTCCAAATGTGATGGGGTTGTATTTCAGGCCTATGAGAAAGAGTGAACAGCATCTTTAGAGGCACTGAACTGATTTTTAAACAAATAAGCATCCAAATACTAATGGTCTTCCTTTTAAACTTATGATTCCTGGCATCCTGCTGCCAAGAAAGAGTAATACAGTTGGGATGGACCCCAGTGAAATCCATTCCTCTAGTATGCATGGACTTCCTCTTGTGCTCAGCCTGGTCTTGCAAAGGAGCCAAGCCAAGCAAAAGTCCAGGAATGCTCACGGAAGGAAGGTAACTGCAGACCTTTTTGCTCATCAGGTGCAGCAGTGGAAAGGCAGCTGCAGGTGGCCTGGGAGAGGGACATGGCTTGTGCAACAGTCATCCAGGGTCCCTTCCTGGTGAGCCCCATGTGACCAGCCTCCCTCTATATCAGGTGCAAGAACTTGGATTCAGGGCTGCTGCAAAGTGAACTGGAGCCTGGGGAGCCAAAGCCAGAGATTCTGATGGATTCCGCCCAAACGGATGCTTCACACACCTCTACTTATTAACAATACCTATGATGGATCAGCAAGACTGAGCATGACGGCTAATGGAATGAGCTCCTCACTGAGGCCCGCCTGGCACCAACTTTACTCACTTTTCAGTGCCTGATAAAGACCATCCTCTACTGCAGGACATTTAATTAGTCACTGGGGGTTGCTGGTTGTTAGATAGGGTTTAATTGGGTCTTTTTAATGTAGATTGTTTGTTTTTCTGTTTTCAGTTTGGTTTTAAGTTTATAGCCAACTTTTATGAGATTTTAGTGTGTTTTCATGGGTATATTGCATATTGTTTTTAAATATGCTGCTGTGAACTGCCCAGAGAGCTTTGGCTATTGGGCTATATAGAAAAATAAATAAATGAAACTATACTTTGTGAAATATCAAGAAGGTAGGTGATCCAGAAGCCAGTTGGGAAAAATCATGCTGTATTATTATAGTTACTCGAAACATACACCACCCCGATGTGCTAACAAGGCTTAGAAGCACAACTCCACGTTGCATGGTACATCCACTTACTATGGACTGCTAAAACCTTTTAGGGTGCAATACCAGATCTCCAAAATCAGGTAATCGTGAGCATCTGCAGAATGCAGAAGGAACACAGACAGTGGGATGGCCCCCATGCCCCTCCAAAACATTTAGGCAGCTGATTTAGACTGTCTAAAAGTTCTTCTCCTGTGGAAGAGAGGCTCACTCCTCTCTTTCAGGCTCAGTCAAAGCAGGAAGTGTCTTGGCTATGAGATCAGAGCGAGGACCTTCTGAGGTCAAGTCCCAGCTCCGAGCTTGTAAGTATCCTATGCCCCACCCACTCAGCCAGTGTTGGAAGGCTGTAGGATTGCACCTTCAAGGTTTAAAGCATGGGTCCTCAAACTACGGCCCGCGGGCTGAATCTGGCCCGCCATGCCCATTTATCCAGCCCGCCACAGAGGTGGTGCAGGTGGGGGGGGGGTGCACGCAGGCCGGGATGGGGGGGCACGCGTGTCCGTGTACAGCAAGGCAGGGGCATGCATGCGCAGAGATTGTTTTCTCCGAGCAAGTTCAAAATGGTCTCCTTGCAAGCAAGCCGCTGCTGGGCGTGTGCATGGCAAGGCACCGGCTTGCTCGCGCAGATGTCATTTTGGACTCGCTTGGAGAAAAGGATCTCCATGCATGCATGCCCCTGCCTTGCCGCACACGCATGCGCATGCCCCCCCCCGCCCCAGTCCATGCCCCCTGCCCGCACTTGGCAGCGCACTCCCCTCACTAGCACCTTTCAACTGGCCCCCTGTTGAAAACGTTTGAGGACCCCTGGTTTAAATCAATCCATGTGCTTTGTTCATACATGGATATCTTTACTGAGGCATGGGAGGGTTGAACATTTTCTGTAATTTAAATCCATGCTAATGATAGACTTTATGGATCTGTGGGCTTTAATTAAAGTGCATTAGAAGTGGCTTGTTTTTTACAATCCAAAAAATGAGCTCCATGCAGACAGTCTTTCATTTAAATGTCAGCTAGAAGAATATCTGGAAAATATAAGCCACCCTGATCTTATGAATAAATTACTGGTTTTAAATACAGCTTATTCTTCAAACTTAAGAATTATTTTGTTAATACAGAATTCATTTCATATTTGGGAACTAATTCTGGGGAGCAAGAGCATGGTGATTTTCTAATAGCCTAATGTGAACAATTGTGTGATTGTGTGGACCCTTTCTGCATTCAGGGTGTTCAGATGCTTCCCTTCAGAACAGGCATCACAGCATGGCGTGGTTCTACTTACCATCAGAGATAAATTCATTATAGATCTGGAGGCCATTATAATCCCCACAAAGACCACATGTATGGTTGTTAAAGCTGCTGTCGAGCTCAACCTAGATTGAAAGAGCAGAAGCAGAAAGAACATCTCAATGACTGTAGCAAAGCTGGACATGTAGCTGCTTACACCAGATTAGTTCATCAGCATACTTGGCTGGTATTGGGTGTTCTGACTGGCGGTGCTGTTCCAATGCTTCAGACAAAAACAGAGCCATAAAAGCCATGAAGCAGTTGTTATGGCTCCCCTGAAAGGGAGTTGAGATCCTCCTCTGGATCGGAAGTGCTGAACCCCAGGTCTGAATGCAACATCTGCCCATCCTGAGTTTCCCAGGTGGCCTCAGCTGCTCTCCTCTGACTGGTTTCCCAGCTTTTGCACAGATTCCCCCATTCTAAAAGGTTGAAATGCTTCCTCTCATGCTCAGCTTCTACTCAAAAGAGATTTGAACTCAGGTCTACTGGTGTCATGGCCTTTGGGGCATTTTGGACTTGCCATTTTGCCTTTGCCTTCAGCCCCAGCCACTATTAGAATAAAACCCCACCCCCCAGGAGCTTCTGAAAAACCAAGATCAGTCCTTGGGCTGATCAGGGAAAGGAGGTTCCTTCGTTGTTAGGACAGCTACCAAAAATACTTCCCCAATTTCTCTTGCTTTCAGGTAGCGCACTTGCCTAACTGGCTACTTCCGGGCTACAGTATCTGCTAGAGATGGGCACCGGACACCAGTCCCTCTCTGGGGTGTTCTAGGCCTGAGCCATAAAGCCGCTGCCAAAGTTGCATTGCAAGTTTAAGACCACACATACCATCAAGGCATCTTTTCTGTTCCATATCAGGATGAGGCCCACTCTGGAGTAGACTTTACTATACATATCGTTCTTCTCAACCAAAATTCCAGAGCTATAGTATGGAGTCTTGGTGCTATAGAGAAGGAAGTCACACAGAGTTTGGTTGATTCCATCACAGGCAACAGATCAAATATGGAAACATTTGTAGAATTTTATAAGAATGTGCATTCTCTCTCCATTCTGTCCTACAGATTTCATGTCACAGATATTTCTTTTCCTCCAGTATGCAAGCCACAACTATAACTTTACATCCTGCCTAAAGTTAACATGAACATGCAAAAGTAGAACATTATTCACATTCTATTAACTTTTGCTACTTTTCAGCATTCCAGTTGGAAAGTGCATCTAGGAAAATGCATGGTAAATTTGATCTGTAAATGTAAGAGGTACTCTTTCTCCTGCAGCTGTTTCTATCAGAAATTTTCCAGTAAATCTGTATTTTAGATCTAACACCGATACTTGTGCTTGTTACACTTAGACTGCACTCTTTTGTCACATTTAGACAGAAAAAAGCCCTTCAACTGGCCATATGCCCTAGTTGACATATCTGCTTCATAGGATTGCAGCTAACTTTGTAGGGCTTTTTTGTGCCCTAGCATTTGAGATACCTTCACCACACCATTTTTCCCCTAGCATCCGTATTCACTTACTAGAATGATTATATTGTGCCATTTTGCCCAAGGATAGATTTAATGGAAGGTCTCCATAGCAAAAGTTAAAAATCAACCACCCACCCCAAACAGAAGTGTATGCAACAGAAGGGTCTCTGAATTCAGGGAAAAATGGGAGGATGCCATGTGAGTTCAGCTCTGTAGCTACAGAACAGATTTAAACCCACATCCTGGCTGGAATGGATATAGTAGTTTTAGAGTGCAGATTCAAGATGGGATGTGGCTCATGTGCTTTTAACCCCCCCCCCCAACACCAAACAGGATTGTGACAGAGGGGCGGTTGCTTGGTGAACTGACCTCGCAACCCAGCTCTCAATTTGAACTGAGGAGCACTTTAGGCTAAGTCATTCTATTTCCCGAGCAGGGTCTTGCTCTACAGTTGCCTATTGCATAGGTACCTGTATAGGTGCCACTGCTCAGGAGAGTGCTTTGCTCATGGCAGAGGTTTTGTTGCAGATTAAAATGTTAGTCAAACAGTGAAACGGGTCACATTTCAGGGAGAGGAACGCATTCCTTATGAGAAGGGACATATCTTCTTAAGCCCATTACCCAACATTTGGCATGGATTCTGAGTGTCATAATCTGGTAAGGAATGCTACCCACACTGCAAATTACTACCTTGGGAAGTAGAAGAAGACTTATCCATTTCAACTATGCTAGGATTGGAAAAGCAACTAGAACTTTCAAGATCTAAGCGGAACAGCTCATTGACTAGCCAAAGGGACAGTCTTATGCTTGTTTAGACAGAAATTAGTCCTTCCAACATTCCCCAGGCCACACAACTGGCCAGAAAATGGTGAGAGCTGAAGAACCTGTTTCTTTCTTTCTTTCTAAACGTGCTTTCTCCATGGAATTAGCAGATGCACCACAAGCTGTTACTGGGTTCCTCTGGCCTTCCTATTTCATATGCAGGAAGAACAGAGATAAGTCTCTTTTGAAGCAAGAACGACAGAACCTCTTAGTTGCACCTGAAGTTGTACTCAGTGTGTACAGTGCGAGATGGGGCAGCCATGGCTTACAAAGTCAGGACAACACCCAGAATGTATCCATGGCACAACAGAGGACCAGTAATAAGCGGTGGACTTGGATCTAAAGGTGGCCTGCACAGAAATCCCAACATGGCCACAGACTCACTTGGGTGGGCCGTATTTTATCAGCCTCATTTCCAGCACTGCAAGATGACTTTAGTGTTTATTTCAAAGCAATGCTGTGAGATGAACAAGAGGAAACACACACAAATAAAGGAGGTTGCCCTATATGACCTATAACTAGGTGAAGAATGCTCCAGAAAGCAGCCATGAGCATTTTGACAACCCAGCCCTCTATATTTTAGAAACAACATACATTATAAATTCTGATTTGCAACTTGTACCTTGCCCAAATAATACTTTGCATTGCTTGTTGACAATGGTATTTTGCACTGTGTTGGCTACTATTTAAGATGGGACACCAACAAAGTGCACATTAGTAGCAGCAGAGTAATTATTCACAATAAAAATGGCATTATATCATTTACCAACAGACAAAAGGCCTGCTATGTGGTTATGTTCTGGTCTAATAAAACTTGCAGAAAATAATGTCACAGTGGGTGGGGAATGGAATCATAAATCTAGGAAAGTACAACCCCCCCCCCTGCCCCACCGAGAAATTATCAAGACATTTGTGGCTTACTTTGAAATTTTTCAGAACAAGATTTTCCTGAACAAGAATATATAAATTCAATTCAAAATTTGTTTTAGCTGAACGCTCATGTAAAGCCCCTTATGAAATGCCATTGCTCTTATTAAAAGCCATTTTTACTTCCCCGGAAACCTCTCCCAAATTTCCCCTGAAGAGCACCATATTCTCATCAAACTTTGCTTAAGGCAAAATCTCAGGAATTACACTACCAAAGATATTTGGGGGAAACAATTTGGGGTCTGCACAGAATGCAATTCCCTTGGTGGATGGAAGCTTTTAATCTATGCGGCAAGCTTTTTGTGAAGGTTTCCTGGCCGGGAACATCAGGTTCCACACTATAGATTAGAAGCATCATGCTCTCAGAGAAACTTACATTTGCCCATCCACCACAACCAACTTGTGAGTGAGGTAGATTGCAACATCCTTAATTGTGACAAGAACATATTGGATGTCAGGGTGGCCGTTGTTATTCACTTCTCGCTGGATATGGACAGAGAACTCTTTGTAAGACTCTCGGCAGTCGGAAACAAAGTTGTAGTCACAGACACCCGGAAACTGGTAGAAGTCTCCATCAAAAGTTTTGAAGTGGTTGTTCCCCCAGGTACTGCAGACATGTTGGCCGTGGCTAGGACTCCTTCCTGAAGTGATGAAGAATGAGGACAAAGTAACCATTAGATGCAATCATGGAGCATGATACTTAGACAATTCAATAAAAGTAAGCCCTAAAATCTAAAGAGCCTTCGAAGGGGAGGAGGTCACCAGTATCAAATGTTCTATTGAAGTGTCAGCATTTTATTATTCCAATGATTGATTGCAACATCGCAGGCAATGTGTACGCTTGCACTGTGAAAACGTTCCCAGCATAATTTCCCAGCTGAGATGGCTGAACCAGCAAGGTCACAAAGCCATGCAACGTAGGCCGCTCGGGGGTGATGCATTGTGTGCTGCACACTCACGCTACAATGGTGTGATTTTGTTGCTCTGACTCGGGCACAGTCCAGTCGGGATGTCCAGAAGCCTCTCAACTCAGAGGTCTGCAGGCTTGGTGGGAGGAGTGGCAGAGGTGTTCTCCAGGTCCCATCTCTTCCAGCTCTGTGTTTTTGCTAGGCAGCTGCTTTCAGCCATGTACTTGGGGTGCTTCAGAGGTGACCCCCTCCCCACCCACTGGAATGCCCCCTTTACCTCTCTCCAAGCTCACTTTACAGACATTGGAGAAGCAGCTGCCATGGGAGAGGAAGGTCATAACGTGGATTCTCAGCTCAAGGGGCTGATTGCTCCCTCATTTAGCTATCAGGATGGCACAGGCCATGGATAATCATGAAAGTATTTCAAGTACACTTTCTACCAAATGGCATCCTCTAAATATATATAGCAAAAATCAGTGTAAGTTCCCTCCAGCAAACATGCAACAGGTGCAATAGTTTACTCTGACATAATAGGACCATTTAGGTTTTCTTTTCGAAGAAGGAAAGTCCCATTCTGTTTGCACCTCCTTGACATTTCAGCATGAATGCAATTATACACGAATTCAAAATCAGGATTATAGTACTGAAAATCTGCCCCCCACGGTTATCTAATGCAACCTCTTCTCCTCTATTCTATAAATCTGAGAGGGGATCCTTTATACCTTAATGCTGCTAGTTTATTAGTTCTAATATTCCAGAGCTAATATGCATCCTCCAGCATATTATCTTTTACTGCCAAGCAAAAGCAAGAGCACCCAGTGTCCACCACACACAATACCCTTCATATCCCCCAAAGCCCTTTTAATTAATTGTGCAATGGGTGCTTCTGCTTGTGGTCCACCGCAGCAGCCACGGAGCGCTCCTCAAGCTTTCCCGCTGGATGATTCCACCTCTTTTTAAAAATTCTTACCTTTTTTAATTTCAGTTGCATAGCAAATGACCAGCCATAGTGTCAAAAGGCTGGTTAGACTTAGCCCCATAATGGCTAAGAGGGAAGAACAGAGGTTGATCTACAGTCTTTCTTTATATAAGGCCCATTGATGCAATCCATGCCATCACAGTGGGAGGAGATGGGAGAAGATGAGAAGGACGCAGAGCAGAGCAATGTTTGGCTTACAAAGTAAACAAAGCTGAAATTTTCATTGTAATACCTGTAACCCTGCATTCAGGAAACAATCTAATATTGATTCAGTTAATTGCATTTTTACTGCTGTTTTACTTCTCCGAAAGGATATTAGTCTTCCTTCAATCACACGCAAATTGAATCTTCACCATCTCTTAGCTGTAGAAAGGAGCTACATTATGCTAGAGCAGGGGTCTCAAACTCGCGGCCCGCGGGCCGGCCTCCGGGAGCAACGCGGGATGAGTGGCCCTCCTTGATGTGGCCCGGACTCACCCAGCCTCTACTTCCAGCGGCCCCCAGGTAAGTTGAGTTTGAGACCCCTGTGCTAGAGTATCTTAATTGAAGTGTGACTTGTAATTTCTTCAACTCCTTTTCCAAAATACTTAGAACAGTTTGCTGTCCCTGAAGACCCCTGTGGAATGAAACTAATAATTACCCGCTGCTTTTATCAGAAATGTAATTGAAGATGATATTATTGACTGGTGGGATCCAAAGAACCACACTAGTTCCATGAGCCGAAAGAGTGATTAAACCAGTGAGTCTCAAAGGCATCTGATTCCACATGGCAAGACACATTCAGAAGAAACATATCTTGCAGATTTGTATTATGCCAAAAGGTCATGCTTCGTTCCTCATTAGCGTGGTGATGTTCGACATCACACCAGTATTCTCATTTTGCATGGAGCACCCACGAAGACCAAAAGCAGCCTGGGGACCTGGGTTTTCACAGCCCGCTTCTTGCTGGTGAGCGGGGCAATTGACGGTGCCAGGCCTGCGGACCCCTGAGATCTTGAAGTTGCCACTGTCCTGGGGTCGCCTGTTAGGGGCAGGTGGCCAGCCAGACCTGTGTTGGTGCTGACCTGCTATGGCACAAGTGGAGCCAGCTTGCAAACTTCCATCTCTGAGACAGCTTGAAATTTGCACATTTAGAAAAAAAAGCCTGAAGGTGTTTCGCATAAAATCACCCCACTGCTTTATTAAGCAGATTGTGCAGGAAAAAGATCAGAAAGAAAAATCTCACCTATCTGACTAGCGTAAGGACAAGAGCATTCTTCTGTGGATTAAAGCATTTTCACATGAGGAGATTCAGCCTGGATTCCACCAGGGTCTTTGGGAGATCAGAAGATTTGAGGAGCATCACCTTCATCTCAGATGCTGGTGATGGCCATTACAGCACTCTCTCCCACCACTTCCCTTTGGCCTTAGCCTCCCCAAGGTGGTAAGCCACTACCTAGAGCGTACCACTTGAGACTGCCAGTGGGGGCTCACATAACTGAATGTCCAACCTTCAAGCACAAATAAGAACAAGCCTCCAAATGGGGAATTAGATTTCAGAAAGATGGGTGCTAATCTCACCTTCTCCCTAATGTGCCAGTCAGGTTTTGTGGCTTGTTGAGAACGCGTCCCCTGTTCTAATTACCTGCAATTTGAACAATATGAAGGAGAGTAAGTTGTGAGTGGCTGAAAAGACAGAAGATTATAGGAAGGCCATTATGATGACAGACTTGCATATTTGTGTGAAAAAGTGCCACACGGGTGGGAATGAGCGAACTTTTGAGTACTTTCAGTGTTACCAGCAGGCATTCAGTGGCTGAAGAGCTGCCTCTATTTGCTTCAACAGCTTCAGAATTTCATAAACGACGACGTCTATCTTCATACTTACATATATAATTTTGCAGGATGCACTGTAGGATAGATTACCTAGGTTAAGTAGACCCAGGCAGCTGAAATTCAGAGACCACAAATGGAAAGGCTAGGTGGTCTCTGTTGTAGCAAACTGATTTCCATCACAAGCTGTGAGATACATTTCAGAGAGTTAGGAAGGATATCGTGAGACCATTGGCTCCTTCTGTTCCTTGAGAACTGACCTCTTACCCTGAACTCTTTCACAAGTCAGAGATCCACTGCTTCTATCTCTTCACACAGCTCTCCAAAGATGCAGCCAGCTTTTCCTTTCTCCCATCCGCTGGAGATGGCTGATTCACAAATGCAAATTATCACTTAAATGCTTCAGTGGTCAGGTGGTGATGGGGCACACGTGAAACAATCTCCACATTAGATTACTGCAATGTGCTCTCCGTGGGGCTGCCCTTGCAGACTGTTTGGCAACTGCAGCTTGTGGCAGCCAGTTTACTAACCGGGATCAAAGGGTTTGAACATATCACAGCAATTCTAGCTCTCTTGCTTTGGCTGCCTAAACACTTCTGAGCACAATTCACAGTTCTGGTTTTAACCTATACAGCTCTATGTGGCTTGGGACCTCAATACCTGATAGAACACCTCTTCTGACCTCATTCTACCTAGACCCTATGGTCTGCATCTAGAGCCTTCTCTAACTGCCACCTCAAAGGGACGTCCTGAAAAGGGCAACAAGGAGGAGGGCCTTTTCAGTCATGGCCCCCCATCTGTGGAACAGTCTCTTCACTCAGGCCCAGTTGGTGCCAATATTGTTGTTGATTAAAACTGCCCTCGATTCCCAGGTATTTAATGGCACACGGTGAGTTGTGGCTGCTGTTTAATGTGGTCTAGTTTTTAATGGAAATGCTTTAGATGTTAAATAGCTTTATATTTTTGTATATTGGAATGTTCAGCTGTTTTAAATTAGCACACTGGAATTTTCTACTGTGTTTTTGTTTGTTTATTTATTTATTTAACACATTTCTATGCCGTCCCCATCGCAACAAAGCCTCGGGGCAGCTCACAAAGAATACATAAAAACATACATAAATAATAATAATATAACAATTAAAACACACACACACACACACACACTTAAAAAACCCCAGTGCATTCTCGGCTAAAAATGTTAAAATCCTAATTAATTCAATAATTTAGCAATTAAAATAAGTTTTAAATAAAAAGGTCTAAGCCTGGTGCCAAAAAACAAATAACGACGGCGCCAGGCGGACCTCTCTGTTATATCTTTTGTATTTGATTAATCGTTGTGAACCATCCAAACAGCTTTGGCTATTGGGCAGTAGAGAAATGAAATGAAGAAATGAAGAAAGAAATGGCCTTCAAGGTAGGAGGCTGGGCTGTGCAGTTCTGGGGCAGGCTAACCAAAGTGTTAGTCAGATCGCTAGTTAGTAGCCCAGGACAGGCAGGGGATGATGCTGATTGCTCAGCAGGGGCTAACGCCGGAGAAAGGGTCAAGAATCTCTCTGTGTGAACCAAGGAGCAGGAGGATATGGGGCGGGGGTGCATGCGTACACGTGTGTGCGCACAGAAGAAACAGCAGCTTTGCAGTTTGGAAGAAGCAGAGGGGGAGAGAGGTATGAGCTGGATGAAAATGCCCCAGAGTTGCATGCGGGTCTCTGTCTGGAAATCTAATGTATGGTAAAACTGCTGCCTTGCAGGAATATTTCTTTTGTCTCCACTCATGCCCTATCTCTGCTTGCATTAAAAATCCCAAATACTACAATATTTAGGTGCGGGTGAGAATCCTCTGTCAGCAGCCAACTAAACACGCATGCTGTATTTCTTGGGGAATGTACTTTGTATAAGTACTGTTATAGAAAATGGTTTGGCATTGAGCCAGTTATCTAATGGCTGATTAAGAGGAAACAAGAAGAGAAAAAGTAGGAAATACCAAAGCTGTGCAGTCTTGCATTGGAAACCGAAGCATTTTTTCATACAAGGAAAAGAGAACTGGTAGGGAAGAAGCATGTCTGAAATTTTGCATGAAATGACTAACTTTTGGTGAAAAACAATACCCTTTTGATCAAGTTTCAGCAAATAAGCAAATGACATCAAAACACCCTTCAACAAGTATTCAAAATCCACTAAAGTGAGTCAGACATAAAGACAGATACTTAGGCTCAGAACTGCAGCCTTGCGCAATCCTGCAGAACAGAGCAAGAATAGGAACTGCACATCAGCCTGTTTACATTGCTGGGCTTAAAAATGCCCAGCTCTGGTGCTGGACTGGAGTATCTGTGTTTTACTAGATCTATTTAAATCTATATGAACATCACTGTCTGTAATGAATAACAATAACAATTCCATTACCCCCATAGTATTTATTCTTTATGAAGTTATATAGTAAGTTTGTGATCAAATCAAGCCAGAATTTGTCCTGGAAGCAAAAGGACAAAATTGAGGCTATTATAACTCAGGAGCATCTTAAGATTCCCTGGAGAATAAAATCCTAGCCAAAGTCAAGGGCAAAAGAAGAGGAATCCAACCATGAAATGCAGTGACTGCTTAAAGGAAGCCACAGCCTTGATTTTACAGAAGCTGAGTGGGGCTGTTGAGGACAGGATATCTTGGAGGACCTTCATTCATCGGGTTGCCATTAGTCAGAGACGACTCGATGGCACTCGACAGCAACAGCAGCAGCAGCAACGATCTGGGGTGCATTGTTGCTAGTCGCAAAGTCGTGTCTGACCCATGGCGACCCCATGGACAACATTCCTCCAGGCCTTCCTGTCCTCCACCATCCCCCGGAGTCCACCCAAGCTCACACCGACTGCTTCAGTGACTCCATCTAGCCACCTCATCCTCTGCTGTCTCCTTCTTCTTTTGCCATCTATTGTTCCCAGCATTAGGCTCTTCTCCATGGAGTCCTTCCTTCTCATTAGGTGGCCAAAGTATCTGAGTTTCATCTTCAGGATCTGGCCTTCAAAAGAGCAGCCAGGGTTGAGGGGTGCATTAGACCCAGCTTAAAAACTATCCTAGGTGGTGCTGGCCTTTTAAGTTCAGATCTGTATTCAATTCCTCGGCCAGGTCTGTCCCTCTAGATGTAAATATTATCCGATATTCCTACCAAGAGCTTTCAAAGAGCTTCATAATACTAACCATGGAGCTTCCATGGCCCATGGCAATTTATACTCACCCTGCAACTCCCTGTCAAAGCACCTAGAACAACGAGCACTGCAGATGGATGCAGCTGCAACCACTGTGCCTAGAAATGGGAAGCTCGGCAATCATATAAGCTCAGAGACTCTCCACTCCGGCCATTGGATGCTCATAGTCCTCCAAGTCTGGGGGCTTATGTGCCTCTGCCGCAGGGGCAATGGACTGCCCCTCAGGATATTAGGATGTCCAAAAAGAGGGTGCAGCATTAAGGCCATCGAGCAGCATCAATGCTCACTTTAAGTATCGAGTTTGTCTGATTCCCTCCCCATCTTCCTACTGTGGCTCTAAAGGGAAGAGGAAATCTCGCAGAATTTCCTGCTGGCTTAAGTCGCAATTCCCCTCTGAGCATGATCCAGTAACCTGGAACTGCTTCTCATTCCTACTGCGCCATTCAACTGGCAGGAAGGGAAACATACAAGCAAGCATCTGTCCTTCTCATGGACGTGAGCCCTAGAAATCCTCTCCTTCTCAAGGACAAATGTAAAACTCACACATGGAACCCCCTCCCCCAACACACACGCACCCTCCCAATATAGTAAGTGTGAGAGTTGTGCTCACTGACACGAATTTCCCTGGCTGCATATTTATTTATTTATTTATTTATCAATTTATATCCTGCCTTTTCCCTACAAAGGGCTCAAGGCAGCTTACAAAATTCTCCTCCTCCATCTTATCCCCACAACAACAACCCTGTGAGGTAGGCTGGGCTGAGAGTCTGTGACTGGCCCAAAGTCACCCAGTTGGCTCCATGGCTGAGCGGGGACTAGAACCCAGGTCATCTGAGTCCCAATCCCATGCTCTTAACCACCACACCACCCTGGCTCTTTCTCTTCCACTGCTGCCAAGAAAATCCCTTTTGTGCATGCGTAATAAAAGGAGAGGGTACAACCTGAAACAGGGAAGGTATTGCTAGGCTCCAGGTAGACACCAACACTTTCACACGCCTCTCCATGAGCACATTGCTTAGAAGCTTCCTGTTCATTTTGCAGGTGCCCTGTGGTTTTCCTTCACAGCCTTTGTTGTCAACGTCATTGGAAACTCAAGTGGAAGACTTGTTCCTCAGCCAGCTGAACCTCAGCAATGCTTTTTGTTCTCACCACCAGCTTTATGCAGTCTTATGGATTGGATGTCACACACAAAGAACTGGATCAGGCCTCTGCGTCTCCCAAAGAGGATTTTAAAGCACTTGTTTTGGAGTGCCTTATGTCATTCTGATACACAGTCCCACAAGGATGATGTCAAAGAGAACTAGGAACAGAATGTGGCATTGTACTGAAATTGCATTCGGTGGATTTACATGACACACTAAGCCACACTCCACAGCAACCTACACAGTGTGCTTTGCACACCACCCCACCACTTGTTGCACCAGGTCATCTTGGGGAGCAAAGCACCTCTGCTTATCCACCGGATGCTCTCAAAAGGTTTGGGATCTCTTGCTGGGGTTTAATGGGCACTGCCGGAGCCAAATGCACCCAGGCATGCATTCACACATCACTCTGAATACCAAGGACAGTTTATTCAGAAGAAAATATGTAGCAGGTGCCAAACTCTTTGCCCAATGTTGCCTAGACAGCAAATATTCTTATTGCACCCCAATCTCACTCTATATTTCTAAAGGAATAAAGAGCCCCCTGCTTAATGCTCTTATAGACAGAAGCTAATTGACAAGTCCAAACCGACTACCTGCCTGTGCAGGAGGCTCTGGACAGCCGTCCCTTGTGGACAGGAAGGGGTGCAGGAGGTCCACATTCCAGGCTGGGCTGCCAGGTCTGTGCTTGGAGCTTACCCACTTCCATT